TCTAGAATTTTATAGGAGATGGGCTATAAAGGGCCCTGTGCTAAAAATCAAATTACTACAGCAATTTGCCAATAAATGAAAGTCAAGTGTCTTGAGAAACGGATGCTTTCTCTAAGCACAAAGTTCATAAGCTGACAGAGGCTCCATTCTGAACCCGATTTTCCAGAATACCTGACACCCTCCTCCTCCTGACCTCCATAGCAGACAGAAGTTAATGGAATTACTGTCATTTTTTTGCTTTTCTAAGTTTATTACCAAGTTGTTTTTTTTGTGTGTGTGTGTTTAAATATTTTTTACTGATTTGAGAGAAAGGTAGAGGGAGAGGGAGAGGGAGAGGGAGAGGGAGAAAGATATCAATAATGAGAATCATTGATTGGCTACCTCTTGCACAACCTCTCCTGGGATCGAGTCCACAATCTGGGCATGTGCCCCCGACCAGAATCTAACTCAGGATCCTCTGGTCCAAGGCTGATGTTCTATCCACTGAACCAAATCAGCCATGTCATCACCAGGTTTTAAATGCTGTCCATAGCCAGTCTAGATCTGAACTTTCCCTTTAGTTTTTCATGGCAGTGTTAGTCCTAACCCTCATACCTTGTGGCTGACCACTTTCTCAAATGTCCATAATTATTCTTCCTCTGAAGTTATTTATTATTATACTAGAGGCCCGATGTATGAAATTTGTGCAAGGGGCTTGGCCCTCACAGCGCTGGGTTCATCCAGATGGTTGTCCAAACAGTCGCTCAGCTGTTAAGTCTAATTAGCATATTAGCTCTTTATTATATAGGATGTATTTGCATACACATCCTATTTATAGTTATAGCTAATACTTGTACCACGTGTCAGAGACTGTACTAAGGATCATATATACATTTTCATTTAATCTTACAACTTTGACAACCAGTTACAATTATTATCTCAACATTGCAGATGTAAAAACAGAGGATTAGATAGGTCAAGTAAATACCTAAGGCCATAAAGTAAGTATTCAATACTGAGAATTGAATCAGCTGATAATCACCAGGCTGCTTTTTCATGCTCTTCCTTTTCCCAAGTTAATGTTTATTAACAGCTTCTCCAATCAAAGTCCCCTCAGTTCATAGGCTTCAAAGTAGCCCAGCATTTAATTCACTGGCCCTAGAGCTTCAGTGGTGCCTACTGTTAAGCTAAGTAAATCCAAAGGTTCTTTCTTTTATAAGGCTTGCTATAGTTCATCTTCAAGTCTTTAAGAAATAAAACCTTTCATTCATCTTTTCTAACATGTTTTCCCAGGCTAGTGACATCTGACAAAAAACAAAATGAAATCCACTGATTTCAAATCTTGATGTCAACAGAAACTACTTCCAGAAAATAATCATGGCTACATTTACTGAGTACTTTCTGTATCCAAGCTCAAACATAATAACCAATCAGGTCCTCTCAGTAATCCTATATAGGTATTATAATAAACTCCTTGTTTGAAAGAGGAAATTGAAATGAGGCTCATATCAGAGATAATTAAAAAAAAACCCACTGGGATCTGAACCTGGACAGTCAGGCTCTAGAATTTGGGATTTCAATACTACTACATGATATCTCACATTTTTATTTCTACTACTACTTAGAGCTGTGCCATACACTATGAGCGATATAAAAGAAATACAGCCTGGCTGGCATGGCTCAGTGGCTGAGGTCGACCTACGAAAGAGGAAGTCACAGTTTGATTCCCAATCAGGGCACATTCCTGGATTGTGGGCTCAATCCCCAGTGTGAGACTCCAAGGAAGCAGCCAATCAATGGGTCTCTCTAATCATTGATGTTTTTGTCTCTTACCCCCTTTCACTTCCTCTCTGAAATCAATAAAAATAAAATTAAAGAAATACAATCCATGGTCTTTAAAAAAAAATACTGAGAAAACTTTTTTAAGGAAAATATTAGGAATAAGATTTTGTAGGATAGACTAGACATGGTAGCAACATACAGATAAGTTTAGAATATTAACTTAAACATGATAGGAAAATCAGATTTCTTAAAGCTATTTGGGCAATCATAAAACATTTCCATACAACTACACAACTATGTATCTTATGTAATTATTTTAGTACAATCTTCCCACAGTTTCATTTGTTTTCACCTGTCTGTTTTCCTGTCTTAATAAATTCCTGACAGGTACATGTGATGACTAAATGTTCTTTTTTATGACCTGTAAGAACAGAGTCTGGTGTTCTGCAAGCAATTGACACTCCATGAATGCCAGATAGCAAAGATAAAATAAAAGCACCACACAATGATTACTAGGACTATAACATGGCAACTCATAGGATGTTTTAAAAATCACAAGTAACATGCAAAATAATGGATGCTTTTAAATAAATAAAACATGGACAAGATCAGAGACTAAGAAAATGTGTTCATGCTCAAAAAGCACTAACCCAATGGTAGGTGTCAACACAGACCATCATCACTTGGATTGTCAACACTGATTTTAATCCCTCCACCGTCCCCAATAGGTAAAGGGCATCTCTGAAAGGGAATTAGCATCTGCTAGCTTCTGGATGCTAGCAATGCCATCATAAACTTACCCTCTACCTTTTGTTGCTGAAGCACAGCCACAATGATTGGTGAGAGGGCATGTTGCCCCTGGTCAACCAAGCAAATTAAGGCTACTGAACTTATCTAAGTTAACTAATCCTGACTTCCTTTTACTACTGTACTTCTATACTTTTTCTTCATTCATAAATAAACTAGCACTCAAGTAAGAACCATTATTTCACATGCTTAAGACTTCACTTTTCACCTAAACAATACTACTGATCATGCCACAGCTTACACTTTTAAAAATGTTTATTCATAAAAAAAGACTGCACACCTGGATAGCCTCCTGAGACCCAACATCTCACTGTCAAGAGTGTTCCTGGGAAAGCAGAAACAAACATTACATGTGAAGAGAAAATAAGCAATTCCGGAGGGTTATGTATAACCAAATATGGTTGAGAAAAAAAGGATTTATTCAATCCAAAAGATAAAGAATATAAGAACACTTGGGACATTTTAACATGGATGACAGCAGGTAGATTTCTGGGTAGAGGGCTGAGGTAGAAGAATGCACTCCCACAATGAAGAGAACACATCACATTAATTTTTCTCAGACTCATTAATATTAAAAAAATAAGGCAAAGATAGAATTGTACTTTGAAAATGTTATCCTGACTTCCCTGAACAAACTTAAATTAAATTCCTGGGCTAATGTGTTTGCCTGAATTTTGGAGAAGTATACTTTTATTCCCAAATCCTCTTAACATAACTATCTTCTAAATTAGTAAGCCTTTTGGAAGGCACAATAATTACATTATTTCCTTTGTCATAATCTAAAGTAAAGGACTTCTCTCAAACTCTTAGCGTCCACTCATGCCTATTATTTCTAACCGGGTAGGTTCTTTTACTGCTTTAGCTATGATTTATATTTGTTGTTCACTTTTTCACGTTGTTGTACAAGACATTTTCTAGGAAATCTGTTCATAAAGGGAATTTTGTTATTTTAAGAATTTGATGCTCAGTTTTCTTTTTACAGCAGGTTTTAGAGTAGTATCTTTCATTTAATCAACTTGGGTTGTCCCACAGATATAGGTAATTTTTAAGTGTCTGGCCTGGGCTAATGCATCTGTGGAACTGTATTTGTGTGTGTGTGTGTTTAAACACTTAACTAGTTTACAATCTCTCTTTTCATTCAGTGTTGGCACTAACTGTACCATCACTTTTGCCTCCATTACCTTCTTTTGCCTGGGAAGTGTTTATCTTTGGTGACTGAGCTGGAAAACACAGGTGATGCTGTAGTAGAGTTATATAATTACACTCAAAGATGTTCTTGATTTGATGTCTCTGATCTGCTTTCACATTTTTCCTCCGTTGTCCCTGGTATAACAAGGAATTAAGAACTTGGAAGGATGAAATTCATAGGCCAGTAATGGAGGAGACTCACATCTCAGGGTACACCAATCAATTTAGTTACCATGGCATAGACTAGTAAACAAAGTTATTTTCCAAGCAAAAAAAAGTTTTCCCAAATGCTATTTTATAAGAGGGTAATAGGACAGCTTCTCTTTCCTTAACTATTTTTTTTAATCCCTTCATCTTAGTGAATCTCTTAATGTATGAACAGAATTGTATTAACAGTTACTAATGACTTCTTCATTCAGCTTTGAATCTGTCAAGCTGTGCTATTAGTGATTAGCTTATTCCTTGTCTAAGGTATCCTTCTTGGATTGACTCTGATAAAAAGATGGTGAGAGAGTTAAGGCTGAGGGGGAATATAGTGTTCCACAAAGATCAAGACAGAGAAACTCCATGTGGGAAGCACAGACAAAAGAGATGGCCTTGCATGATTCTTTATAGAAGTCCAGCTCCAGAATTTCACAGTAAGGTCCCCTTCCATGAAACCCATGAGAGAAAGAAAGGGTTAGGGAAGTTAAGAGAAAGGTTAGGAAAAAAAAAAAAAGAAGAAGAAAGCCAAATATCTAAAATACTATCTACTTGTCCATTTTTGGCAGAATCTTTTTGGAAATTAAGAGACAGCTTAATAGTTTATGAACTAAAAGAAGTTATGACTTGGAATTTTACAATATGATATCCTTAAAATGGCAAATAAGGAAAAACAAAGGGGCAATAGTAATAACTTACTTCACTGCAGCGATAGCACTAAATTTTTTTTTGAATTTACCATGAAAACTTAACCTAAATTAAATTAAAGTAGCACCATTAAAACAAAATAATGTGTATCACAAAAAGAACATGTTTCACCAACCTATATAAGTAGTTGTCATTTTTATCTATGTCATCTAAAAGCAATATGTTACTTGCACAAAAAAAGTGCTAATTATATAGTTCTAAAAGAATACGTGTTATAAAATATTTAAATCTTATAAAAGAATATTTAATAGCTTAAGAAATATTTTTTCTGTACTTATCTAAGACAAAATAAACAGAAACTGAGATGTTTTCAGTTATGAGAAAAGTATATGTACCTTTTCCTTTTGGCACTACCAGTATCAGAGGTGGCTGAGGAAATCATGCTGTCTCCATCTTCAATGTCATCTCTCCTGGCAAGCTCTTTCTTCTTTGCCTAAAACAGAGCAGATCCCGGGAGTCAAGCTCACTCTGCTGAGCACTCCTAGAATATATTAATATTAAAGAGCTAGACATATCAGATTCACCCAGAGAGATACAATCACACTTAGGATTCGCAAAATTAAAGTCATTAAAGATTTTCAATAACCCAATTTAACAAAAGCCTGCATGATAAAAAAAAGTTTAGAAAATGGATTCAGAGGGTTTGGAAAACAACACAAGCTGAATTTAATACTAAAAAGGGCACTGACTTGTTAAAAGCACTGAGGCAAGTTAAGTTATAGAGGCACCCAGCTCTGGTAGCCATATTTAATTTATATAAAGCCAACTCAAAGATGGCCTTTAGTACCCTCGACTTCTGAAGCAACAGTGTGGCAAAGAAAAAAATTGATGTGAAGTGAAAGAAGATCTACTTTTCAACACATGCATTTTTAAAGACCTTCTGTCAAACACAGCTGAAAGTTAAGGAATACAGGTGAAGTATACTGAAAGGGAAATTCTTGAAATCCACAACATTGATCATTGTATTGACCATACAACATGAAGATTCTTTAGGTTATCTAAAATTGCTTTTGCTGATAACTTGCTTTGGGATTCACTTTCCAAAAAAATACTACCCAAAACGGATAAGTAGACAGTATTTTTATTTCATATTTATGCCTTTTGTCTCAAAACCCCTAACTGACCCATAACCCAGATACCCTTTAATGTGTGCTCTAGAAAAGGATCTAATAATCTCATGGACTCTACACAATGATTATTTAGCCTTAAGATGTCCCTTCTCCTACCATCAATGATACCTCAAAAGAGACAAAGTCTAGAACCAAAGAAATTAACACCTAATCCATAGAGTATCACCTATGATTGGAGGGAAACTGTCTGAAACCCTAAAATCACTCCCCAGAGACAAATTCCTGCCTCTTCTACTCACAAATCTAACCCAGTCTTAACTATAATTTCTATTCTACATGGTCCTGATGATGCTAAAAAATATATATATTCAGCAGTAATTTTTGTTGAAATAAATGATGTGATTTTGCTGGAGGAAATCATACATTAAAAAAAAGTTCTCAAACTGTATAAAATTATTTCAGTTATACATGCAACAACTTAGCAAAATAAAGATATCATACCTGCATGACTTGCTGCAATTTTAGAACTCGCTTGTATATGGCTGAATTGGGAACATTATAGCGTTTGGCATTTTCAAACATTAAATTCAAATCACACTCCAAATGATCCAAAGTTTCATATTCTTGGTTCTTTAGCTTTGTTCTATGGAAGACAAACATATGGCTAGAATTTTCCATTATGAAAATTATGAAACATCCTTCCTCAAAGTTTAGTGTAGAAATTCTGATAAGCATTGGATGGTATCTTTACTAGTTATACTGATCAGAGGTCTGAAATGACATTTTCAAGATATAAAGTGAGGAGGCAAAAGTACCATTGTATTTAGGCAATATGACAATTTAACTAAAAATCCAAAAGCATAAGCTATAACACTATATGACGTAATCAGAGGACCTAGTAAGGTGGTCCATTACAAAGCAAATATACTAGCAAAATCCTAATGGGAAATTTCTGTTAGTGACTAATATGCAAACCCTAGAAAAATTAGGAAGGTTTAAATGACCTTAATGAAGAATCATGGCAATCTACCCATTTCTGAAAACCAGAGACCATTCCAGTTCATGAAAGTTAAAGCAGAGAAAGTACTGGCAATGCCATGAAGAAACATTTAGAATAACCTTTTTTATCCCCCAGGAGTATTAATATGGACAATGAAGATTGGTTTTAATATGGTAAATGAGAGACAGAAATATTCCAATACAAACACTTGCAACTAAACTTGTTTTTAATTAACTTAAAAATCTTAAGAATCCTGATATTTCTCGGAGACACTATGGCTATTACTAATACCAACTCTCATAAAGTCCCTATTTACTTTGTACCAAGTGAAGAGTCATGGTTTGCCCAACTCCATATATATGAATTTAGACAGGATACATTTTTCAAGCTTTTGATTATAGCACTTGTATGCTATTCATCAAAATCACAAAAATAGTACCAAGAACTACAATATGTGTAAATAGCTTCACAGAATAACTGCATAAATTCCACACTTTCCTCTTAGAATGATATCCATTCTGTATGTAAAATTTTACTTAAAATTTACTAAAATCATATCCAGACTCCATGTACTACTGAAAGAGTTATGAATATTAGAGGACATCTTTGGGATGAAGCAAAAACAACAACAACAATTAAACACAAACTCAGCTATCAGTACCAGCTATGTAGCTAGTACCCAGAATTTCAATTACAGTCACAGACTTATTTCTGCCAACTCCAAGGATAATGTGCTGGGTATTCTCAACACCCTCAAAAAACAGAGAACTCAAGTTTGTAAATGATAATCCATAATAAATCTGAAGTTACTTATCAGAATGAAGTTAATCATGAATAGTGGGTCAAGGGAAGAACATAATGGGAAATAAAAGATGGAGTTATACTGTCTAGTTTCTGCCCACTCTTCCATTTTTTAAAAAAATATTTTTTTATTGATTTCAGAGAGGAAGGGAGGAGCAAGATAGAAACATTAATGATGAGAATCACCTACTAGCTGACTCCTGCATGTGCCCTCACTGGGGATCTAGCCCACAACCTGGGTATGTGTCCTGATTGGGAAGTGAACCTGGTTCATAGGTAGATATTTAACCACTGAGCCACACTACCATGGCCACTCTTCCATTTTTGTTACTTTTGATGACACTCAACTATCTTCTTTCTGCCAACAAATCTTACTAGGGCTGTGTTGTACTATCACATATGGCTATTTAAGACAAAATTAAATTTAAAAGCTAATTCCTTAGCTCCACTAGCCACATTACAAGTGCTCACCAGACACATGTAACTAGTGGCACTTGTATGTGGCACCATACTGGACAATATAGCTCTAGAATTCCCTTTGGCTGTCGTAGACCACAATGGAAGGTAGCCCAGCTACTTTGAGGTACCACTAGCCAATCTTTCCTTGGAAAGAAGGCAAATTAGACATCTTAAAAGTTGATCCTTTGCCCTGACTGGTTTGGCTCAGTGGATAGAGCGTCGACCTTTGGACTCAAGGGTCACAGGTTCAATTCTGGTCAAGGGCATGTACCTTGGTTTCGGGCACATCCTTAGTAGGGGGTGTGCAGGAGGCAGCTGATTGATGTTTCTCTCACATCTATGTTTCTAACTCTCTCTCCCTCTCCTTTCCTCTTTGTGAAAAATCAATAAAATATTTTTTTTTAAAAGTTAATCCTTCAGAACCCTAGTGTGCTACCATATAGGCCACAGCCACATCTCTCTTCCTCACACTCCCCTACCTGTGTGCCAGATAACTACCAGAGTAAGTTTAAAAGAAGGGAAAAGTTATTGTAGATTATTGACTTGACAAAATAAGGTTTATATTAAAAAATTTTAACTTGAAAGTTGTAGGCATGTGAATAAGCTGGCTGCAGATGTGTCTTCTTCTGAACTAAATTTATTATTTGAATTTAAAAAAAGACAGAAGAATAAAAGATAATAATGACAAAAACCATTCAATTAAAAGAGACTCTCTCACCATCTACAAGACTATCTTTTCTAAGGTAAAGAGTATAAATCACAAACTTCCAGGCTATTTTCTTATTAATTTCCATGTTATTTTAAGAGGGTAAAATTAGCTGACTTTCTATATTATACTTGTGTACAAAACCTCCAAAGTTTGGATTAAATAAAAACACCATAAATCTTTCTGATGAAATAATAAAAATAAAAGTAACAAAAGCAAAACCATAAAACATGCTTATTTATACAACCTTATTTCCTAGAATACAGTGAATACAAGAATTTTAATTGCTACTATTTTTTAAATATATATATTTTTATTGATTTCAGAGAGGAGGAGAGAGGTGGGGAGATAGAAACATCAATGATAAGAGAAAAGCATTGATTGGCTGCCTCTTGCACACTTCCCACTGGGGATCGAGCCCGCGAGCCCTCAATCGGGACATGTGCCCTTGACTGGAATCGAACCTGGGACCCTTCAGTCTGCAGGCCAACGCTCTATCCACTGAGCCAAACTGGCTAGGGTTAATTGCTACTATTTGGAAGGTTAATTATCTGCCATGTAAACATCATGTTAATACCAGCTTAATCTGATCTTGCCCAGTTAAGATACTTTACCTGCTTTGAGCCTCTACCTGGGTATATTGCAAAACCTAACCTACATGTGGAAGCTCTCAAACATCATATTTTATACTACTTATTTCCTACTATTTTTTATGAAACTGTGGTAGTTTAAGTATTATCTGGTTGAATTCCCAATGATCACTTTAACATTGTCTAAACAAAAAAGGGAACCAAGATAAACCATCTTTCAGTTACTGTTTTAGCTGACGAATTCTCTAAGAGTTGTCTAAACTTATTCTGAGGGGAGAGGAATTCAACTTAGATATATACTTTAAAGAGAGATAAATTGAAATATCAATAGAAGGTATAGGAAAACTTAAGTACCTTGTTCAGGTATAAGAAAATAAAGTTAAATTTTGAGCTGCATGACTTTATAATCCATAATCTGACACATAAAATGTCTAGCTGGAACATCTTACATCAATTTGCATCTTGAATATTTCAGTACAAAGAATATCATTTGTATTTAATCAAATTTATTTCTCACAATAGGAAAGATATTCAAGCATACTCTAGAGTCTAGACATATGAAAAACATTTTCACCTTTAATATCCTTTTCCATTTAAAAAAGGAAGATATATGTGCAGCCCTGGCTGGTGTGTTCAATGGTTAGAGCACCGGCCCACTCACCAAAGGGGTGCAGGTTTGATTCCCAGTCTAGGGCACAAACCTGGGTTGCAGGTTCAAACCCCAGCCCCAGGTTGGGGCACATGCAGGAGAATGTCTCTCTCTCACATCAATGTTTCTCTTTCTCTCCATCCTTTGCTCTCTCTTTCCTCCCTCCCTCCCTTCCACTCTCTAAATATCAATGGAAAAAATATCCTCATGTGGTATCTTTTCAACAACAAAAAAGATATGTACGCAGGCTCAACCACAAGAAAATATATTTATACCAAGTGATGTACCAGACATTTTACCTGATCTGTTGTAGTGATATGGGCATTTTAATTTGCTGATAATAATCAGGGTATTTTTTCTTTGAAGGCAAATGGAAAAAAGGTTCAGCTATTAGCTGCCCTTGGTTATTCCGACAGCTCCTAACTGTGTCATAAAGCTGATAAAAAGGATTTGAAACATCCATAAATGAAGTAATGCTCTCTGCTTCCGATTCTCCTTCTTCATAACGTGCAGCTTAAAAGACAAAAAAAATGTATTTATGAGGAAAAGAACCATACTTTGAAAAGCTCTTTTAACAACCTTCCAGATTAAGCTTTATGTTTGAGAATATTTATTTTAAAAGAGTAAGTTCTACCCTTCACTAAAGATGTTAGTAATGCTCAATGTAACTGTATGATTACTTAGAAAAAGTTATACAGAAATAGAGTAGAATGTTACCTAGTAAATTTGCTATTTTTAAAAGGTTACAAAACAAACAAAAGGTTACAAAAGCAATTTATCTTTTTAAATGTGCCTTCCTCAGAGACTCCTTGCTCTGTAATTTTGGCTAAGAAAAGGATCAAGTAGCCTTTAATGGTTCTTAAAGCTGAAAAGTAAAAGCTAAAACTATGAAATTCTTAGAAGAAAATGTAGGTGTGAATCTTCCTGGCCATTGGCAACTACTTTGTAATCCTTTTGTGACAATACTACTTATTCGAAAAAAGGCAATAAATACTTTTTAAAAATTTTGTAAATAGTGTGGTTTTTCCTCAATTTGTTATGTTACTATAAGATTAATGAAGTTAACCAAATATTGGAAGAAAACCTAAAATAAAACGTGTATCACTTTTATAAAAAAAAAAAAAAAGGCTAATGAAAAGAGCAAATTTCTTTCAATTTTTTTATGACAAGGCTTAATTTAAATTTAAAAAATTTATTTCTATAGGTAAGTATCAAAAAGTTAAATTCATACTCTAATAAGTAGTTAACAGTAATTATGAAATTTTTATAGATCTAGTACAAAATAACATACAGCTGGAAAAATCTGTTGTATCATACTTGATTATAAAATCAAAAGATATGCCTGAATAACATTATGAAACAAATGTTATCTCTACATATAAAAAAACCTACAATAAAATGAAAAATATTATATAATGCTTAAAGAGAAAGACAATGACATCAAACATCTCTCTACTAGAGGCTTGGTGCTGGTGCACGAGATTCATGTAATGATGGAGGGTGAGGGGGGGGCCCTCAGTTGGGCCTGTGCTCCTTACCCCGCCTGCAGCAGAAGCTGGAGAGGCTCCTGCCACTGTTGCTCTGGGCTCACCAGCCGTGAGCCCTGCTTCTGGCTGAGGGGTGCTCCCATTGTGTGAGCACACTGAGCATCAGAGGGCAGCTTCTGCATTGAGAGTCTGTCCCCCTGGTGCTCAGTGCATGTCATAGTGACCTATCGTTCTGCTGTTTGGGTGATTTGCATTTTATATGGGATAGCTATTGTTTAGATTACTATTTAACCAACTGTACTCTTACATGCATTTTTAGTGCTCAATGCCCTCTTTTGGGCTTGTTTAAATGACAATTTACTATTCTGCCTTGATTATAATTTACATCTACCTTTAAGTCATAAGCTATAGCCGAGAAAAAGTCAACAACCTGGAAATCCCATATAATAAAATCAGGATATATGCTAAGTGTCCAACCATTTGTTCAACTGATCAACCAGTCTCTATGACTCACACTGACCACCAGGGGGCAGATGCTCCAACCAGTAGGTTAGCTTGCTGCTGGGGTCTGGCTGATTGGGACAGGGCAAAATGGGCCAGACATGTCCTAGAGCTCTCCGACGGTCCCTCCCTAGTCAGCCCCAATTGGGACTGGGTGAGAAGGGCCAGGTACACCCAGGAGCCCTCCGTAATCCCTCCCCAGGCCCAATCATGCATCAGTGGGGTCCCTGCTTGGCCTGTGCCCTCTCGCAATCCGGACACAATCCGGGACCCCTCAAAGAATGTTGGAGAGCTGGTTTCGGCCCTATCCCCTCAGGTCAGGCCAAGGTTCCCCACTAGTGCACGAATGTCTTCCTGTGATTCCCTGATGTTGTCACTAGTCTCACTAACACAGGTTTCAAACCAGGATCTGCTAATGCTATCAAACCAACTGTATTGAAAGAAGTATTTATTTATTTATTTACAAACTTTAACACAAAATAAAGCAATAAGCTTTTGTTAAGTTTGCCAACCAAAGAGTGAAATCAAAATGCCACAAAATAGCTTGTACTTCAAACCTGATAAACTCTCAGCCAGACCAAAGTCACTGCAATTTTCATTATCCAGAAGGACCCACTGAAAAGGCATTGAACTAGTCTCACAGCCTAATGCCTACCAGCCAAAGCAGCATCCTCTTCACTTTCTGAGCCATACTGAAGGGCCATGGTAATTGCCGATAAACGACCTCCTTGGACTGCTCTCTTATTCCTACAAATAAAAAAACAAACAATTAGAAGGCATGGAAAGATGTTATAGTAATTTGTTTACTTTATAGAAAATAGGTACTGTTAACAAAACATTCAAAGAAAAAGAATTTCTATTCAATTGCCTCCTCAATTTATCTTTGTACTTTTATATTCTACATAATCAGTTTTATCCAGTATCAATATTTTTCTCTTTAAAAAGTGGGGTGGTGTTAGAAAGCCTAAAGTAGGCTACTTGCAATTTGTTTTTAATATAAATGCAATACTAATTTCTTATTTTAAGAAAAATAAAGATTCCTTAATAATTACTGGTTAATTCTCTTTTAAGATGTTCATGTTTTACAGTGAACACAAATTCTATCATGAACACAAAACCTTTTATATTTTACCACATGTTTTACTGGTAATATTAAACATACCCAACAAACAACTTTGCTTAAATATTTTCTAAGAGGTGAGGTCAGGCCTAAAGTAGTACCTCAACCTTTTCTTTCTCTTTATTGATTTTAGTGAGGGAAGAAAGGAGGAGGAGGGGGAGGTGGGGAAGGGAGAAGGAAGGGGAGAGTGAGAGGGATGGGGAGAGGAAGAGAAACATCGACTTGTTGTTTCACTTATTATGGTTGTTTCTTGCTTGTGCCCTGACTGGGGATGGAACCTGTAACCTTGGCATATCTGGATGATGCTCTAACCAGCTAAGCTACCCGGCCAGGGCAGTATCTCAACCTTTTAAATAAGGTACTTGATAACAAACTCTTATAATAACCCAGCTCTACCCCAAAATATTACTTCTAGATAGCCATCAAGTAAACACTGGTATGCCTATCCTCATAAACATGGGTCAGCTCTCAGACTAAACACACTCATTCTCTCTCACCGGTAATACTTGCTAGTGGGATTTCTCTCTTCACCAAGGCTGCCTTTACTGTGTGCAGAACCTGTCAGCCTGGCTGCAGCCAAATTTGATGAAGTCCTATCCAGAGATAAGATTAAAAAACAAACAACAACTCAGAAACTTGACAGCTAAAATCAGAATGCTGGGTAAACAAAAAGGAAACAACCATTTTCCTCTTGTCTAAATAGAAATGCTCCAATACTTCTGAGCCTCTATGGTACAGCAGGCGTTGTTCCATAACCTGGGAATGTACCACAGCTGGTACTACAGAGCTCATGGTGATGAAAGAATCTAATAACCAAGCAAATATCAGGGTCAGAAGAAAGCTTCTAAAGTAGCCACTCAACCTTTCCATTCAAGTTGGAGGAAACAGAATCCCAGAAGATTTGTTCAAAGTCAGTTCTAGCACAAGGAAAAGCCAGGATAGGATGAGACTTTAAATCTTCCGACAACTGACTAAATACTCTTACAGTAAATATAAACATCTTCTACTGTACATTATATACAAATATCATAAATTACCTATATTATATATAGTATAAATCATGTGTATAATATGTAACATACAAAATAAAACTATACATATAACACATATGTGATATATATATATATATATATATATATATATATATATATATATATAGGTAGGTAGGTAGATAGATATAGCAATAAAAGCATTATAGTGATGCTAAGTCTTAAAAATCGTTTCTTTTTAAATAAAGCCCTTCAGCTGCAATGAAGGTGCTGGGCAAGAGTTATCCCTACTCTCTTCAGAATCACATTATAAATAAAATCTTGAAATGCAAAATATTTGTTTTCCACTATATGGATTTCACTAGCTATCTAGAAGATTAGGCAAATAATAAAAGCACAAAGGTTTTAGAGATTGCTTTTTTAACTGATTTTTTTTTTTTTAATAGAGAGAGAAAAAGAGAGAGGGAAACATCAATGTGAGAGAGAGAAACATCAATTGGCTACCCCTCCCCACCATCGAGCCCCAAACCTGGGCATATGTCCTGACTGGAATCGAACCTGCTACCTTTCGGTGCACGGGATTATTATGCCCAACCAAGTGAGCCACATCAGCCAGGGCAAACTAGCCATTTTTAAACCTACCTTATTCGAAGACTTGACTTAGCCATTTCATGTTCAATTTCTGATTTTTTCATATAAAATATCTTTTTAATAGAATTTGCATCCTGTCAAGACAAAATTAGTTATTTTACAAAAAGTATCAAAAAAAAGGACAGTTTAAAATTCTCTTAATTATATACTGGATATTTTCTATGGCACTCCTTCTATCGATATCTGGAGTAGCCTTTCATTCAACGGCCACAAAGCTGCATCCTCTAACCTTTCCATAAGCTTCTAAAACATCTCTTTAATTAAATATAAGTTTAAAAGCCTCCCAGCTTTTTCAATTAGTTAAGATCTAATGATGAACAAGGAAAACCAGTGGTGAAAATATAATGAAGTCTATGAAAATACAATGAACTCTACCTGTGTACACTGACCTAAAAATTAAAACAAAAATACCTTCTAAGATTAAAGACTATCCACCTAAACTTAGAATGTACTCACTTAAGTTAATAGACTACTAATACATCAGAGCCAAAGTTTACCTTCTCTCTATAATTTATTTTAGAGAAAATAATCACATCAAAAAAGTAGTTCCTAACTGCATCAATAATTGGTATTACACAATTAAAATGTCCAACGAAGGACTAAGAATACAAGGATTGCAAATTCATTCCTGGTTTTTATTAAAAATTTCTTAAAAGGTAAAAAAGAAAGGTTAATACTGAGTATTGAAAGCAACGGTATTTGAATCAGCATTCTGAAAGTCTAAATATTTTATTCCTAAAAGATTTTCTGAGGATCCTGTGCTAAATTCCCAATGATATATTATTAATTCAAGAAATTTCTACAAACAACTGTTCATTACAGGACTATAAAATTTATGAGGGAACTGCAAAACAATTAAATAGTCATATTATTTTTTGTATTTATTATACTATACAGATTGCTTTTTATATGTATGTTGCTTAAATGCAGGGACTAAATCAATATTTAACCAAAAAGTGGAAAACAAACAAACCTTGTCTGGCATAAAGATAGACACGAATGGAATAGAATTAAACCCAGAAATAAAACTATAAATGTATAGTCAATTTATTTTTAACAAGGGTGCCAAGACTAGTCATTGGGGAAAATAATCTTTTCAACATGAGGTGCAAGGAAAAATAATTATCCCACGTAAAATACTGAATATGGATTCCTATTTAGTACCTACCTCATGTTTCCAAAATTAATTAAAAATGGACCAAAAACCTAAATGTAAAAGCTAAAACTATAAAATTCTTAGGAGAAAACATAGATGTTAAGCATTATGACCTTGAATGAGGTAGTGGTTTCTTTTGCTTTATTTTAAACCTAGACCAGTGTTCACCAACCTTTCGGACTTCACAGACCACCAGTTGGCAACCACTGACCTAATCCCGCTTCCTACCCCCAATGTTATTTTGTATTAGTTTTAAGTTTACCACAAGCATAATGATTAAGTAATCATATACTTTACAAAGCGTCCCCCCGATATTTCCAGTACCCACTTAGCAACATACATAGTTATTACAATACCGGTAATAGTTTCTTGATAAGATTCTATAAGCACAAATAACCAAAGGGAAAAAATAGACAAATTGGACTTACCAAAATTAAAAATGTTTGTGCATCAAAGGACACTATCTTAAAAGTGAAAAGACAAACCACAGAATGGGAGAAAATACCTGTAAATCAAGTAACTGGTCTAGACTATCTAAAAATCTAACAACTCAAAAATAAAAACTTAGGTAACCCAATTAAGTAGTAGACTAAGAATCTGAACAGATACTTTTTCAAAAATATATGAATGGCACATGAAAAGATGTTAACATCACTAATCATTAGGGAAATGCTAATCAAAATCATAATGAGCTATTATTTCACATCCACTAGGATGACTATAGTAAAAACAAAAATAAAAAACAAAGTTGGTGAGGATGTGGAGAAATTTCACTTCCACATTGCTAGTAGAAATGTAAAATGGTGCAGCTGCTTTAGAAAAAAATTTGGTGGTTCCTAAAAGTTAACTTAGTTACCATGTGACCCAGAAATTCTATTCCTAGGTAATGTAATCATGAAAAATGAAAATATATCCAAATAAAAATATACATGAATGCTCATAGTGCATCCTATATAATAATCAAGTATAATAAAGAGGTAATATGCAAATTGACAACCAAGCCCTTATAAGATGGCTGCCTACAACCAGGCCGGCAGGGGGGTTACTGAGGGATGACCAAACGACTGAACAGCAGGCTGCGTGGGGCAACCAGGTCAGCTGAGGGGGGAGGGGGGCGAAATGGGGGCAACTAGGCCAGCATTTGGAAGTGACCAGGGTGGTGATGGGAGGAGGGGGGTAGTTAGGGGCTACCGGGCAGGCAGGCAGGAGAGCAATTAGGAGCCAGTGGTCCAGGATTGTGAGAGGGATGTCTGACCGCTGGTGTAGGCCCGATCCCCGGGTTTGGGCCTAAACCAGCAGTTGGACATCCTCCGAAGGGTCCTGGATTGGAGAGGGTGCAGGTTGGGCTGAAGGGATCCCTCCTCCCCACCACTCCTTTGCACGATTTTCATGCACTGGGCCTTTAGTTATTTTTAACAGTCAAAAAAGTAGAAATAAACTAAATGTCTAGCATCTGATGGGTAAATAAAACATGGTATCCTATGTAATAAAAGAATAATATGTAAATTAGCCATCACTCGGTGACAAAAATGGCGGTGCCCATAGTAGACACTGGGGCACCACCCAGGCAGCAGGAGCCCAGTATCTGCTCCTTGGCTGCAAAAGGGATCTCTGGCCAGAGAACTGGGAGCAACCAAGCCCCAGCAGTGCTGCAGGAGAGAAAGGACCTCTGGGGCCACAAGTTCGCACGCCCAGAATCCGAGCACCCAAAGTCAGTGCCCCGGTCTGCCATGCTGCGGGAAGGAAGAAGCATGTGGGGTCGCAAGCCCAGAGTTTGTGCACCCAGAGTCTGCGCCCTGGCTGGCCATGCAGCAGGAGGGAAGGAGACTGTGGAGTCCTGAGCCCAGAGTCCCAGCGCCCAGAGTCCTCGACCTGGCCTGCCTTGTGGCAGGAGGGAAGAGGCCTGTGGGGCCCCAAGCTCAGGGTCCCCGTGGCAGGGAAGGAACCAGGAAAATGGATCTTTCCAGTTCCTGATGCTGACAGAGCCCTATGGGTGCCAGGGTCCTCCACCTGCAGCCCCCAGTCGCAGCCCAGCAGCTCCAGTCACAGACTGGAATCCCCCTGCCAGCAGTCCAGACAGGACCAGTGCGGCTCCAGGGGGAGGAGGTGTCTGGCAGGCATGCAACAGACATCAAATCACTGCTGCCAAGGCCACTCCCCCCCAAACTCGCAAGTAGTATGGTCCAAGGGAGCGACTCCTGAGGCAAGGCTCCCATAGCAACTGATGTGCAGCCAGGCAAGGAAGCCGGACCTGAAAACCCAAGCACATGAGTACCCGAGCTGCAGGGCATCATGGGCCGGGGCCCTGAGGAGGCCCCAGGACAAGCGTCTTCCCAGAGGCTGTGTGGATGGAGTGGAGGAACCTCTGGCTAGAGGCCAGGTGTGGGATGCTGGCGTCTTTGCAAGCCAAGACCAGGCTGAGGGACAACCCCCCCAACCCCCGTGCACGAATTTCATGCACCAGGCCTCTAGTATACATATAATAGAATATTATTCAGCAGTGAAGAATATTAAGTCCTTACACATTCTACAACATGCATACCTTGAAAACATTATGCTAATATGAAATGTCCAGAATATGCACATTCATAGAGAAAAAGTAGACTGGTGGTTGCCTAGGGCTGGGGAGGCTGGGAGGAAATAGATATTCACTGCTAACTGGTTGGGGAGAATGGATATTGACTGCTAACTGCAGAACTCTGTGAATAAACTAAATGCCATTAAATTGTACTCATTAGGTGAAATGCACAATATATAAATTTTAAATCAACAATGTTGTTATATAAAAATTATTAGCTCTAAATTAAGGTATCCACTCTTATCAAAAAAATAACGAAAAAAAACTAACCTTGAATACTTGAGAACCAGGTTCATTATAAGTTTTGGCATTTTTTGCTAGAAGATCTATATCTTTGGCCATTGCATGAATACTCTTGTAGCTTCCATTCTATAGTAAACAACAAAATATACAAGTTCCTATTATTAAAAGTTAATCAGTATGACCTTTAAAAAAAAGAACACATATTTTTAAAAAATATATATTTTATTGATTTTTTTTACAAAGAGGAAGAGAGAGAGGGAGAGAGTTAGAAACTTCAATGAGAGAGAAACATCAATCAGCTGTCTCCTGCACACCCCCTACTGGGGATATGCCCACAACCAAGGTACATGTCCTTGACCAGAATCAAACCTGGGACACTTGAATCCGCAGGCCTATCCACTGAGCCAAACCGGCTGTGGCTCCACATATTTTTTAATTGCCACTATGTTCCAAGTCTTTATTGGAAATACACATGAACAATATGTTAAAGTAAAAATTTATTAATATTGTCCATTTACAAGCAAGTTTTTTAGGTAATTAACAAAATCAGAGCTAAATTATTCTCATAAAATAACTTACAATTTCTTTTAAAAAATCAAGGTAAAAGTTGTTTTACTTAGCAAACACATAGTTCCTACTTAGGTTCTAAGTGTTTCATTAATACTAATTTATTAAGGTGGACTTAACAGTGTGAAGTAAAACTCCTCTAGTTTTATGGACCACTTCTAATAAAAAAGGTCATTCTTGCACGGATGTTAACATTCGTACATACCCTCATCTTAACACTTATTCAATCCAAAATAACCCAGGTGACTCCTAATTGCCTCACTTTACAAAAGAAAGGAAGGAGGGAGACTCTCTACTCAAAAAGTACACATGAGGACACAGAAATTGACAGGTTCTAGAGAGAATGAAGAAACCAAATAAAGAAGAATGGACGGTGGGGAAGGGTAAAACCACGAGCACAGGCTGCATAGGTAGAGTAGGGAAAATGAGGCAGAGTACAGAGAACCAGGCAAAGCAGAAGAGCTGGTCATTTGTCTTGTAGGGATACCCAATATCTGAGCACCCTTTTTATGTGTAGGAAATGCCAACACAGGTGATAGGGAAGGACCTACCTTTCACAACAGAAGGCAAAAGTGGGCAGATGGTAGCTTTGCCAGCAGCCTGGCAGCTAAGGCAAGGAGAAATACTTCATGCTTGAGCCTTGAGGGACTAAAGACAACAGCAAGGGAATGGAGGAATGCATTCCTAACTCCTGAAGGAGAGCAGAGTACAGGAGTGGAGCAGCGGTGTCCGAGGTGCACATTGGCAAATGACAGTGGTAACGGCAATGGCACCACAAAGAGACTGTGTATCACTATGTCATGTAATACATGACAGCCCTGAGTTCCATTTCCCATAGCTCTCCCACCTTCCTTCTCAATGATTCCATGAACTATCTAATACCTTTTCATGGATTCTTTTCTGCTTAAATTAGCCAGAGCTTGTTGTTGTTGAACTGGCACAAGCAGCTGCAACTTCTTTCAGCAGGCATTAGAAAACCGGTGACAAGTCTCTGGGTAGTGGAATAGCAGGAAGAAAGCTAGGGTCAGGAAGCAACATGCAGAGTGGACTAGAGAGCCTTTCATCAGAGGGAATAAAGATTATTACAATTATTTAGACATAAGAGGACAAAGATTTTAATTAGGAATGTGGTGAAAGGAGTTGCTTCTGAGAGGCTTCGGAAGGATAAAGGAAAGAGGTCACATACGGTGAGAGGTCACAAAGTGAAGACTGGGGCTGAGGTATGTGTGTTTAAAGAACCACTCTGATTTTCTGTATTATGAAAACATTTTATCCCTAGATAGATGTTAGAAACCCTAGGGATTTAAGTTCTAGGAGATTAAGTCACTCCCAGTAGCACCTACTACTCCCAGTAGCACCTACTAGGTTGCCTGAAAAACCAGGAGGGAATTTGTATTATAACATTCTGTGTAAATATTTCTATGGCACCAATAATTACTACCCTGTTACTCTTTCCTACTCTTTTAGAATTTAAAGCCAAGGAAGTTTCTCCCTCCCGGCAAACCACTGTGCTTTCAGACTTCTTTCTCAATGACACCATATAACCATTTTCCTTTCTGCTTTATCTGCTAGTAGCCTCCTTATCCTGGGAGGATCAGTCGCTCACATTACCAAGGCCACATCTCATAGATGCTCTAGGAGATGCTTCACATACATTATCACCGAGCTCTAAAACTCTGTGAAGCAGTAATACTACATTCAGAAAACAGCAGAGGAAGCAAGCAGGTTGCCTGACCAAAGTGACATAGCTAATAGGAAGCAGAGCTAGGACCCTGGCCAGTATTTCAAAATGGTTACAGCATTGACCCCAAGCACCAAATGGTCACTGGTTAATTTCCAGTCAAGGGCAGGTACCTGGGGTTGCACGTTTGATCCCTAGCCCGGGTCAGAGTGCATGTAGTAGGCAACTAATCGATGTGTCTCTCCCACATTGATGTTTCTCTCTCTCTCTTCCCTTCCCCCCTCCCTCTCTCCCTTCTACTCGGTCTTTAAAAAGCAATAAAAAAATATCCTTGGGCAAGGATTAACAAAAAAACAACAAACAAATAAATAAATAAAGCAGAGCTAGGAAAATAACACGTTAGTCCAAATTCTAAAAACTAGATTTTTAGTATAATTTAGCTCATTTTTCCTATACCTTCTTTAACCTATGATAATCAAATTTCAATTCTCATTCATTTTCATTCACTCAATTTATAAATATCTGCTCTATAGAGAGGAAGTAACAGTATAGGGGTTAAGAGCATAGACTTCAGAGACAGGCTGTCTGGATCCAAATCTTCACTCTTCTCCTTAATAGTTGATGACTTGGGAAGTGAGCTACCACTCTTATTTGCTTTTATCACGTTAATGTGATATCCCTTACAGAGATATCTGCTTCTTGTTTTCTAAAGCTCCATAAGAACATAAGCCAATCTACCCTAAACCACATACAATTACATATGGTCATCTTCATACCTGTATCCTCTGGGCAATGGTCTTGAGATCTATAGGTTCCTTAATTATTGCATAATAGTCTGGATATTGCTGAAAGACAAAAGCCAGGCATGCTTAATATTGATAGGTGAAAGTATCCAGCTAATGAGAAAACAAGGAAGCACACTGACTCTGACCATCTTAATCAACTGAGCAGCTTTGTGGGATTCAAAACTAAAGACACAGCTGTCTAGCATATCAAGCTTCATGAACTACCCTCAGCATGTTATAGTCTATAGTTAGTAGTTTTAATTATTATTATTATTATTATTATTATTATTTTTTAAATATACTTTACTGATTTTTTACGGAGAGGGAGAGGGATAGAGAGTTAGAAACATCGATGGAAGAGAAACATTGACCAGTTGCCTCCTGCACACCTCCTTCTGTGCTGGCAACCAAGGTACATGCCCTTGACTGGAATCGAACCCGGGACCCTTCAGTCCACAGGTCAATGCTCTATACACTAAGCCAAACCAGTTAGGACTTATTATTATACAACTAGCACTTAATGTTTAAAAAAATTCTAAATTCAGCCCTAGCTGGTTTGTCTAAGTGGATAAAGCATTGGCTCACAGACTGAAGGGTCCTGGGTTCAATTCTGGTCAAGGGCATATATCTTAGATGCAAGCTCATTCCCTGGTCTGGGCACATGCAGGAGGCAACCAATTGATGCTTCTCTCTCATATCCATGTTTTTTCCTATATCTCTTCCTTCTTTCCACTCTTTCTAAAAACCAACAGAAAAATATCTTCAGGTGAGGAATAACAAATAAAATAAAATCTAAAGTCACAGAATCACATAACTAAAATAGTAATAACCTAGTTCTCCCATTCTGGGAAGGCTTTTGGGATACCATGCAGCGGGAGTTCACTGGGGAAAGCAGGTTCCCAGTGGACTTCAGGGTGTAACAATTCCAAAGACAACAAAGAGGGGAGGGCAGTTTTTAGCTATCCTTTATAAATCTTTCCGAAATAGGAAATCTTAGAGCCCAAACAACAACAAAAGTAAAGGCCACAGCTTTCATCCAATTACTAAGCTGAAGGGATGATCTCAGTGATGCTTCCCCTTATCTGATCACTCAGCTTATCCCTCTATTTTCTTAACCTTATTACTCCTGCCTTTGCTTGGATTAAACCCCTTTCCTGTCCACCCTCTTCACCAATTCTACTTCTGAGAAACAGTTTAGAAGACAAATTATGGCACAGCCACACAAGCTGGGGTACAATGTAATCCAAGCCGCTGGCTCATGTATTTCCAATCCAACCCTCCCACTAGCCAGTCCTACTTCGGAAAGATTTATAAAGGATAGCTAAAAACGGCCCTCCCCTCTTTGTTGTCTTTGGAATTGTTACACCCTGAAGCACCACTGGGATCCTGCTTTCCCCAATGAACTCCTTCTGCATGGTATCGAAAAAGCCTTCCCAGAATGGGGGAACTAGGTTATTACTATTTTATTACTCCAAATTAACCTTGGTGGCTCAACTAATACTGATTATCTCCTGCACAGTAAGCATAAGTCTTGAGTAAAAATCGTACTCATCTCTCCTATTTATTGTAGTAAAATATACATAAGATTTACTATTCAATCATTATAAATGTATAGCTCAGTGACAGTAAGTACATTCACATTATAGTGCAACCATCACCATCATCCATCTCCAGAACTTTTCATCCCCCCAAACTGAATCTCCATACCCATTAAACAGTAACTCTCCACTTTCCCCTTCCTAATTGGCTCTGGAAATTGCAATTCTACTTTTTGTCTCTATGAATTTGACTACCCTAAATACCTCCTCAAAGAGGAATCATATAATATTTGCCCTTTTGTGTCTGGTTTATTTCACTTAGCACAATGTATTCATTCTTATTTTAGCATGTGTCAGAATTTCATTTAAAAAACTTAAAGGACGAATAATACTTTACTGTGTGTATATATCACATTTTCTTTATCCACTAATCTGTTAAGGGACACTTAGGGCTGGTTCCATGTTTTAGAGATAGTGAACAATACTGCTATAAACATGGGTGTACAAATATCTCTTTGAAACTCTGCTTTCACTTTTTGGGTATACACCCAAAGTGGAATTTCTGGCTCATCTGGTAAATCTGTATTTAATTTTTTTTGAGGAATCGTCTTAAGGCAGCTGCCTCGATCCTCCCAGCCCCAGCTTTATCCGGAAGTTCGTCAGGAAAAACATCTGGTTTAATGAGCATTTGATGCTTTTAATATTATAGAAAAGTTAGTTTATGTGTTTATTTTATCATTTAGAATTACCCATCTTAGAAACAACCTAAAAGCCCAGGAAGAGATAATAAAATGTGGTGTATAAACAAACCATATATACATACAATGGGGTATTAGCCTTAAAAAGGAAGGAATTCTGACACATCCTACAACTTGGAGGAACTCTGGAAACATTACACTAAAGGATAAATATTGTATGATTCCTCTTATATTACGTACTAAGTCAAATTCAGAGAAAGACAGAACATAGAATATTGGTTTCAGGGCATGGGAGGATGGAAGAGTAAGGCATTATTATTTAATGGATATGGAGTTTAGGAAAACGAAAATTTCTGAAGATGGATGATGGTGATGGTTGCACAATAATATGAATGTAACTAATAATACTGAATTTTTAAGTATTAGTGACAAATTCTTAAAATGGTTAAACGGTAATCTTATGTTATGCATATTTTATGACAACAAAAAATATACAGAATTACCAATCAAGAAACAAAAACACAAAATTTTTTCAAAACCCACAGCCTTCTGGCCAAGTATAGAACATATCCTGTTGTGCTGCTGAGACCCTGAGAGGAGCTCTTGGCTATCTCCAATGCCTTCCATTAACTGTACTCTATTTACTAAGAATAAAACATCTGAAATATTTAAAAATAAAACACCCACACTTGAATTCACCTATTTTTAATTGTATCACTTACCACTTTAGAAGGCAGTTTCTGAAAAAGTTCACTAATGAGATGTCCTGATGGATTTGTTGCTACAACGATAGCTTCAAGAAGCTGCTCCAGGATCTCCTTCAAGTAACTTGGAGAAGACTGAAAGGAGGGGATTGAGTGTAAGAAGAGAGGGGAGAAATAAGCACTTTACAAGAGAAATCCCAAAATAAATACTTTAAATATTTCCCCAAATTTGAAAGCCAACTCAAAGAACAACTTCTAAACGGCAGTTATTTTAAATACAAGTTTTAAGAATATCATAGAAATGCTCTGGATGCTGAACGTGGTAGCTGTACTCACAGAATGGCACATGTGAAACTAATGAGGCACTTCACATATTTCAGTAACTAAATCTTTTGGATAAAGTCCTTTTATAAACTCCATTCCACAGTAAATATTGTTAACAGTGAATTTCAAGTACCATATGTATAAATGATTAGACATGCATACCTTTTTTGGGTCTGAGCAACTAATAAGGAAAAACATGCCCCATGATAGCAAGTCATTTCTATACCTGCTGTTCATATCTACTCAAGTCTTGATATTTTGGTAAAATAACTATATATGTAAAGTGGGAACAACATACTTTTCACCAGAGCGTGCTCTGCCAGCTCTAATAACAGAATTCAAGTTACATCAAGACTGATGCACATCACTTCTCTCCAGATGGCCAGCTTATCTTACCTTAGTCACTGATTCAACATGGAAAGTATATGACCCAAAAAGAACCTGGCCAGTTTCTATAGTAAGCACTGGGATATCTCAGTCAAGGTTTATAGTAAATGGTAGTTCAAGTCCAAACCTACAAGTCAGGCACAGTCTACATGTCAGGAATAGGTGAAGAAGGTGGTTTATTTTGGGGACTATAATTCTTCTTGGGGGAAGACAGAAAATAAATATATAATCTAATAAACAAGTTAGCTGACCAAGTTATATATTGGTAAAGACTGAAGACCAAAGAGATGTGATGACGGAAAAAGTGTGTGGAGCAAACAATTTAAATGGGATGGTCAGGAAAGTCCTCTCCCAACTGACATTAAGTGTTATTAGAATAATGAAAAAGAGCAGTGATGGAAGAGCCAAAAGAAGCACATTCTAAGCAGAAGAGTAACTGCAAAATTCCAGCGACAGGAACACACTTGGCACATTCTAGGAACAGTACTCAGTCTAACCCACAAAAATATTCCTAAGGTGATTCCATTGACTCTCCAATTTTTAATCACAACAAATGTTGTAATTTACATGTTATCTCAAATAGGAACATTGAATCACTGATGATATGATCATATTCTTTCAAACTGAGCAAGAAATATGCATTAATAAATAAGAGCAATTCAAAAAAGCAATCACACATGGGACATTGTCCTGGATGTCTTATGATTCCTTTTAAATGCAGCGGGGTCTGTCTATATTATGACCCTTGACCTTCCCAGTTACCAACACAACTATATGGAAAGACCATAATAGCCTAGAGAAAAATCACAGGGGCCTTGTCCACTTCCAACAGCCCATTCCAGCTGCGCACTTACTCCTTCAGTCACTGTGCCTTGATTGTCTTGTCCATCTTCATCATCATCTTCATCATCTGCTTCTCCTTTCTGAACAAACTCGTTTCTTGTTCGAAGGTACAAATCCCAGAGTTTGCAAGCAGCTTTATATTCAGGAGAATCTGGCTGTATATTAGCAAAGAGAAGAGAAAAAAAAAAGCATTTTATTATTTTATTATAAATCAATTACTACTTTTAAAGCATCCTGTTCCAGCAGAGACTGGTTTTCTAAGATGTAACTTCAAAAACTACAAATGTTAAACTCCTTATGATTAAAAGATATATGGGCCACAATTAATTTTCTCAAGAACTAAATGTATGTTTTAAAGGTACTCTGAAATAAAATTTTATTTTATTAATACACAGTTTCAAGAGTAAATCTAACAACATTTTTGTAGAATCTTTATGAAAGAACATTTAAAGTTTTGATAAACTAAAGAAGACTTAAATAAACGAAGACATAGCAAATTCATAGATTGGAATAATCAATATCACAATTATGTCAATCCTCCAAAATATGATCTACATTAAGTCAATGCAGGCCCAATAATAATTCCAAAATATTTTTGTATACTTATTGACTTTAATACACTAATATTAAAATGTATAAGGAAATGCCAAGAATGTATAAGGAAAAGGCTAAGAATAGCCAACATGCTTTCCTTAACAGATAAAGAATTATAAAGCCACTAGAGGCCCAGTGCATGAAAATTTATGCAAGGGGGTGGGGGTCCTCTCAGCCTGGCCTGCCCTCTCTCAGAGTCCAAGAGCCCTCAGGGGATGTCCTCCCTTGTGGGGGAGGAAAGGGGTGCAACCAGACTGATCACAGGAAGGTATTACCCCCATCACCCCTCTGCGTGCCCTCAGCCCTCGATTCTTGGCACTGGTCCTGCCCCACCCATTGGTGGGTGGGGGGATCTGGGTCCAGGACGGCTATTGGAGGGGCTGTGGGAGGTTGAGGCACAGGATGCATCTTGACCAGCCTCTGCGGAGGTGTGGCGCCTGGCCCGGGCCCACACTGCTGCCTCTGTAGCTGCCTCTGTGGAAGGGGCAGCACTGGGACAGGGCAGCGCGATGGCCTGTTCCATGCCACCTCTGCAAAAGGTGCCTTGGTGCCGGATCCGCCTGCCTCTCCCACACAGTGCCGGCCCTCAGTCCACACAGCCGCTATGGCTTTGTCTGCCCTAGCTAGCATATTACCCTTTTATTAGTATAGATGCCCTAGCTTGTATAGCTCAGTTGATAAAGTATCAGCCTGTAGACTGAAGGGTCCTGGGTTTGATTCCAATCAAGAGTTACATGCCCCAGGTTGTGAGCTCAATCCCCCGTGTGGGGCATGCAGGTGGCAGCTGATCATCATTGATGTTTCTCTCTCTCCCTCTCCCTTCCTCTCTGAAATCAATTAAAAAAAAAAAAAAGAATTATAAAGCCATATTAATTAAGGCAGAATAGAATAGCCCAGGAATAAACTGGCCAGAACAAAAGGAACTGAATAAAAGGTCAGAAAGAGAGCCATGAGCACATAGAAACGATGACAGTACTGACACTGCAGATAAATGCAGAGGGGCTGGCCATTTCAAGATGCTGCCTATACCTGTGGGAGGAAAATATCTCCACCTCACAAAAAAACACACAAAAATCAATCTCTGTAGCTTTAAGACTTAAATGTAAATGACAAAGCTATTAAATTCTCAGAAGAAAATATAAAAGAAGAATATGTTCATAAACTTTAAGCAAGAGGAGTTTCTGAAACAAGACACAAAGAGGGATAAACCACAAAGTTCAAAACCACAAAGTTCAAAAGTGCATTTGAATATATTGAATTAAAAAACTTCTCTTCATCAAAAGAACCATAAAGAGTGAAAAAGTAAACTCACAGTGGAAGAAGATATCTGCAACACATATAAGGAAAAAAATGATCAGTACCTAGTGTAAAAATTTCTAGAAATATGAAAATGACTAACTACTCTAGAAAAAAAAATAGACAAAATATCTGAGCAGACAGAATAGTTCATAATCATATGAATGTTCAATCTCTTTACTAAGGAAAGAAATGCAAACTCAAACCATAAAATAAGAAACCACTACAAACTTGCAAAATTGATAAATACTAAAAAGCCAGACAATTATCAAATTGGATACTTTCCAAATTTGATGCTTTCTTACCTTGTAATAGGCCTTTGCATTGTTAAAAAGCAGCTGGAAGTCGGCAGTCAGCAGATTAACATCATCATACTCCTCCATTTTTAATTTCTGTTGGATTTTCATCAAGTCAATGGGCTGAGAAACCACTTCATAATAGTCTGGTTGATTTCTGTTATAATTTAATATTTTTAAAAGGTATTAATCCAAAGCCTATAAAAATTATATTTCAAACTATCTATAGTAATGTCAATATTTCAAGTGATAGAAAACACTAGACTTACTGTCATTACTGGAACTAAAAGGAAATAGCAAAAGAAAGATATACATGCATGCCCTTTTCAAAATATAGATGAATGATAAAAAAAAAAGCAACCTAAATTAACATATGTAGTCTTAAATACTACCAGTATAGCCATTTTAATTCTGTATAGCTAGGTTTCTCTCTCTGTTTCTTCTTCTCAGCAATCCCCTACAACTATCCCTTTAGCATTTCTTGTAATGCAGGCTTGCTGGTGATGAACTCCTTTAGCCTTTTTTTGTCTGGGAAGCTCTTTAATTGACCGTCTATTTTGAATGATAGCCCTGCTGGATATAGTAATCTTAGTCTTAGATCTTTTCTTTCTATTACCTCTCAGTAATAACCCTAAATATAAATGGATTAAATGCTCCAATCAAAGGTGTAGGATAGCTGAATGGATATAAAAACATGACAAAACTATATTCTGTCTACAAGAGACCCACTTCAAAACAAGACACACATACAGGATGAAAGTAAAGGGATGAAAAAAAATTTCCATGCAAATGGAAAAGAAAAAAACAACTAGAATAGAAATACTCACATCCAACAAAATAGACTTTAAAAGTATCATGCAGCCCTAACTGGTTTGGCTCAGTGGATAGAGCATCCGGCTGCGGACTGAAGGGTCCCAGGTTTGATTCCGGTTACGGGCATGTACCGTGGTTACGGGCACATCCCCAATGGGGGGTGTGCAGGAGGCAACTGATCAGTGTTTCTCTCTCATTGATGTTTCTGACTCTCTATTCTTTTCCCTTCCTCTCTGTGAGAATCAATAAAATATATTTTTTTAAAAAGTATCATGCTAAGTGAAATAACACAATTGGAGAAAGTAAATATCATCTGATCTCACTCATTTGTGGAATATCATGAACAACATAAACTGATGAACAAAAATAGAGCCAGAGAGGGGGAAATATACTAGAATATAATAAAAATAATCCTGTTATTTGCAGATTTTTAATATTTCCTACAACTTTTGTGATTATCACACTATACTGGTACAGTCTTAGTAATGTCATTACACTTAAAATCCTTTTATTCTTGAAATATGTTTATTGCATGTAATATTACATGTAAGGTCATTTTTCTTGAATTGGAGTTTATTTGCATGTAACATCATATTTAAAATACTTTTCTTGAGACATTGTTTATTGCATGTACATTATTATATTTAAGATAATTTTATTTGAAATATTAAAGTTTATTGCACTTAACATTATTTAGGCAACAAAAAGAAATGAAAGGCAGTCATGACCAGTTTGACTCAGTGGAGAAAGCGTCAGCCTGCGGACTGAAAGGTCTGGGGTTTGATTCCAGTCAAGGCCATGTACCTTGGTTGCGGGCACATCCCCAGCGAGGAGTGTGCAGGAGGCAGCTGATCGATGATTCTCTCTCATCGACGTTTCTGACTCTCTATTCCTCTCCCTTTCTCTCTGTAAAAAAATCAATAAAATATATTTTTTTAAAAAGAAAAAGAAACGGAAGGCATCCACCAAATTGGAAAGGAAGAAGCAAAATTATCTGTGTTCATAGATAAGACCTTACATGCAGATAATTCTAAAGATTACAAACACAAAACATTACTAATAAGCAAATTTAGAAAAGTTGCTATGTACAAAATCAACATACAAAAAAAAAATCATTTGCATTTATATACACTAACAATAAATACTACAAGAAAATTAAGAAAAGAGCTGAGCCGAAGCCGGTTTGGCTCAGTGGATAGAGCGTCGGCCTGGGGACTGAAGGTCCCAGGTTCGATTCCGGTCAAGAGCATGTACCTTGGTTGTGGGCACATCCTCGGTAGGGGGTGTGCAAGAGGCAGCTGATCGATGGTTCTCTCTTATCGATGTTTCTAACTCTCTATCCCTCTCTCTTCCTCTCTGTAAAAAATCAATGAAATATTAAAAAAAAAAAAAAAAAAAAAAAAAGAAACAATTTTTTTTTTAAAAAAAGAAAAGAGCCAAAACCAGTTTGGCTCAGTGGATAGAGCGTTGGCCTGGGGATTGAAGGGCCCAGGTTCGATTCTGGTTAAGGACATGTACCTTGGTTGTGGGCACATCCTCAGTAGGGGGTGTGCAAGAGGCAGCTGATCGATGGTGTTCTCTCATCGATGTTTCTAACTCTCTATCCCTCTCTGTAAGAAATCAATAAAATATATTAAAAAAAAAGTAAAGTAAGAAAACAATTCCATTTATAATAGCATCAAGAAGAATAAAATATGAGGAGTAAGCCTAACCAAGTAGGCCACTTCTAAAAACTACACATTTCTGTAAGAAATTAAAGACACCAATAAGTAGAAAGATTATCTCATATTCGTGGGTTGAAAAACTTAATATTGTTAAGACATCAATAATATCCAAAGCAATCTAAAGATTCAACACAATTCCTATCAAAATCCCAGCAGCATTTTTTGCAGATACAAAAACAAAAATCAATCCTGAAATTCATTTAGAATTTCAAAGAGCTTCAAATAGCCAAAACTACCTTGAAAAAAGAACAAAGTTGGAAGACTGTCAAGTTGACCTATAAATTAACCATCACAGAGGACTCACACTTTTTTATTTCCAAACTCACTATAAAATCACAAGTATGGCGAAATATGGAGAAATTGGGGGATGAGGAGGAGGGAGTAAAACAATATAACAATTATGGAAAACAGTATGGTGATTCCTCAAAAAATTAAAAACAGAACTATAGATTTAGCAATCCTAATTTTGGTTGTACAGTATACTGGAAGCCTGGTACACAAAATTGGTGCATGGGGGAGGGTGTCCCTCGCCCAGCCTGCACTCTCTCCAATATGGGACCCGGTGGGATTGGGCCTAAATGGGCAGTCAAACATCCCTCTCACAATCCAGGACTGCTAGCTCCCAACCATTTGCCTGCCTGCCTGCCTGCCCCTAACCGCTTTTGCCTGCCAGCCTGATCACCCCCTAACCACTCCCGTCAGCTGGATTCCCCAACTGCCCTCCCCAGCTAGCCCGGTCACCCCTAACTGCCCTCCCCTGCTGACCTGATTGCCCTTAACTGCCTGGTCATCACTAACTGCCCTCCCCTGCCATTCTGGTTGCTCCTAATATGTCCTCCCCTACAGGTCTAGACACCCCCAACTGCCCTCCCCTGCCAACCATCTTGTGTCCACATGGGGGTGGGCATCCTGTGTGGCGGAATGATGGTCAATTTACATATTACCTCTTTATTATATAGGATAGGATTCAAAATAACTGAAAACATCTCAAAGAGGTATTTGCACACTCATGTTCACTGCGCATTATTCACAATAGCCTAGAGGTGGAAACAACTCAAGTCTTTATAAATGGGTGAATGGATAAAGAAAATGTGGTATTATTAGCCTTCAAAAGAAAGGCAATCCTGTCACATGCTACAACATGGATGAATCTTGAGGACACTATGCTAAGCGAAATAAGCCAGTCACAAAAGCAAATACTATATGATTCCACTTCTATGAGGAATCTAAAGTAGTTAAAGCCATAGAAACAGAAAGTTGCAATGGTAGTTGCCAGGGGCTGGGAGACAGGGAGAAATGAGCAGCTGTTTAATGGGTATAGAGTTTCACTTTGCAATACGTAAAAGTTCTGGAGATGTTGCATGTACAATGATGTGAATATACTTAATACTCACTGAAATGTATTTTTTTTTTAAAATATATTTTATTGATTTTGTACAGAGAGGAAGAGAGAGAGATAGAGAGTTAGAAACGTCAATGAGAGAGAGTCATTGACCAGCTGCCTCTTGCACACCCCCTACTGGGGATATGCCCGCAACCAAGGTACATGCCCTTGACCGGAATCGAACCGGGGACCTTTCAGTCCCCAAGCTGACGCTCTATCCACCGAGCCAAACCGGTTTCGGCTGAAATGTATTCTTAAAATGGGTAAGATAGTACATTTTATGTTATGTGTTTGTTTTTTTTTTACCACAATTTAAGAAAATTTTAAAATATACTTCACTACATCTTGACAAGTAAAACAAATCCAACCTCAGTATCATTTAAACCATTATTTTTAAAAGAAAATCAATTATCAAATACTTGAAACACTGACCCAAGGCTAAATTCCTCCCACTCACCTTCGCTTTGGTGCCCTAATGAAGAGCTCACAGAGAAGCCTGCCCTGTTCATCCTTATAGTCCCGGATGGTATTGTAAAGTTCATGGCACACAGCAATCTACGCACAGGAAAAGAGAAAAACAACAAGAAAAGTGAACAGAAAAAGCCAGTGAAATTATCTGGATTATCTTTAATAAAAACATACCCATAAAAGGCAAATACAGAAGAAAAAGGATGAATCCCCAAATTACCAGGTTTGAAATATGCTGACAGTATCTCTATTTATTGTTATTTAACTGATAAATGTTTTGGTATCTTTCATCAGATTTATGCTACTGGTGATTTTTCTTTTCTGTTTAACTAAATCAGTTAGTTAAAATCTCTTGTTTAAAATCATCCAATATGGAGGCTTCTTACTATTTGGAGAATAAAATCTAAATTTCTAACACTGCCCATAGAGTATATAGGATAACTACATACTGAGCTAGGAAGTCTTTGCCAATCTCCTCCCTCTTAACCATCTCTGTATAATCATAACACCCCTAATTCATTTCCAACCCAGCCCCTCTGCCTGGAACATTCTTCCCCAGTGCTCTGCAGAGCTAGTGCCTTCTTATCACAGTCCCCTTGAAGATTTAAGCCAAAATAGCACAAATCACACAAACTTTTCTTTTTAACACTTATCATCAGCTGATGGTATTTGACTAATTTGCTCAACTGTTTACATTCTGCTTCCCCACAATCGAATCTAAGCACCATGTGAAAAAGTGGCTTGTCTTACACATAGCTGTGTCTCAATCACCAGAACTGTGCTTGGCACATACAAGCACACAGTTATTTGAGTGACTATGCAATGGCGCATACGGTAATTCTTTATTATTTCTTAACTAGAGACCCGATGCACAAAATTTGTGCAAGAGTAGGCCTTCCTCCCTCCCCTGCAGCCCTGGTTGCCCCCCCCCCCCCACCTATGCTTCCCTCGCAGCCCCGGCTTCTTCAGGAAAAATGTCCGGCCTAATTAGCATATTACACTTTTATTATTATAGATACTGAAGTATTCTATTACTGTAAGATTTCTGGCTAAGGCCCGGAGCAGCGGCTGCCACGCTGGGAGCGGCCAGGCCCGGGGGAGCAGGTGGGTCGGGTGCGGCCAGGCCCGGAGCAGTGGCTGCCAGGCTGGGAGCGGCCAGGCCCGGGGGAGCAGGTGGGTCGGGTGCGGCCAGGCCTGGAGCAGCGGCTGCCAAGCTGGGAGCGGCCAGGCCCGGAGCAGCCGGGTCGGATGCGGCCAGGCCCGGAGCAGCAGCTGCCAGGCTGGCAGCGGCCAGGCCCGGAGCAGCAGCAGCCAAGTCCAGAGCAACTAGGTCGGGAGCGGCAGTGACCAGACCCGAAGTAGCTGGTTGTGGAACGAACCAGAGCAACAGAGGCCAGGCCCTGAGCAGCCAGGCCCGAACAGCTCGCTCCTCGCCTGCCCCTGCCCCACGGCTGCTTCTCAGACATGGCTGGAAACTTTCGTGGGAACTTGAGGGTCTGCTGAATCAAGTGATGAAGGCTTAGATCTGGATGTGTTGAGTTAGTATAGGGCTGGGGTGTTGATCTGTGAGTGCCTTGGGTGGGGCCTGGATGAGGCTGGTGGACCTATTGGGAAATGTCTTTTGTGTGAAGTGTATCATTGGGCATGTGGAGGTATTATTGATTTGAGAAAATGCTAAGTAACTGATTTACTATCTGAAAAGGGATTTACTATTGGGGAAAGGGAGGGAAGAAGAGACTGAACATAAACTGCACGTATGGATGAGGACAATGGGGGATGGGGAGGGGTCGGAGGGTGGGGTGGGAACCTGGTGGAGGGGGGAAGAAATGAGGAACCTTTGTAATAATATGAACAATAAAGATTGATTAAAAAAAATAAATTAAAAAAAAAAAGATTTCTGGCTAAATAAAAATATGCTTTTCAGAAAGGAAAGGTTAAGGATATCAAGCTAGAGCCTTGGCCAGTTTGGCTCTGTGGGTTAGAGCGTCCGCCCACCAACCAAAGGGTCAAGGCTTCAATTCCAAGTTAAGAGCACATACCTGGGTTGCAGACTCAAATCCTGCTCAGGTTGAGGTGTGTGCAAGAAGCAACTGACGGATGTCTCTCTCTCACCTCAATGTTTCTCCCTCCCTCCCTCCCTCCCTCCCTCCCTCCCTCCCTCCCTCCCTCCCTCCCTCCCTCTTTTAAAATAAAATCAATACTCAGGTGAGGATTAACAACAACAAAAAAAGAGTATCAAGCCAGAGAAAAAAAGAAATGGAGAGGTCTTGCATCTTAATGCTTACCATTAGGAGATGGGGAATTACAGGAAAAGCAGGCAGAAACAGTGTGATCCAAGGTACTCACAGGATCTACAGTTGGAAGATTGGAAAGTCTCCTCCTTTTCCTGCTTGGGCCTGGTGTAGACACAGAATGGTGGCTGTCATCAAAATCCCCGCTGACACTACTGGAAGGGGAGGTCGCTCTTCTTCTTTTGGAACCCATGGAATCCAACTTCTTCTATAAGAAATAATTAGCTATGTTCTTATGTTTAAATTTAGACTGCCACCAAGCCCTCAGCTGGCCCCTGGTATCAAGCTTCTGGTTCACCCAGGAAGCTATTTTAACTGTGGCAAAAAAATTTGTCTAACCAGAAGGTTTTCCATGGCAGTCCTATACCTTGTTGCTTTAGTCCCTTCATGTATCAGAATGCTACTTTCAGTTTGGGTGGGACAAATTCAGCGAAAGCGTACTCATTTGTAGATCACCAGTGACTAAATGACTAAAACCAATTCTGGCTCCAAAATTACTCTGGACTGGAATTTGAAAACCCACATGCAGCGGTACAACAGTGTACTGCAGGTGCTGATCTCAGCCCCTGGCACAGCCAGGAGGCCTTGGGGACAGAGGACACAAGGCAGTCCTCTGCAGTCAGCAGCCTCCTCTTTTTTCTGCACTGTGTCCTACAACTACGGTCATTTCTCAGGTGGGCTATGAGATGAAAAATAGGAAGTTGTGCCTGAGGCAAATAAATGCAAAAAATTAGGAGGACAGAGGACAATTAACCTTCTAGCATTTTAGATACACCCTAAAATTAACACAGAAAATTACTTTTCTCCATATTGAAGGACTCACAAGAAATACTCCTAGAAAACACATGACTTGCCATATCTATGCCAAATTAGCAAAGCCAGGCTTTGAAACTTTTCTGTCAATCCAGACTAACCTCCTTTTCAGTTACATGAGGTACTCTATCTCCGCAAATTTTGAAATCACAGCTTTAAGTTTCGGTAGATGATCTGGAAGAACACCTTAGAGGTGAGTGTTTTAGGTCCTGTTTGGCCTTTCACAAAGGCATAAATGTGTCCTCAGTTTCAGGCAGGCTGCTAAGTAACTTATCTTAATACAACTTTACAAATATACAGATGTGACTACCTAACACAAGAAATGTAATCACTGAAATGATCTGCTACATCTGGAGAGGAAGGGTGTCTATGGGAAGGTCTTACAATACTTAAACAATTTAACAACACTATCAAATAGTATGTTGTGATTTCAAAGGTCTTCCTCTAAAACTAAGAGAAAACAAAAAACACTTAATCCATTTCACTCATCAACATTCCATTTCAGGAAACTGAGATACAACAGCTAGAAGAATGGGTTGCCAGTGTATGGAGAGAAAAATGGGGGCTTCTCCAGGGAATGAAAGCAGGAACAAAACAAAACCATTAATAAGGATCCTTGTAAGCAACTAAGAAATAAGAAGTTTCCTTTCTCTTCCTCCAACCATCCACGTGGTATTTGAAAACAGAGCCCACCATCAGGTGTTTATTCTCAAGGCTTTGGGTTGTTACACAGTGCATTAGTTTGCAACTGGCTACAACTGGCTAAAAGCTCAGAGAGCTTAGGCCAAAGATAGCCAAGTTTTGTTAATTTTTGTTTGCTATATAAAAGGCTGATAAACTATCCTCAATCATTAAGATGAAGAAAGGAAGGAACAACCCTTTGCAAACAAATCTATGACAAGGACACAAGTGAATTTGATAATCACGAGGAGGGGCTCTTTATGAAAAGGGCAACAAATTTTAAGGAAGGTGGAAGGGAAAAGGCAAGGAAGGACAGAAAAGGTAAAGGATGTAGATGATCGGTAATTTACCAGCTTTACCAGAGCACAACCAGCGCCTCGAAAAGCCAGTCTCCTCATTATGTCTGAAGGCCAAGGGAAGCCAGTGGGAGAAGGCAGGGCTTTAAAAGTGCCGATTCAGTGTGAATATATTCAAAACTGAAAGAGAATAAGAAAGAGAAAGGGGGGGAAAAAGTCAGAAGAGTAAAAATGGGTACGAATAGATAGAAAACATTCAAGTAGAACTGCTAAGAAAAGATAAGAGAACTGGAGAAAATAGACATATCAGTTTCCTTGTGCCAACGAAACTAACTGCCACAAAGGCTCAGGCATTAAAAGTACCTGACATTTCTTCCATTTTAAAACCAAAGGCTTTTCATGTGCTTAAAGATGTCTCACTGAGGTTCCCCAGCCTTTACTCACATGGGATGATTGTCAATTCCAGGAATGAAGCATACCTACCCACATGCCGCCTAGTCAATGAGAGCAGAGTTCAATCAGAGAGTTAGAATGGACAGTGAACACATGTGGAAGGCTCACGTGTGACACGAAGTGTTGGCAAGCTAAAGTCAAGAATGGCTCATGTGAGCAAAGAGTATGGAAAACTCCTCTTCCCTTCAACATTTCTTTCCAAAGTCCTATCAGCATTGGGAAAACACCACATACAAGTTTAAAAAGGCTAAGGAAAAAAAAAAAAAAAGCCTTCAATCATTTTGGCAGGTCAAAATTACTTTTACAAATAATCTACTGACAACTAAATGACAAAAAAAATATATAAATCATCGGGGTCTGTTTGTATATAGTTTAGACTATTCAATATCTAAAATTCCTTGAATCATTCATTAAAAGACGCAACGTAACAATAACTTTTGAATATTTTCTTATCCAAAGGACATATTTTAAAATGTGCTTTGGAAGTCTGGCAGGGAAAGTAATGTGGCCAGGTGGGTGGGAGGAGCAACAAGATCTGAGCTCAGCAGACAGAGACCCAGTTTTTCCACTTCTAAGTCTCTGTTGCTTGAGTCACAACCTCTTAGATCTGTTTCTTCATTTCTAAAATGAGAACAGGAAAATGTACAGATCTCGCTTGGATTGCTGTGACAGGGAAATGTTCGTAAAATCACTTTGAAATTTCAAAGCACAACAAAAATGTTAAGTTTCAACTCTAGAACTGCATGCTCCCTGGGCACAGAAACAGAATTTTATAGCCTTGGCTTATCGAATAATATTTGGTATAATTTGGGTGATCAATTTATGTTTTTAATGAACGTATTAAAAAAGATCACTTAAATGAGACTTTTTTTTTTTTTTTTTTTTTTAAAGTGTGTGTAATTTAAAAAGCTTGTGGGCATTCTTTCAGCAATTATTTTTCCATGAAAAGCAAAGTAGATTCCAAAGCTGAATTACAAGTTCTAAATTGGCATTAATTATGTTGACATGTCCAAAGGCCTGAAAACCAAAGATTAATTATAGTAAAGAATAACTTTGTAACTGGGAAAATATTTACTCAATATAGCCAACTACTATATTTTGAAGGTCAATAAGTTTTCAGTACTCTTGTAATACAAGCTACAACAAAAATTGTGGAAAACATGATTCTAAGAGGGGAAAAAATCACTTATAATCCTATTTCCTAGAGAAAAACCACCCTTAACATTGGCTTTCACAGCTTTCAGTATTTATTCTACAATTTTTTTTTCTTAAAAGTTTCAACAAAAACCACATGCATTATTTTGAAGCCTATGTTGTAACTTAAGGAAGATTCTTCCAAGTCATGTTTAATGGCTTGATAACTATCATCTAGACATCCCATTATTTTCTAATTTGGATAGAATATTAATATTTGAGGCATTCTGGACATTCCAAAGCCAAAGATTGTGGTCCAAGACCCCTTCAATTTAACCACATACATTTGTTACTATTTTCATTTGAAGCACTTCTTCAAAAAATACTTCCCAATCTTCATTCAAATCTTAAAATATGGGTAATCTCTTAGCAAGTAATAAAGCAAAAAATATACTGCTCTTACATTTGTATTGCGTTCAGTTTGCTTTTGGGAAAAAGTGCACTTCTAAATGGGAGGGGGAAAAACCTAAAAATCATTTTGAGGAGACCTAGTTTTAAATAAGCTAACGAAATACTTTATTCCAACATATGCTTCTCTGGTTATAATGTCTACATCCACTACGCTGTGTAGTTTCACAGGATTCTTCCCTTTTGAGTAACCAGTACCTACCCCGTGAGAACGAAACTAAACTTCTTTCAGTTGAAAAACTTTAAGAGATAAGAAAATTAAAACACAGAAATGAACAGTTTAAAAAATCTCGGTTCTTTGGGGTGCTGCAAATAAGAAACCAATATCTGACGTCTACTATAAATACAAGTCCCATTGAGGAAAAGAATCAGTCTGAAGTCATCTGGAAAGTATAAGAGTTTGTGTCGGAACCGTCAAGGGGAAAAAAAAAAAAAAGGCCCAGACCTGTTTCCCGACCTGTCACCGGCCCGGGGGGGACCCCTAGGGGAGCGCTGACAGCTTTGGAGGTGTTCGCGACGAGCACCCGGCCGGCTGCCGGCGGGAAAGGGGGGCGCGGGAGCTTCCGGGCCGCCGCCCTTTGTCCGGGCCGACAGGTGCCGCCAGGCGGCCAGGCCGGTCCCGAAGCCGCCGCCGCGCCCCGCCCCGCGCCCCGGGCCGGACCGGCGCGTCTCCTCCGCGGGGCGGAGCCTCCGCCGCGGCTCCCGCCCGCCCCGCCGCCCGGCCGGGCCCACACAAAGGCCCGAGAGCCGGCCGATGAGGGGCGGCCTCTCCTGCCCCAGGTCCGGCCTTACCCAGCCGCTCCGCCGCCTGCAGCCCCGGGTGCGGTCCCCGACCGCCGCGCTCCGCCCCGTGGCCGCCACGGCTGCTGCTATTGCTCCTTCGGCCGCGACCGCTGCCGTCGCTCCTCACCCGCCGCCCTCACCGCCCTCACCCCTCCCCGTGCTGCTGCAAAACCATCCTCGGGCCGCCAAGCGATGCCAGCTCTGTACGACATTGCGTGCTCGCGCGCGGGGCCGCTGGCGACGTGCTTTACGGCGGCAGCGTGAGTGCGCGCCGCGCGCCGGAGGCCTCAGATCCCACGTGGTGGCGGAGAAGGCCGGTTGGAGCTGCTGCCCTCACCGTCGCTGCTGCCCTCACCGTCGCTGCTGCTTCCGTCTCCAGAATGAAGCGACCGAGTGAGTGTTGTCCCGGGGCGGGTGGAGGGGCCACTGTTTCTGATGATTGATGACCCCGCAGGGTGCTTGCTCTTCGGAAGCTTGGTGTCGGCAGGAATTGGGCCTGCGTGTGTGACATAAGCCATTGTTCTGGGCCCGCGTGGTACGGGAGATGGAAGGCTCGTGTTAATCTCAGGCCTAACGTTCAGGAGGAGATCTGGGCCATGAAAGTCGGCATCAGGCCAGAGTCTCGTGAGGAAACAGTCTGAGCCAGGATTATGGCCGCTTTTTTCTTTGTGCGACTGCGTTCAGTCCCATCCCAGTGAGGTCTGAGAGTCGTCTCTCAAACCCATCTTTTGCTCCTATTTTGTGATTCTTGATTGACAAGAAGTGGTTGGCTCGTCTTGGGTCTCCTACTTTCCTGAATACAATCCCAATCTGATACAGGACGAGTGGGAGAGGGGAAGTTGGACTCTACTCTCGATCTATTAGTCAAATTCTCCGGGATTTAAGTGGCAAATGTATTTTAAAAAAATATATTTTATTGACTTTTTAGAGAGGAAGGGAGAGAGACAAAGAGCTAGAAACATCGATGAGAGAGAGTCGTCGATCTGCAGCCTCTTGCACGTCCCCCACTGGGAATGTGCCCACAACCAAGGCACATGCCCCTAACAAAAATCGAACCCGGGACCCCTCAGTCTACATGCCGACACTCTATCCATTGAGCCAAACCGGTTTCAGCAGCAAATGTATTTTTGTTATGTGCTCCTCATGATTTGAGAGCTTATTACTTTACACAAAAAGGGTCCTGACCCCAGAGCTCAGTCACCAAGAATTAAACTGATCATTTGTGTGTAATCTCTTTTGTGATGTGTTTCTTTGTAGAATTAAAGAAAGCAAGTAAACGCATGACCTGCCATAAGCGATATAAAATCAAAAAAAAGGTAAGACTTGTGCTTGGGAGGGCTATGCCAAATACTGCTACGCTGATTTCTGCCCCATCTCTCCTCCAGGAGAAGGTTTAAGTTACTATGTTTCATCTCAGGAAATGGAGGTTGGCACTGTTGGCATACTAATCATGCACAAGCTTTTTTTCTCTTTTTTAATTAATTGATCTTAGAATGAGGAAGGGAGAAACATCAGTTATTCTGTTTGTTTATGCCTTTGTTGGTTGATTCTTGTGTGTCATCTGACCAGGGATCCAATAAGCAACCTTTGCATATCCAGACAACACCCTAACCAATGGAGATACCGGGCAGCACAAATTCTTAGGCATCAGAGCTGGGGGAAAGTGCAGTAATTCAGTAATAAGTCTGTAAACTTCGTTCAACATGTTAACAACCTTTACAAAAAAGAACCTCCCAGTGACATTTTCTTAAATATGTTGTGTAGGGCATTGGTCGCCAACCTTTAAGACCTCGCAGACCAACAGTGGGCGGCAGCTGGTGTAGGGTATTTAAAGCTTATTAGAGGAAGAGAGAGAAAAAAATAAATGTGAGCATTTCATCAGCTGTCTCCTGCACGCTCCCTACTGGGCGTGGGCCCTGACCAGGAATCACACTGGTGACCTTTTGGTGCATTGGAGGATGCTCATTCAACTGAGCCACATCAGCCAGGGCCCAGTGACATTTTCTTGCTGTTTTATACATAAACTAGGAGCCCTGCACACAAACTATGAGCCAGTAACTTGCTGCCCCGCCCTCCTCATGTCTTGCTCTTGCTGCTCTGCACCCTCCTATAGCTCTCTTGCTTGTAGCTCACTGTCCCACCATCCTGCTGATCCGTGCTCCAGCTGTTACGCTTCACGGAATAATGACCATTTGCTTATTATATTTTTATTATATAGGATAGGCAACTCTGTATCATTACAATTAAAGTTCTATTTTTCTCAGTCATTTTACAGGTAAACTAAACTAGCTAGATTAATTTTCACAATAAGTTTGTTTAGTACTTTTGTAAACTGATAAGTTTTTTTTATCATGTTAGGTTCGAGAGCACCATCGAAAATTGAGGAAGGAGGCTAAGAAACGGGGTCACAAGAAACCTAGGAAAGACCCAGGAGTTCCCAACAGTGCTCCCTTCAAGGAGGCTCTTCTTCGGGAAGCCGAGCTGAGGAAACAACAGGTAAGTTATTTTAGCTGAAATTCTCAACAAGTGATGTGTATTTTTTTATTTTGGAAGTAAAGTAATACAACCATGTCATGTTGGCTCACCCATTTCTCTTATGGCTTGGGCACAGCTTGAAGAACTGAAACAGCAGCAGAAACTTGACAGGCAGAAGGAACAGGGCAAGAAAAGGAAATTTGAAGCTAGCTTTGGGGCTGAGCCATCTGACGTGGATCCTGTGAAGGAGGTATGATCAAGTCTCTGAAAGAGAGGAGTTCTGACGTAGAAGAAAAAGCACATAAACAGGAGTTGCTGTGCCTCTTGGGAAGAAAAGGGTTGAGTTCAGACGCTTTATTACCTGTTTAAATGTCAATTGCAATGCCCCTAATCGGCCACAGAAAATAGAGAAACCAGTTACAACTGCTGAATTTCTAATTTTGTATCCTTTTTCCTTCATTTTTGTCCTTCAGGAATTTGGCCAACACAAAGCTAAGAAAGCAAAGCTGGCTAAACAGCATCCAAAGAAGTTGTATTGTCAGGAACTTAAAAAGGTACTTTAGGTCTTTCTAAAAATGGTATTGAGTAAAAGGCAATAGTCTCATTTTTTTCTGACACCAACTTTGTAAAGATGAACTAGAGTTCACTTGAGCTGAAAGAAGCCATTCACAAGAACCAAAGCAAGTTGGTTTATCTTATTTAGGTCCTTTCTGTTGTTTAGCTGATGAAAACATCCTTGTGGTTTTAAATTTTTGCACAGGAACAATTCCCTATATGATTTACAAAAGTGATACTTTGTGTTAAAATAGCATATCGACACAGTGGTTTTTAAAACTGCAAAATACATTAAAATGGGCGCTTTGTAGGAAATCAAAGGAGTGTCTTGGTCTAGCTGCTCCCCAGCATGACCATCCACAACATCTGTTTTCTCAAGCTCATTCCCCTGTGAATAGAGCTTGACCATGCTACTCAGCAACTCTTGGCAAGGCCACAAAAACTTACCTAAAGACCTAAATCGTTATGGGGAGATGCTATGTTCAGACAGGGTGTATTTCCATTTTAGAGGTGAGAGGCTATTAAGCACACCTGTGTTACCTTTCCTGTGAGAAATGATGAGCGTGAACATTCTTCATGCCAAAGTGAAGAAATGAGATCCAACTCTGAGCTCATGCTGTTGCAAAGTGGACAGAGCCAGTATATATACTTGTGTGTAGGAGTTCCCTGATAGTTTCTTCCTTACCAGGTGATTGAAGCCTCAGATGTTGTGCTGGAAGTGTTGGATGCCAGAGATCCTCTTGGTTGCAGGTGTCCCCAGGTGGAAAGTGCCCTTCTCCAGGGTGGACAGAAAAGGCTGGTACTTGTATTAAATAAATCAGGTGAGCAAAAGGAATGCCCTGTGTTTCATGTGCACTAGTGAGGTGTGAGGAAAACATCTGAACAGTCTGACTTTCCTTGAAGACTGAAAAGATCCAACTCTGACCTCAACAAAACCAGTGCATTTGCTCTCTTATTGCCAAAGACCAGTGTTGGGCAGAGGGGTGGTGTTTTCTACAAGTGATTAGACTGGCTTCTGCTGGTTTGATTTTGTTGTTACTGAATACTTAGAACTTTGTCTTAAGAGTACAAACTTCTATACTCATCTTACTATGCAAATAGGAAGTGATGGCTCTATGTCAGGTTCTCTACACCTGCAGTGTTGATATGTGACAATATTTAGATGAAATCCATAATTAATTTGGGTTTGAGCAGCAGGAACAGGAAAACCTAGAATAGAGACCTGTGAAACAGGGAATAATAATGGGATCTACAGTTACTGTGTGGTCCATAAATTGGGGAATAAAGTCCTAAGGTTAAGGTATAATTTATAGGTTGGCTTAATCTTGAGAGGGTGTGCAGTGCAGAAGAGAATTGAAGAAATACAATTATACATACTGAGCTATTAAGATAAAGGCAGTCTGGTAGAGAGCTTATCCTCTCTCCACCTCCCATTTAAATCCTTCTGGAAAAAACAAAAAACACACACACACACACAAAAACTAGGAAAAGGCAAACTAGGGTGATATCCATAGTATCAGATTTGCAAATTCATCTCAATTGACTGACCAAATTGGAACTTGTGTGTTTTATTTCCAATCTAATCCCTACCAGATTTGGTACCAAGGGAAAATTTGGAGAATTGGGTAAATTATTTGAAGAAGGAGTTGCCTACAGTCGTGTTCAGAGCCTCAACAAATATGAAGTGCAAAAGAAAGATAACCAAGGTACCCTTTACTGTCATTGGTGGGAAGTGTGTTGCTTTCAGATTTTGGATGGCTGAAATATGATGAGTATATAAGGTCTTGATTTAAATAATGAGGACATATAAGATCCAACTCTGATTTCATCCAGAGAGAATCTGAAAGGCAATATAATGTGGTAATTTAATGGCTGGTCTTTGGAGCCAGGTTTTGGGGTTTTATATGGTAGGTTGTCAGAAGCAGTTAAACTTAATTGTTTGCAATTTTAAGGTGAAGGAAAGGAAGAACATTCCATTCAAAACTGAAACCTGTATTGGGAAAGAAGGCCTTTGGAAACTTCTTAAAGATTTTCAAGACATTTATGGCAAAGCTATTCAGGTTGGAGTAATTGGTGAGTCATTAGCTGCCAAGAATTTTTCTGTAAAGGGTGTATGGAGTCTTTTTAAATAAAGGACTTGTTTAAACACTAGCTTGTTGCCCACCTTACCACACATACACTGCAAACACAATTTTTTATGTAGTTGCTGCTTAATTAATTTTTTTTCCCTAACTGGGCACTGTAAGAAGTTTGCTTTTAAAAGCTCTGGTTGTATTTGAATGAATCATTTTCTGCCCTCTCATTACTTGTGCAAGAAAGGATGATGCTAAGATTGGTCTTAGTGTTAAAGTGAAGACACTCAGATCCAACTCTGATCTTGCTCTGAACATCAAGCAAGCATAAAACAAAACAATGGGGAGTTATAATTGCCAACACAATGACTTTTAACCTGTAGATTTGCCATTTGTAGGTTTCCCAAATGTGGGGAAAAGCAGCCTCATCAACTGCTTAAAACAAGAACAGATATGTAATGTTGGTGTATCCATGGGACTTACAAGGTAAACAGAGTTGTTTCATAATTGTAATATTTCATTATAGATTTGAGTAAATATAATTTTGTTTTGGGTATCTTAAGGAAGACAATTTTTCATTCTTTTAGAGGTGAAAGGAAGAGGGTAAGCCAGTGCTAGGCTTAGGGAAGAATTGAAATGGAATAGCTGCCTATGACCTGGTTTGAGAGACAAGTAAGCAAATGGATTCAGAGTGGGAAAGGGCCCTCAGACGGGGTGGCTCTTTAACCTGGTCTTGAAGCAAATGTGTATTTATGGCCGAGGAAGCAGCATGTGCTCAGGTCAATATCAAGCTGTCACATGCAGTCTCTCTCTGGAAGGGGAGCAGCCTGGCTTATTTAAAGGTCTAGTAATAATTAATGTCGTTTTCTAATACTTTTTAAATCGAATTTATTTAAGCAATACAACAAAATTTAATCAACAATATAGTTGCTGTTGTTTTCTACTACTTGTGCCCAACGCTCAGGAAGTATTTTAATCCCTCTGTTGTAAAATTCTTGTGATTTTGATGCAAAAAATTCGGTCAATGCATTTTTGAGGCATTCTTCATTCTTAAATTTTTTTCCAAGAAGAAAGTTTTGCAAAGAACAAAACAAATGGTAATCGGAAGGGGCAATATCAGGAGAATATGCAGGTTGAGTGAGAACTTCCCATTCCAACTGGCGCAGTTTTTCAGCAGTGATTCTTGCAGTATGCGGTCGTGCGTTATCGTGGTGAAGAATTACGCCCTTCCGATTAATCAGCGCGGGTTCTTTTTCTCTTAAAGCTTGGGCTAACCTTTCCAATTGGGCACTATACACTGCACTTGTAATGGTTTGGTTAGATGGTAAAAGTTCATAATGAAGAATTCCTTTAAAATTCCACCAAACACACATCATCACTTTTTTCGCATGCAAGCCAGGTTTTGGCGTGGGCTGCGGAGCCTCATTTTTGTCCAACCATTGAGGCCGCCTTTTCAAATTAACATACAGCACCCATTTTTCATCTCCGGTAACAATTTGCTCTAAAAACGGCAAACGGTTTTGACGAGAGAGGAGCGAACTGCAAATTGTGACTCTTTGATGACGGTTGTTGTCGGTCAACTCATGAGGAACCCATTTTCCAAACTTTTGGACTTTGCCAAGTGCACGCAATTGATTGGAAATTGTTTTTTGTGAACAATTTAAAGTTGTCGCAAGCTCTTGTTGGGTAATTTGAGGATTTTGCACCAAAAGAGCTTGAAGAGCTTCTTGATCAAAATTGGACACACGGCCTCGACCACTCTTGTCATCTAACGAAAAATTTCCCTCGTGAAATTTCTCAAACCTATGCTGGCATTTTCTGGCGCTAACTGCATCTTGACCAAGAGCACTACAGATGTTTTTTGCAGCCTCACTTGCTTTTCTTCCTAATTGGAACTCGTAAAGCATGCAGTGCCAAATATGCTCTTCATCCGCCATCTTCTTAGCCCTAGTTTTGCAACAAAAACCAAACCAAACACAAACTTTTTCAAGCAAAACTTGTTAATTGCACTTCACACGTTCTGTAGATACCACGTGTTTGAAGGTTATGTCAATACAAGTCAAAGCCAAGCAAGATTTTAAACGAATGTTAAAAAACGACATTAGTTATTACTAGACCCAATAGATACACATGAAGCAAATGATGATAAACTGGATCTGACAGACAATGCTGAGTTTGTTCAATCCAACCCTGAGCTTCGTGTTCTGTCTGTAGTCCTTCGGGTAAAGTGGCATTCTCATCAATTACCGCATCTTTTCCAGGAGCATGCAGGTTGTCCCCCTGGACAAACAGATCACAATCATAGATAGTCCAAGTCTCATTGTGTCTCCAGTTAACTCTCCCGCCACACTTGCTCTGAGAAGTCCAGCAAGTATTGAAGAACTAAGACCAGTGGAGGCTGCCAGTGCCATCCTGTCCCAGGCTGACACTCGACAGGTAGAACCACCCCTTCCCTTGAGCTCCATCTCCATGCACATTGTACGTTGAAAATTTTGTTTTTTAATAACCGCACTATATCAGGCAAATGACAGGTTTTTTTTTTTCCTTTAAGGTAGTACTGAAATTCACTGTCCCAGACTTCAAGAGCCCTTCAGAGTTTTTTGCTTCGCTTGCTCAGAGAAGAGGACTGCACCAAAAAGGTGGAAGCCCAAATGTAGAAGGTGCTGCCAAACTGTTGTGGTCTCAGTGTACAAGGTAAGGCTTCTTTTTAGGCATTTGATGATCACATGGAATAAAGGAACTGGTTTTTGACAAGGCTTGTTTTTAATACCAGTGGCTCTTTAGGCTTCTATTGCCATCCCCCTCCATCCTGGACTCTTTCTCCACATTTTAATGAAAATATCGTGACAGACATGAAATTGGGCTTGAATCTGGAGGAACTAGAAAAGAACAATGCTCACAGCATACAAGGTAAGCAAACAATATAGTTTTGTTTTAATACATTTTGATTTCAGAGAGGGGGAGGGAGAACCAGTGATCAGCTGCTTCCTGCATGCTCCCTACTGGGGATCAAGCCTGAAACCTAGGCATGTGCCCAACTGGAATTAATAAACCCAGGATGCTTTAGTCTGCAGGCCAATGCTCTATCCACTGAGCCAAAGCTGCTAGGGCGGCAATGTTTGGGTTTAACTGCTCTTTTTACCAGCTGAAAGGCCAATAAATGTCTCATCTGTTAACATGAGCTGTGTTCCTTTACTAGCCATCAGGAGCCCTCCTTTAGCCAGTAGCATCCTTTTCCAGTCCTCGGGTCTGACAAATGGAATAACAGAGGAAAAGGACATAGTTGAAGAATTGCCAAAACAGAAAGAAAGAAAGCAGGAAGAGAGGGAGGACTTGGAAGCCATCAACAGTGACCAGGAAAGTGTTGAAGAAGAAGCTGATGTAAGTATGTTGTCCATGAGTTTAAGCTGAATTAAGTTTTCCAATATTATAATGTACAATAAATAAGAAGGTGCTAAAGGTAGAAATTAAGTATTTCATAATAGATTATAACAAAGCCCCAATTTAGGTGTTTAAGTCTTCCAGCCATTAGTCTGTTTTGTTGATTCCATTAGAGACTTTTTCCAGGTTTGTAATTACTTTGATTAATAAGCAGCACAGGGCTACTAATACTGCCTCTCTTTGTCCCATAGGGAAGTGGCTCAAACATGTCCCCTGCTAAAGAGACCTTGACAGGTGAGTTAGTAGGGGGCAGAAGGGTTTTATAACAAATCCATTAAAACGGCTTTTACTTTTTTTAAACACCAATAACTAACTCCTCTCCTCTCTAATATAGATGAACAGTCTGCACAGTCTTATGTCTTAGATAGGAAGTCTGAAGAGAAAGATGATGCCTACGACTTCAGTACGGACTATGTATAATGTAACTTGGACCTCTTGGGGGTTACTTGTTTTTACAATTTGAACAAGCTGTTCTATGTGTATGATGTATCAGTTTGTTTCTGGTATGACAAGCTGTGCAAATTTTGTAAATATGTATCATAATAGTCATTTTTAAAAATCAGGCAATGTAGAAAGTGTCTGAATTCCATAAAAAGACAATTCATCTCTTGCATACTGAATGGGTAGAATTATTTACCTGAATGCAAAAAGTCAGATACCTACTGAAAAATGTAGGTTTCACTTTATTTATAGATCAGGCCACAGGTTACAAATGTAAAACCAAGCAGCAGTATTGAACTAGCTGTGCCAGCTATTAGCAGTCCATTCACCTCTGGTTATTCAGTACTGCAAACACTTGGTAAGGCAGATGGAGTTGAAATGTTCCTTTTCCGGGGTTGCCACAATTACTTCCCACACATACTATCTTCCAGGATTTCCTGAGAAATGCTTATAGCATAAAGTATATTTTACTTTGTGTTTGAGATCTCTGTATGTCTTCTGATAAGGCTGAATTTGCCTGTTGGGTCAGGAATATACCATTTTTCCCAGACATCAGTATATGAAGCAGTTCTTCCCCATGGCTTAAAGTGCCCATTCCAATGTAGTAATTTGGCAGCTTTGACAAACTGGGGCGAGTATCGTTTTCCAGCACTGGAGCCTTGTTGAGAGAGAAAGCCAAATGATTGTACTGGTCAGACATGACAATGCCACATCAAACTGGAGAAAACTTAAAAGGAAACAATATATCCCATCCCTGATGGTAGTCCTTTAGATACTTAATTCTTGACTAGCTTAGGCCTTTTGTTAATTCTGCTTACCAAGGTGGCGCACGTTCCACATGGGGTCAATGGTGGAGTGCTGTTGATAAAATACGATCAACAGAGGAGGTGTTGTGATGCTGCCAGCCAGTGTCCTGCTGTACAGTCCCTCTCTTAGGACAGATAAATGGAAGCTGTTTAGTGAAGAATCATGACCAATTCCTGTTGAAATACAGCTAGGGCAGTTTTATACTTACTCTGCATTGAGTTTCATCCATTTTTCCAGCTGGTTGGTTATATTCTGTCTTTTCCATTCTGTCAAGTTTGCAACAAAAACTCCAGGATTAAATGAGCAGGTGCTGGCTTTCATAGAAAGCTTACGGATTCTTTCCTTTTTATAGTCAAGATATCCAATGTAATTGTACTAAAAACAAATGGGATATATAGTGTGTTCACTGCTTCAAACAGTAAATATATACAGCCATGCACTGCTTAATGAGTTAGATATGTCCTGAGAAGTACTTGGTTGGATGAAATCATTGTGTGAACATTGATAGCATGCATTTAACACAAACCTAGATGAAGTGGCCTCCTTTACACCTAGGCTGTGCATAAAGCCTAATGCTCCCAGACCTCAAGCCTGTAGAGCATGTTACTATACAAAACAACACAAGATTAAATCAAGCACAAGAAGAAATGATCCAGTTGCCCTGGCTGGTGTGGCTCGGTTGGTTGGGTGTCAACTCCAACTCCTAAATGTTGTTTAATTTTGGGTCAGGATTACAGGCTCAGTCCCCAGTAAGGGCTATGCAGGAGGCAGCCTATCAATGTTCCACTCTTACATTGATGTTTCCTCCCTTCTCTTGAAAATTAAAAATGATACAGTAAACATGAGATGTATGAGACTATTGCAGGTGTAATGGCATAGTATCTCAGCAAATCTTTTTATAGAAAGGAAGGAAGAGAAACAACATAGATTGGCTGCCTCCTGCATACTTCCTACTAGGGATGGAATCCAAAACCTGGAATCAAACCTGCAACCTTTCAGTGCACAGGACAATGTCCAACCAACTAAGCCACACTGGCCAGGGCAGCAAACATTTTTATTCATAGAACAAGTATAAGTATATAGTAAGTACATAAACCAGTAATAAAGTTGTTTATTACCAAGTATTATGTATTGTTCACGATTGTGCTATACTTACAATGTGCATAGTAGGTTTATCAGCATCACTGCAAACACATAATACATTGTGCTTTAACATTAAGACAACTACAAGCTCACTAAGCAATAGGAATTTTTCCATTATAATCTTATTGGGACCACTGTTGGATATGTGAAACAGTTATGCAGAACATGGCTATAATTTGACAGCCAGCAAAGAGAAGAGTTGTGTATTTAAAACCTATGACTTCTTAGAGAATTACGAAGGAGTCTACAAATAAATGTGACATTTGTGATACTAAGTTAGGCACAATAGGAAACTAGAAACAAGTCAGTTGTTCAAGGAGAATTAGGTTGTCAAGGCCATGTACCAATCTATAGAAAAACAGGCTTGAGTTTTGGGATGGAATAATTGGGGAATATAAAATGCAGCAACAAGAAGAGTTCCCAGATTTTGCTGCCTCTCCCCATTAACCTATATAGGGAAGGGAGTGTCTACAAGGGGTCTAATAAGTACTTTACCTGGTTCCCTGCTCCACGAATGACAACTTTAGTAGAGGCTGAATCACAATCTTCTGAAAATGCAGCTGCATGTCCTGGCTTCAGTGGTGTATTGTAGAGTGCAAAGATATCACCTGAAATAGATAAGATACAGATTATTACTAGTTTTCTCAAGATACCCTATTCTTTCCAATACTTAATAGGATGATCTTAATAAGGATATTTTATATAAGACAACAACTACAGCCCACACTACAGACAGAACGGCACTAATTGAAACATCCTTTGGTACCTTGCACAATCACATCATCATCCATGTATATAGCCTTCTTTGCGCTGGGAACTAGAATAGGCAAGTAGAACCTTGCAAAGGTTAACTGGGGAAGAAAAAGGAGAGGTTGACATAGGACTCAACAAATGGCTGTGTGCACATTTCATTTACTAGAATCTCCCAGAATGCTCTCAGTGCCCCTGACCAAGACAGCCAAAGGTCACTTAGAATAGCCCAGGCTTGGGCCGAAACTGGTTTGGCTCAAGGGATAGAGCGTCGGCTTGGGGACTGAAGGGTCCCAGGTTCCATTCCAGTCAAGGGCATGTACCTTGGTTGCGGGCATATCCCCAGTAGGGGGTGTGCAAGAGGCAGCTGATCAATGACTCTCATCGATGTTTCTAACTATCTCCCTTCCTCTATATTTAAAAAAAAAAAAAAAATCGCCCAGGCTTGGTCCCAGGAAACTACTTGCACCCATCATTTCCTAAGACTCTTATACAAAGATGAATGGAACTTACTGGTTTTACGGATTCCCCCTGGTCCGGTTCCTCCTTTACTTTCCCTTCCAAAAGTTTAGTGTCAAAATTCACAATTTTGTACCTGATGCTTTTCAGAATACTGCTGCTGAGCCAAGACCTAATGAAAATAAAGTGCCAAAATTTCAGTTTTAAATAACCATGTCCCCAAACCACAGCCTTATCTTTTTGTGCCTTCAAAAGAGAAACCCTAGGGACCAATAGGTGCTTTCAACCTCCTCACTTCTCTGAGCCTCAATTTCCACATCTGAAGACTTCCCACCAAAGTCGCTCCCTGAGCCAAGATTCTCCATCAGGCTCACATTTTTTTTTATCACTTCTGAAACTAAACTATTGTAGAAGAACTCTCTATGGAATTGAGAACATCGGTCACCACATGGATCAAATACATGGGTGGAGAAAATGAATCAAAGTGGGATGGCAGTAAAAGGTAATTATCAACAATGCTGATAATTAGCTAATCTACAGGCAGAAATTCACTGTAATGACTACATAATTCTTCCACCCTAGTACTGCCTGTGAGGAAAGTATTGCATCCTTTTCTTAGGTCCATTTCAATTCAGCATTTTGTGGACACAATGTTATCTGTAGTCTATTTGTTTTTATATTATTTTAGATGGTTTCTGAGTTTTTTAAATCGAAAAATAATTTGCATGAAACATGGAGAAAGCCACAAGGACAGAAATGTTTTAGAACTTTGACAACTACTGTGTTTCCCCAAAAATAAAACATCCTCCGAAAATAAGACCTAGCGCAACTTTGGGAGAAAAAATTAATATAAGACACTGTCTTATTTTCGGGGAAACAGTGTTAGACCAGATGTTTCTTGGAATAAATTTTGGAACATTAATTCAAAGCATGGATACGACTGTCGCTCAGATTGGGTTTCTATTATTAATCACTACAATAGTGAATAACCATTTACTGAGCGATTATGTACTAGGTATTTTTAAATATTTTTTCTCATTTACTTGACACAATAATCCTCTAAGTTGAATATTTTCATCCTCTATTTAGAGATGAGGGTTTCAAAGGGTTAGGTAACGTTCCCCAATCACTCTGGGCCAGAATTTGTATCAGTGCCTGTGCTCACTTCACAATACCTTGCCATCGCTCCCACTTCCCTTCCTACTCTACACCAGAATTACTCAGAGCATGTTTCATGAGATAAGAAACTTGTAACAGAATGTAACAATCAACATATTACTTCCTGCATTGAGAAAATTACTAAAAAAAATACCACTTGAGTTAACAGTATACATAGTGGCTCAGTTGATTTACATCTTAGTAAAAGTTCTTTACATTGTTTCTGATATCATGGGGACATGCTTATGATATAATCACCTGGGAAAACTTGTCATGTGCAACTTCTATGTGGTATAATCTCAATTGTGTAGGGAAAATATATACTTATAAAGCATTCTCTAGAAGAATCACCAGGCAAGCAGAGCTCACCGGAGATGGTCTGCTGTATGGTTGAGCGTAACAATGTAGAAAATGACATTGGAGCGAGTGTTGTGCTGGATGCTGTTTATGGCTGCAATGGTCCCCCCGAGCCTATCTTCAGATGCAGCAATGACCACAGGAACCTCCTCTTGTCTCCCATCTACAGCATCATGGGGAGCATTTGGGATAAAGTCTATGGGCTGAAGCCCCACAATTCCTGAATCTGCAAAGAACACATAAGAAAGGTCCTGTAATACAAACACAACCTCATGAGGTATTGACAAAGAGCACTAGACATGAAAACTGTTGAGGACTCTGATGCTTATTTACCTCATTCCTATTACAATGTGAATATACAGCCCAGAAATTGTGTTTTCCTATACATAACCAGGTTTTTGGAAAAACAGAAGCAGCATTGAAAAACACCCAGGTCAACAAAATTATACACAACTGATGGGAATAGAACAGAATTTTTCTAGCAATTTTTGGCAATTTGTACCAAGAGCCTTAAATAGGTACATAGCCTTTGACTCATAGTATGTAATTCCTCTTGCCTCTCAAGGACATAATCTGAGAGGTAATCAAAAGCCACGATTTTATTTACAATTGTGAAAACTTAGAAACAGTTTTTCACACTATGAATCATGACCCATAAGTAGGCATGAAATCAATTTAGAGGGTCATGATCAGAATTTGAGTAGAAAACGGTTCCCGAATTGGAACAGTACATTGAATTAGAAAATATCAGAATGGGGGAAAAAATATATATCAGAGTATATCCCACTCAGCAACTGCACATACTGTTTTGTTAACCTTTTTGCCTTTCATAATATATTTATTCATTTAACACTCGGTGCCTACTATGTACCAGGCAGTATCTAGGCATTGGGGTTATAGTCATGAATAAAAGACAAATATAAATCTCTACCATCATGAAAGAAGGATAGACAATCAGCACACACACGTATTTGTTTGTGCTATATGTAATTCTTATTGTGGGGTTGCCATAAAAAAATCAAGTCAGCCTAGCTGGCTTTGCTCAGTGGATGGAGCGTTGGCCTGTGGACTGAAGAGTCGTGGATTTGATTCTGATCAAGGGCATATGACTGGGTTGTGGGCTCGATCCCCAGTATTGGGTGTGTAGGAGGCAGCCGATCAAGGATTCTCTCATCACTGATGTTTCTATCTCCCTCTCCCTTCCTCTCTGAAATCAATATTTTTTAAAAAGTTCTGATCACAAGAACAAAAATTATTAAAAAAAAAAAAAATCAGAAAGTCATTGTATCCAAAGACTTTCCTATGGAAACAAATAAACTATGTGGTATTAAATTACATATGAACTCTGGTTGGTCTGGCTCAGTGGATAGAGTGTCGGTTGTGGACTGAAGGATCCCGGGTTCGATTCTGGTCAAGGGTCGTACCTCAGTTGCAGGCTCAATCCTGGCCCTGGTTGCAGTGTATAGAGGAGGCAACCAATCTATCTCTCTCTCACACACTGATGTTTTTCTGTCTCTCATCCACTCACTCTATTCTCAGGAGAGAATAAACCAAGATAATTAAAGAAAATAATAAAGTTACATATGAAGTTTCCACTGCTATGGTACCATACTTAGGATATAATCATGAGGAAAAACATGTCATATGCAAATTTATATATAGTATAAATTCAACTATACAGAAAAAATGGGGTGTGTGTTCTGGAAGGTACTAAGTTAAAATTTTAATAATAATTATCTCTAGGCATTGATCATTTAGTCAGTGGATATTTTATTGACACCTCCTACATATCAGCTGTCACTTAGAGGCACAGGAGATAAAGCGGTAAACAAAACGCCCTCATGGAGCTTGAGCGCTATTTTCTTTTTTATAAAAGTTCCTGTGAGAAGCAAGCATTACTTTACATACAGGGGTGGGCAAAAGTAGGTTATAGTTCATATGGGAAATAATACAGTATATATACATACACACATATATATACATATAAATACATACACATTTATATACACACTGTTATAAGACATGCTGTCAGGAAAGCTATTAGTTTTTTCTTGCTCTAGTCAACTATGGCACGTAGCAATCCAAAATTGATTTTTAACAAATACTCAAGCTCCAAACATGCCTCAATACCAAGGCAGAACAGTATAAACTAATTTTTAATATCTAGCAATGGAATTATATAATAAAGTGATTTTTAAGATCAGTTGACAAGGCTTTGCGGTTTTGTTTTACTATTAGAGTCCTGTTGATACAGTTCACAGGTTAGAGGACAGTATTAGGAGAAGGGAGGTAACCAGACTGACTGACCTCTAGTGCAGTGGTTGCCAACTGGTGGTCTGCAGACCACTAGTGGTCAGTGAGGTCCAAAAGGCTGGTGACCGCTGCTCTAGTGACACAGCTGGCATGAGACACCTATGACACTCACTGGCCCACCTTCTGAGGCCTGCTCTGCTGAAAGGTGAGCAAACAGAAGCCACCACAGAGGATCCTTATTGACCTCTGATTTGGTAAAGCATCTTTTGTCAGATAAACTCTTAGCAAACAACTGCACCGAAGAAGTGGGAAGGGAAGGCTACAGAGCACAGTGAGTGCCACAATGCCTTAACCCAGGGCCTTTAGTTTTTGTAAAGCTAAGAAAGGTTTCTTTTCCTTTCACCCATGATATAACTTAGGGTGTGGGACTCACTCCAGCTCCTCCACAGATGCCAAGGGTTCCCATACCTGAAACCTCATTCCTTAGCAAACTGCTCAGGCCAAGGAAGTTATGGTGCAAAACCAGTAAGAAGAAAACAACAGCCAGGACCAGGATGATGATGTTTACTGAAACACAGAGGGAAAGCCTGCATTATATCTCTTTACCTTGTGATCAGGAATAAAAACATAACCTGTAGAAAGAGCATACCTTTACGGAATGTCATCTTCCTCTTCTGTCTTACATAAATATTAGTTATTAACCCTACAAGACAAAAAGAAGCCCCCAAATTCAGCAGGTACAGAAGAAAGGCCATCAAAATGCCTAAACACTTATTTAAACAGGAACAAGAATTGCATACCTTCTGCTAGGTATGCAACACAGTTTCCAAGAACCCAATTTGGGATCTGAATTTTTATGGCAATCATAATAAAATACTTCCAAATAACTTGGAAAAATAAGGTAACCTTGTACATTATATATCTCAGATGAAAAAAGCTACCAAGAGGACTAGCTGGGGTCTAACCACTCTGGAAAGTATAGTTGCTCAGACAAAGCTCTAACATCTGCTTACTAGGATCCAACTTTCACCAAGCCTGGAGAAAACTATCTCACTCAAATTCAAATAAACCTCATCTAGTTAATGGTACAAGGGACAGTGATTTAGCTCAACACTGTCCAGCAACAGTCACAGGCGGTGTGTGAATTGAGAGACACATGTAGTTGTGCTACCCTGTCTCCCCGAAAATAAGACAGTGTCATATTAATTTTTTTCTCCCAAAGTTGCGCTAGGTCTTATTTTCAGGGGAGGTCTTATCTTTCCATACACTGGGTCTTATTTTCGGAGGATGTCTTATTTTTTGGGGAAACACGGTATTACAGTTGGTTAGACACAAGAAAAACAATCCTAGCAAGTATTTGATGGCATGGCAGAAACCACTGCTCCTAACTTTTACACAGTTAACTGTTCAAAAAATGTCAATTATTAAGGTGTATGTCTGAGTCTTAGTTCCTTTCCTGGTGCTATTCCTGCAAATGGGTTTGTTGATTTGGGTGAGAAGGAACTCATTCAAAAAACAAAACTGCATGCAGACCCTGGAATGTGTGCTAATGGCTTATATTTTTGTTATGAGTATACAGAAATATACAATTTGATCAGTAATATTCAAAGTGAAAATTAATATTTTTTGTTTAGAAATTTTTAAATGTCCACATTCCCAACTTACTCACAAAACACATATGCACTCACACACGGCAGGACCCCAAAAAATAAGGCAATAGGGCAAAAGATTTCCTTTTTTTAAAAATCCTCACATAAGGCCGAAACCGGTTTGGCTCAGTGGTAGAGCGTCGGTCTGTGGACTGGGGGGTCCTGGGTTCGATTCCGGTCAAGGGCATGTGCATTGGTTGCGGGCACATTCCCGGTAAGGGGTGTGCAAGAGGCAGCTGGTTGATGTTTCTCTCATTGACATTTCTAGCTCTCTACCCCTCTCTGCAAAAAAAATGAAATCAATAAAATATATTAAAAATCCTCACATAAGGATATGTTCTTCCTGATTTCAGAAGAGAAGAAGGGAGGAGGAGAGAGAAGCAGATAAACATTGACCAGCTGCCTTCCAAACAAACCTGCATCCTGGGTATGTACCCTGACCAAGAATTGAACCTTTCAATATATATCAGTACAGGGGATAATGCTCCAACTGAGCCCCTCTGGCCAGAGCAAGACTTTTTTCTTTTTTAACTTGCTGGTCACCTGCATTAGTACTCCCATTCAGCAGCTGTGCTCATCTTTCTGCTTTCCCCCATTACTATGTACACGAAAAGCCATTCCACTGATGGCCTGTAACCTACCTTATAACTGCCTCCTTGGTGCAGTCTCCGCAAACTCTTTCTCTCTGTGCTGGATCACGCCCATCAGCATATTATCATGCTCCAGTATCTTCCACTTAAAAAGAAGAAAAAGAGCAAAAAAGAAACCACTCCTTCACCCCAGTTGACCCTCAAACCCATTTCTCTGCGTCCCCTAACTGTAGAAGCTCGATGGGATGTAAAGTTCCCGGCTCCACTCCCTCTTGTTCCCTTTACCCTTCTCCAACCAACTTCTATTCCTACCGCTCCATCCTAACTGGTCTTATCAAAGGCACCCAAGACCGCTGTCATTTTTCTGTCTTCTTACCTATCAGGGAAGTTTACTACCCACCTCCTGCCACCCCCCATTATGAAATTTCATTTGTTTATTTCTTCTAGGAAAGCGACCCCAATGAAAAGTGCTTACTGATGTATCCTCTCCATCTAAAATCACATCTGGCAAATGGTACGAGGCATGTAATACTTGCTGAATGATCGAGCTTATTCATCTAGGGGCAGCAAGGGTGGTTCCTCAACTCAGAAAGGGAAATCAATCTTTTATGAGAATCATGAGAAAGGGCATGGATTCCCATGGAGATCTCTCTCAAGGGGAGCCTGACAGACAATTTCCTCTTCCTGTCTTACCTGTACCATAAAGTCTCTACAACTGCCACCCTCTTAAGTTCATTTAAAGAGGGATAGCGCAGAGGAATATGTCTATTTCTACGTAAGACAAAAAAAACCTTAAGCCATTTTCTCCCACCTCATCAGGCCAGGGCCTAGTTGGTTTTCAGGAGTCAAGGGAGCCCCCAAACCCTAACTTCAGCTGCACCTCCCCTGAGTTCCCACACCTCCCGGGCCTCCCTCCCTCTGGGTAAAGGCTGCTGCCCTGAATTTCTGGGGAACGTGGCTGTCTCCCTGGGCACACTCTGGTGCTAGGAAGGCAAGGTGGTGGTCACAGCCACATCCTTGGCCCACTACCTGGCACAACAAAGGACATCGTGAATGTTCGCTGACTGCATGCATGAGGGGCGGCGGCCACGCACCAACCTGCCCCGGGTGCGCCGAGAACCCCACAATCAGTGACCCTTCCCTTCCGTGCAGCTCGCACACAGGCCGGAGGGCCTGCTGGGCGCAAAAGCCTGGCCTCTGCAGAACGGTTTCTCTCTGGAACTGGGAAGGGGCCTAGGCTTTTGAGACAGACCCTGGCCTTGAGAGAAGCAGAGAGAACCCCGGGCTGGTCTCTCCCGGGAGGGCCCGGTGCAGTCGGTGGAAGGCCAACTTGGAGAATCTAGGGTGCGAGCTCTCTCCACGCCGGTGCAAAGGACAGCCAAGGGCCCGGCCTCCTCTCCGAAGGGATTTCCTTCTTCTAACTTGGGGTACTCCCTTTTAAATTCTAGGGGCCACAAGGGACGCCTTAGGCTAAGGGGTGCGGGGGATGTGACGCTCTCCAGGTTCCCCTCGGGCCCAGAGAAAGACTCCGGGTTCGGGCAAGCCGCTGCCCTGCGGATGCTCGCAGCCAACTTACCTGCAGCCGGAGGAGGAGCCCGGCTCGCCCCGCCCCGCCAGCTCAGCGCCGCAGCAGGCCCGGCCCAGGCACCGCCCAGCGCCTGCGTCACCGCCCTGCGGACCGACGCTGCCCGCCCGCCGGCTCCGCGCCGCCCGCCGCTCCGAAAGCCCGAGCCCGCCAGCTGCGAGGGCGGAGAGAGTCCCGCCTGACAGGCGCCGCCGGGCAGCCCCGACGCCGGGGTCCTCGCCACAGAAAGCCCGTTGCCATGGCGCCGGGGCGCGCGCCGGCGGCCGTTGAGCCTCAGAGGCGCAGCCCAGGACATTGTGGGGAGCCGAGGCCGCGGTTCCCAGCGCCCAACGGCACCGACGGCGAACCGTTCCCCGGCGCGCAATGGCTCGGCGAGGCCGCCGCGGTCACCCCATCAGCGGGCAGGGCGGCGGGGTCCCGGAAGCGCCTGGCGCCTAGCGATGGAGCGGGGCGGGGCCTCGGGTTGGTCGGAGACATCCGCTTCCGGGGCTGCGGCCATTGCTCTTCCCGGCTCGACAGGCTCGCCGTGCCGTGCCCGGGACCAGTCCCCAAGTTGTTCGGGCCCTGAGCCGCAGCCGCCCTCGCCCCGCCGCCGGACGCCCTCGCCCCGCCGCCGGACGCCCTCGCCCCGCTGCCGGACGCCTCAGCCAGCCATGCTGGAGCACCTGAGCTCGCTGCCCATGCAGATGGTGAGCCCCGCCGCCTCGCTCGCGGCCCGCCGGCCTGACAGCTTCGGAGTCCGTGTGGGAGACCCGCCCGCTGCATCGCGGCTCCTGGCCCAAACTCCTACCTTACGCTCCTCCCTTCCTTCCTCCGCGAGAATCCCCTCGCCCGTACTCCGTTAGGATGCTCCCGCTGCCCCGGGAAACCCAGCTTTTCCTTCCTCGCCCAGGCCCTTGGGGACCCCCTGCCGCTGGGTTGCCCGGTGCCAGCGCCGTGAAACCAGGGCAGGAATTTGTATCTCTTCGGTGATGGAACGAATCCTGCTCTGCTTTCCTTCACCTTTAGGATTACAAGGGCCAGAAGCTAGCTGAACAGATGTTTCAGGGAATTATTCTTTTTTCAGCAGTAAGTATTGACTTAGCATAATCTTTTTTTTTTTTTTCTTTCCTTCTTTTTGCCCCAGACTGACTGTATTCAATATACTTTGTCTCTAGATAGTTGGATTTATCTACGGGTACGTGACTGAACAGTTCGGATGGACTGTCTATATAGTTATGGCTGGATTTGTGTTTTCGTGTTTGGTAAGAAATCTGTGGGTGTTTGAATATTAGTGGCAACTTTGTGTTGTCTGAATTGGGTTGTTTTGGTTGGACCTATTAGTGAAAACCAGCACCAGCTTTTCCCTCATCCTTTTCCATCGATGTTTCCCCTTGCTGCCACTTGGAAAGTAGAATGCCAAATAGTGTCGGATGAGGAAAGCTGCATAAGAAAGGACACACCTCATTTATTTTAGCAGCTGCTCCAGGCAATAATCTGAAAGTTAAAGCTAGCAGGAATTTTTATAAAATACTTTTTTTTTTTTTTTAGGGAGGGTAAGGGATAGAGAGAAACATCGAAGAGACAGGAACATCATCAATCAGCTATGCCCACACTAGGGATGAGCCTGCAACCCGGACTTGTGCCCAGACCCAGAATCAAACCGGAAACCTCTTTCTTAATCTTAGGTGTTGCTCACCCTCTGAGCCACACCAGCTGGGCCAAGTGTTTTTAAGATCTTCACACTGCTCCCTCCCCTCCCCTATATGTGTAAACAGTGAAGCTTGCTTGCAGCACTTAAAGTATCTTGTGTGAGCATTGGCATGTTTTTCACACGAATGTCAGTTTTGTTATTGGTTTTACCTTTAGGAGTCATTTGGGAACCAGGCATTATACGAAATGCTCTTTAATGGCTACTACTGATTCATTTTCTCTGTTCTGGCTCAGCTGACACTTCCTCCATGGCCCATTTATCGCCGGCACCCCCTCAAGTGGTTACCAGTTCAAGATTCAGGCACAGAAGACAAGAAACCAGGGGAAAGGAAAGTTAAAAGGCATGCTAAAAATAATTGATTGGGAGTTTACATGATTCAGCTTTATTATTGCACCTGCTTTTGTATCCTGTGAGATGAGCTAAATCTTCACACCCAAAACAAGAACTAAAAACCACCTATGCTACGGTACAACTGTTATATTTTTCTCTCTATATTTCACTTCTCAGTTGGGCTTTGACTAGTACATATTTTAGACCTCTTCGTAATCTTTCTCTGAAATGGAGAACAGAAAATACAAGTATGCAAAGTTTCTTTCAGGTCTACAAAAGTAATATTTGCTTCATAAATGGTAGTACAACTTAATTATCAGTTTTATAAATCATTATTAAGCTGTTTGAATATTTTCAATTAAAACTCACAGTGCAAGTCTATGCCTAAAGAGTCTTTTATTCATTGTTCTGATAGTAAGATTACTAGTAAAAGCCAAAGTTAGAAGTTCATAGTTCTGAATGTGTCAGTAAGCCCCATTTCTAATTCTTAACAGCAAGCACCTAATGAAAAAATTTACAAATGTAAACTTGTGATGTAGTAGTATTTTAGTACCACTAAAATAAGGCTGATGTTAAGCAGAAAACATTTCATTTTTAAAAATATATTTTATTGATTTTTTTTTTTAGAGAGAGGAATAGAGTTAGAAACATTGATGAGAAACATCGATCAGCTGCCTCCTGCACACCCCCTACTGAGGACATGCCTGCAACCAACACACATGCTCCTGACCAGAATCAAACCCCAGACCTTTCAGTCCGCAGGGTGATGCTCTTTCCACTGAGCCAAACCGGTTTCTGCCATTTCATTATTCTTTACCTGAGGTGGGCCAGAGTGAAAAACCTATGAAGATATAAATTCCTTTTAAATTTTCTAGAAGGCTGAAAAGAAAGTTTTCTAAAAATCTTATGTGAGATGGAGGGTTATTATAGATAATATTCTATTTCTCAATACCAGGATATATGACTTCCAGACTGTGAGTTTAAAAAAAAGGGAGCAAAGACTTTGATATAGCAAAAGTCAGGCAAGTTTTTTAAAAAGCAGTGTAATAAATGTGGTTTAAAAGTTAGGAGCAGGAGATTTTTTTCATTCTAAGAAAATAATGTACAACTTTATATCAATAAGTTAGAAATCATAATCAATGACTTCCTAGAAATGTAGATTTCTGAAATGTGCAAGAAATGGTGAATAGCTCAGGAAGACCAAGGATTTGCCCCCATCTAGGCACTGGGACTAGATGTGTTTTTTTATTTATCTTTATTGTTGAAACTATTAACAAGTGTCCTCTTTCTCCTCCCTCCCCCCCAAATTGGGACTAGATGGTTTTATAGTTGAGTTCTAACAAACCCTTCAAAATAAAAATAAAAGGTCTCAGAAACCAGGCTATGAGCATTTTAAGGACAAGGTAGTATTGTTTTAGTCACCACTGCATTCCCAGCTCCAGGAATAGCACCTAGCAAAACAGTAAAGGTCTGTTAAGTGACTGGAAAGGAAACATTTCATTAGAGTATTTTATGTGTGTATATATATTTTCAAAGAAAATACCTTTTTTAAAAAATATTAATTTATTTCAGAGAGGAAGGGAAAAGGAAAGAGAAACATCAATGATGAGAAAAATCATTAATCAGCTGCCTCCTGCATGCCCCCTACTGGTATGGAGCCCACAGTCTGGGAATGTACCTTCACCAGGAATCAAATCATGACCTCCTGGTTCATGGGTCGTCACTCAACCACACAGCCATACCAGCCAGGCGGGAAGCTACAGTTTTAATTATTAAAAAAATTTTTGGAGCAGATTTCATTTTTAGAGTCTCTGAATACAGAGGTGAAAATTTACTAATCAATACTTATTTTATAAAAACTTTACTAGGTGGGCAATGCCCCTCATAAATAATTAACAGGTAATACATAAACATACATTTGAAACATGAGGAGACAAACTTCAGGAGAGAAATATGCTGAACTCTACTTATAAATTGCTTAATTGGAAAAGGAATTAGTGTTTTAAAAATGTTTTCCCTCATGGAGAAATCTAAAAAAAATTTTTTTAAAAAACCATATAAAAACATTCATTTACAAAGCCAAAATATCTCTTAGTTTCAATTCTTATATACCCTAGATAAGGTGCATATTACATGAAAATACAATGTTAAATGTCCATCAGTATGTAAAGAGGAATTCACTTGCTCAAGTACTAGATACAACTAAACATTCTTTAAATATACTCCTAGAATCTTGAATTTTTTTCCAAAATAATTTATCAACTACTACCTAAGGTTATTAACAATGACAAGTAGTATCACTGGACATATGTCGTTTATTTTTCCTATTGCTTTTATCACTGCAGTATAATATAAAACTTCCAATCCAATATTATATGGTCCTTATTCAAGCTAATTAGTACCTTAAAAAAAATAAAGTTCTAGATATAAAATTGGTGGTTTAAGGCTCAGTAAATAACCAAAGTCTTATAACAGATTTTTCCTCACAAAGAAAATAAGGTTCTTTCTGTTGTGACTTTGCTTCATATTACATTGGTCTGTCACATTTTTTCCAGTAAAAAACAAAACTAAGAACCACCCAAGAGCTATAAAGATGGTGAACAGCCTCCAACCATCATAAGTTTGTTTCTGTTTAAGCCAAAAACCTTTGAATATAAGTCTTTAGCTCTGGCAGCAGATTAAATTCTCAAAAATTCACATTTTCTTCAAAAAATTTCAATTGGCGAGCTTTCACACTGTAAGTCGTATACTTTTCACCCATATGCTTCTGCAAACGTACCTATTTGGGAAACATAAAAAGAAAATCAGTATGTAGTAGAAAAAAATATTTTTCTAATCTTAGAACAGCTTTACTAAGAATGATACCAAAGGTGGGTATCATATGGGTAAATACTAAGTATATTTACATAAAAGTTTGAACTTCAAGATATCAAAAAATAATTGTAAGAAATTAAAAAGCAAACAATAAGCTAGGGAAAATATTTTCAACATACATGCAAAATATATTAATATACAGATGTCCTCCCCTGGCTGGTATGCTGTATGGTTAGAGTGCCAGCCACAAAGTGAAGGATTATAGGTTCAATTCCCAGTCAAGGGTACATACCTAGGTTACAGGCTCAATCCCAGGGCCCAGTTGGGGTACATGTGGGAAGCAGCCAATCAGTGTCTCTCACATTGATGTTTCTCCCCTGCCTCTCCCTCCCATTCTTTATAAAAATCAATGGAAAATACATTCTCGGGTGAGAACCACAACAAAGTGTGTGTGTGTGTGTGTGTGTGTGTGTGTGTGTGTGTGTATATCTATATATCTATATATATATATGTATATAGTGTTCCCCAAAAAAAGTATTCATACACTTTGAATAATTTTAAAGGCAGTGTTTATTAAAATAATGTCATTTTCAAAACTGAACTATCAGCTGTGTATATACATTTTTTGGGACACTGTATATAAACATATATGTTAATATATAAAGAGCTCTTAGAACCAAAACTAGTATTTTATTGAACATCAGAATTGATAAAGCAACAAAATCAATCCCATATGTAATTCAGCAAAGGCATTTACAAAAGAATACAAATAACCAATTAACATATAGAAGTAAAACTTAACTACGTGACACTCTGTTGAAAGAAATGCCTAAAATTAACTAATGTGTTAAACAGATATGGACCTCCTGATACAATGTACTGAGGACACAACATCACTTCTGTAATACTCCTGCCAAAAATGCATCATCTGAATCTACTCAAGATGTCAAACAAATCCAAACAGGCATTTTATAAAGTAGATGGCATATACTCTTTAAAAATGTCAAGGTAGTAAAAAACAAAGACTGGATAATAGTTCCATATTAAAGGAGAAGTAACAATAAAATGTAATCCTAATTGGTTCCACATGTGGCAGGGAGCTCTGTAGATGGAAAAATCTCTGAAAATGGCCCTATGGGCATACAGCAAATAAAGACACTTTTCCACACCCCAAGATAATCTAAAAATAAGAACAGTGAGTCGAAACCGGTTTGGCTCAGTGGATAGAGTGTCAGCCTGTGGACTGAAAGGTCCTGGATTCAAATTTGATCAAGGGCATGTACCTTGGTTGCGGGCACATCCCCAGAATCAGTAAAATAAATTAAAAAAAAAAAAAAAAGAATAGTGAGAATCTGTACTATATGGATTAAGATCAACTGCCTGCCTCCCCATTCCCAGGCCTAATGAGACAAAAAGTACATCAGACTGGTGAAGCCAACAAAACGGGGCTCTTTTCCCCAGCTCCTAGTCAGAGGCTATGCTCCTGGAAGAGGGAGGACATCAGAATATCTTATCTCATCCTGCCCCCAATACCTGTTGTTGAGGATAAGTTTTGGAAGAGTGCAGCCAAAAGGTGGGAGTTTCCTCCTTACACCCAGCTTGACTTGTAGGAAGGAAGCTCTACTGAAAATAGTGAAGTCCTAATCTACCTTTGCCCAAGATAGGGTGAAACATGCTGAGGAGACCAGACTGAAGCTCCTTTACCCCCACAGAACTTTTTTATTTTTCAAAATATATTTTTATTGATTTCTTTTAGAGAGCGAGAAAGGGAGAAGGATAGAGATAAAAACATCAAAGATGGGTCCCTACTGGAGATTGAGCCTGCAACCAGAGCATGTGCCCTGACTGGGAATTGAAGAACCTCTTTGTTCGATGCTCAACCACTGAACCATGCAAGCCAGGCCCACAGAGCTTTTAAAGTGGGGGTATCACTCAGAAACAAACATGCTAATTGTCCTCACACCTCAACTCCAGAGCTTTGCTCAGATATTTTACCTGGAATTTTTTCTTAAATGAACTGCATTTGAAGCAAACTATGGAAAAATTCAAGCCTAAAAGTTCTCTCAAAAAACAAAACAAAAAAAAGGAGATTGTAGATTCATTGGATATATAGGTTAAATTGTAGGCTACTTTCATGGAAACAAGAAGCTGGGAGTAGGTTCCCTGGGGTCAGAACCATTCTCAAACATTGACCTTTTGAACTATCCCTTCAAAGGAGTCTAAATTTGAATATAAGTCTTTATTCTGATCAATCTGTAGCACAATTTATGCCCCAGGACATTGTAGGAAACAGCAGAGCAAACAGCTGGGTGAGGTCAGGAAAAGGAGAGTATCCAGAGAGCGCTCCCAAACCCTGTCGTTCCAAGGTGGCTGGGGACATGCCCAAAGTTGCACCCACTGAGGGGCAATATCAGAGGCTTTACACTGGAGGGAGGAGGAAGGGGTAAAATAGACTTCACTAAAACAATCCAGCCAATTACTAAACATTCGAATAACAGTAACAACCCTCACTTCCAGGGAGGCTAGTAACCAAAATTATAAAAACACTAGTGGCCTAGTGCAAGGATTCGTGCACACTGAAAGGAAATTAATTAGAAGATTTGTGCAGTAATTAAATTACTGCAAAAAGTGACATGTCAATATAGTATATGTAAGATAGTATCATAAGTGAAAACATGTCATTGGCACCAGCGAGAGTTTTATATGCATCATGCATGTGCAAGTTAACGTTTATTTTTAAATTGCCAGTGCACATCATATGTACTAGTTGGACAGTCACTTAGCCTTTTATATATATATAGATGTCTAAAATTTCCAGTTTCCAAAATAAAGTTATGAGACAAGCAAAGAAACATGACATTCACTGGGGGAGGAGGGGGAGAAAGCATGTGAAGAGAAATTGCCTGTAAGAACAACCAGATACTGGATTTAAGAGAAAAAGACATCAAAATAGCCATTATAAATATGTTCACAAAAACTAAAGAAATTCATGATTATAGAAGTAAAGTATGATTATAATGTCATATTAAATAAAGAATATTGATAAAGAAATAAATTATAAAAAGAACTAAATAGAAATTCTGGAATTAAAAAGTACTGCATAACAAATAAAAACTCATCAGAGGGGCTCTACAGTATATTTGAACTAATGAAAGACTAAGGAAGCTTGGAGATATATCCATAGAGATTATGTAATCCACAGGACAGAGAGAAAAGAAAGTAAACAGTCTCAGGGAAATGTGGGACACTATTTGTACATACCATCACCAGAGTGATGGATCAGAAAAGAAGTAGAAAAATACTTAAAGAAATAATGGCTGAAAATCTCCCAGATTTATTGAAACATTACACATGCAGGAAGCTCATAAACTCCAAGCAGGATCAGCTCAAAGAGATCTACATACTGTGCTAAAAGCCCAAGTCAAGGAAAAAATGTTAAAAGCAGCAAGAGAAAAATTACATCATTTACAAGGGAACCCAAACAACATTAACAGCTGACATCATACACAATGGCGGTCAAAAGGCAATGGGATAACATTCAGAATGCTCAGAGAAAAAATAATGTTAACCAACAATTGCATATCCAGTAAAGCTATCTTGCAAAAATGGTCAAATACATTTCCAGATAAACAAAAACAATTTGTAGCTAGCAGATCCTCTTTAAAAGTCCTACTAAAGGAAATTCGTCAGGCTGAAAGCAAGAAACCCCAGGCAATAATTCAAATTATATGAAAACACAATAAACACTGAGAAAGGTAATCTATATTTATCTATATAATTAATAGAGGAATAGGCAAACTAGCCAGGACACCAGCAGGGACCTCAGACCACTCCTTGCCCTGTGGGGCTTGAAGGACCTCAAGCCACGCCACCAAGCCAGGCTCTGGGCTAGGAGACAGGCTGCGCCCCTCACCCAGCTCTAGGCTGGGGACCTCAAGCTGTGCCCCTGCCCAGCAGGACTTGATAGGGGACCTCAGGCTGCAGCCCTCGCCTGGCAGGGCTTGGTGGGGCTTGATGGGGACCACAGGGTGAACCCTCCTCAGGCCATGCCCTATGCCCAGTGAGGGTTGACAGGGGACCTCAGGCTGTGCCCCCCCTGTCCCAATGCCAAGCCAGGGGATCTTGGGCTGCATCCCCTGCCCAGCAGGGCTTGACAGGACCTCAGGTCATGCTCCCCCAGTAATAGGCCGGAGGGCCTGAGACTGTCTCTGCCCCCCCTTATCCCTCCCCCCTCCCCCCCCCCCCCCCCCCCCCCCCCCCGGCCCGGAAGGGCTTCACTAGGATGGGGCCAGCTGGATCTGGATCTCCTGCATTTTCAAAGTGTGTGCAGGTGGTGGTCAGGGACTTGAACCTGGGTCCTGTGGCACATCCCAGACTCTAAAAGGAGGGAGATTTTCATATGGTGATGACACAAGCAGTTCTACGTCACCCCAGCTGCTCGGGGCCTCTGGGTAGTATGGGAAGGTGGAAAGGTGGCTCTAGCCAGAGCAAAGGTGGTGCCAGCAACCAGGGGAAGGAAGGCCCACTCTTGCATGAATCTTTGTGCATTGAGCCTCTAGTGTGTGTGTGTGTGTGTGTGTGTGTGTGTGTGTGTGTGTGTGTGTGTATATATATATATATATAACCCTAAGCAACCGTTTGACTGGTAGCTATGATGTGTACTGACCACCAAAGGGCATACTTAACACACAGGCATGGAAACATGGAATATGCATACTAGAGGCCTTGTGCACTGATGGGGTCCCTCAGCCTGGCCTGCGGGGATTGGACCAAAACCAGTAGTCCAACATCCCCCAAGGAGTCCCGGGCTGTGAAGGGTGCAGGCCAAGGGACCCTAGCAGTGCATGAATCTGTGCACTGGGCCTCTAGTTATGTAAATAAAACAACATGCCTGCATATTGCTTCTCCTTTCTATTCTAAACTGATTTTAAAAGCAACTGTATAATATATGTATAGAACAGTGGTTCTCAACCTTTCTAATGCCGCGGCCCTTTAATACAGTTCCTCATGTGGTGGTGACCCTCAACCATAAAATTACTTTCGTTGCTACTTCATAACTGTAATTTTACTACTGTTAATGAATCGTAATAGGACACTCACCTCTCTTTTTAATTCATCCTCTTCTTCCAAAAGATCATACACCTGCTCTAAAAGCTGAATCCCCAGGCCCTGGATTACATCAGCTCTCAAGATTTCAACTATTCTTCTGATCTTTTCAGAACCTGGAATGATAGCTTAAAAGTAACAACAAAGACAGGGGAAAATGAGTACTTTCACGATGGCAGCAAGAAGAATGTTATGTGTTGTTTTTTTTAAATCTTGTCATGTTAAGATCTTTTTCATATTTCAGAGATATTGCAGGTTTGTCACACACATTTTTGGTTTTCCCAGTGCATGTAAAAGTTATGTTTACACTATACTGTGGTCAATGAAGTATGTAATAGGAATGAAGTTTTTAAAAAGCATAGCCGGTTTGGCTTAGTGGATAGAGCATCAGTCTATGGACTCTAGGGTCCCAGGTTTTATTCTGGCCAAGGACACATACCCAGGTTGCAGGCTTGATCCCCAGTGTGGGGAGTGCAGGAGGCAGCTGATCAATGATTCTCTCTCATCATTGATGTTTCTATCTCTCTCTCCCCCTCCCTTCCTCTCTGAAATCAGTAAAAATTATTAAAAATAAAAAATCAATGTGTATACCTTAATTTAAAAATACTTTATTGCTAAAATTGCTAACCATCAACTGAGCCTGTCGAAAAAAATGGCATCAATAGACTTGCTCAGTGCAAGATTGCCACAAACCTTCAATTTGTAAAAAACTCCATATCTGCAAAGTGTAATAAAGTGAAGCACAATAAAACAAGGTATGACTATAAATGAATGTATGCCTTATGTCTCATTAACACTTCCTAAACTTAAAATACATAACTGTCTAATTTGAAGAGAATCCATGTGAAAAATTCCAAACACATATTTATTTACACTTATTTTTAAAAATCAATTTTCATGCAACTTTTCAGGAACACAACTATTACGTAAAACAAAATATACCTTTTATGGAGATATCCAAATGAAAGAATAAAAAGACAAAACAATTTGCAAGCATTAGCTGCTCCTTGGTTTGACACATTTCTCCAATAAACATGCTCTCCAGTTTGCTGTAAAAGAATAAACTGATCACCTAAAGGTAGCTCTTTAAAATGGAGATCCTCTGCTTGTTCTGCAACTTTCCCATGAAGTATCAGTGTGTCCCGATACTTTCGATGAAGTTTAAATTCTGACACTGGATCAGGCACTGGGAGATCCTCACAGCTCTCTTTAGAGTCCAATTTTAGGGTCTGAGTCATCAGTTGTACCAAATCACACATTTCACTTGATTGACCTTTCCTAGAAAAAAGAAATTCCCCTTATTATTATTAAATTAGCTTCATGAAAGTTTTCATTAGAAAATGATATGTCAAGGGTGGGGTGGCCAGGGAGAATTAATGGGGGGAAGGAGACATATGTAATACTATATATAATATTTTAAACAAGAATTTTAAAAATAAATAAATAAATAAGATGCCAAATAACTTTTAGGAAGTTCTGCTTCCCAATGGCCAAGCAAGCTCCTGCAGACAGACCCTTCCACAGGTAACAAGCATAAAGGTTGAATATAACACAGAAGCCAACTATAGGAAGGCACTGGAGAATGTACAAAATCTGTGAGCAGATTCTGGAGGGAAGCCAACACCTTTTACCCTAAGGGAAGGCTGTGGTGCTAACATACAACAGAAAACCCAGCCTTTCTGGCCTGCAGAACCAAAGGACACAGTTTAAGACAGCCAATGCCACTAGAGAGAGAGAGAGGAATCTTGGAAAGGGGAGAGCCGGAAAGAGGAAGCCCCAGAATTCTACAAGTTCTGCCCAACTATCTCTAAATAACTTAACTGCATTCAAGTACAAAGCTCAAGAATATTTAAAGAAATATAAAAATACCATGTTCTAATGAGAGAAAATTGGCAATGTCTGGAATCCAGTCAAAAATAACAAACATGCAAAGAAGCAAGAAAATAGCACACATTTATGAAAAGAAAAGCAGGTAATAGAAAAAGATCCAGAATTGATAGAATTAGTAAATAAATAATTAGTTATTATAAGTAATTAACTATAAAGTCATAAATATATTCCATATGTCCAAAGTAAATAAAAGTATTAAATATTAAGGAGAGGCATGGAAAATATTTAAAAAGACCCAAAATTAGCTCTGGCCAGTGTGGCTTAGTTGGTTGGAGTATCATCCTGTGCACCAAAGGATCACTGGTTCCATTCCTGGTCAGGGCACATACCTAGGTTTTGGATTTAATCCCAGTCAGGACACATACAGGAGGCAACTGATCAATGTTTCTCTCTCTCTCTCTCTCTCTCTCTCTCTCCAAAATAAATAAAAACATATCCTCAGATGAGGATAAAAAAAAAAACAACCCAAAGTGAACATTAGAAATGAAAAGCACAATATGGCTGAAACCTGTTTGGCTCAATGGATAGAGCATCGGCCTGCGGACTGAAAGGTCCCAGGTTCGATTCCAGTGAAGGGCATGTACCTTGGTTGCGGGCACATCCCCAGTAGGGGGTGTGCAAGAGGCAGTTGATCGATGATTCTCTCTCATCAATGTTTCTAACTCTCTATCCCTCTCTCTTCCTATCTGTAAAAAAATCAATAAAATATATTTTTAAAAAAAAGAAAAGAAAAGCACAATATGTTAAATACACTGGATGGGATTAACATATCAGACACCATAGAAGAAAGGCTAGACTAATTCAACAATATCGCAACAGAATCTATGCAAAATGAAACAAAAGAAATCTAAAAATATTAATACCATTGGTGAGCTATGGGACAGCTTTAAATAATAATATAACTGGAATTCTCTAGAAGGCAAAAAACATTAAAAAAACATTTATAAAATTCTCAATGAAAATCAGATGTGCTCATTGAAAGAGATATTTTTAGATATTTTTAGCGCTAGCATATATAAAAAACTATAATGTTAGCAATGACAATACTACAGGTCTGACTACTACTATAAATATACACTTAGGGTTAATTCAAATAGAAATACTTTATGAAGAGAGAGAAAAATAGATCTTACCCTTCCCTGGAATCCCCATCTGATTTGTCAGTTGAACTTGTAGAAGAACTTAACTCCTCCTCAGAGAAACAATGGGTAAGTTTCCTTTTCTATTAATGTTTGGGAAAACAAAATTCCACATGACAACACAACCAGAATGCAATAAATGGAAAAGTCTTAGATGCAATGTCTAGTTACATTGTGCACTTATGTCCAATTTAACAGGAGAAACTAATGAATATAAAAATTGAAGTTATTTTACCTAAATCATGTCCTAGTTCACCCATGAAATTCACAAGTGAAGCCTGAGGAAACATCAAGGCCCTGGAAAGTCTCAGTTATGAAGACATTTCCTTTCCAGAAAAGAGTGGCCAAACAATTCTGGTGTTCCAACTCCTAAGCAGAGGGCTGGTACCATAAGGGATACTGGCATTTTAAGCTGGATAGAATGCCACCTAAATAAAAGCAACCTCAGTTTGTTCATATGTGAGATAATTACACACAAACCTTACAATTTTGGAAATGGAAAGGACCATCTCAATTAGCGAAACAAGTAAATCACAGAATATTGTTAAGGAAACAAATCTTGCCATGGAGCTGGTATTTATGAAGTTTACTATATTTGAAGCATAGCAACCTCCATCTTGTATAAAAACTGTTTTAAATTCTCTGCTATTGTTAGATAGTCCTTTGTTCTGTAAACTATGTCATTTTTAGATAGCCTCTTATTCTGTAGAATAACTGTTTTAGTTTGAATAATAAAACAACATTAAAACTTAACTGCCTGACCTTGCAAGCTAGCCATCTAACGTAATGGACAAATACTGATAATAATTCCCATATTCTTATGCCAAATGTTTATTCTTTATATATCCAAGATTACAAACTATCTGTAACAATAACTCACACAGAGCCCTTTGTAAAATCTGCAGACAAAGTGTCTGAAAGGTATAAGTAGAGAGAACTTCCTCTATTTGTTTGCTCAAAGATTTGAAAGAAACACCTCCCTCTGGGCTGTATGCAATAAATGACTCCTAATTAATTGGCTCATTAAGGCATCTTGTATCTCACTCGCTGATTTACGATACAACGTATTAGGCTTGCTAGGTGTAGACATGTCCACCTCTTCTCCTTCGAGCTAAGTAATGTACCTGAGCACAGCTTTGGTCAGAAGACAACCATGGAGCAGGGGTGAGCTGGCCTTCCTCTTGTGGCTGTCCTGGCCCCGGAGCACTCAGAGAAGCTCTCCTCACTGAAGGGCCTGAAAAAGTGACCATCCCCAACAGTGGTTTGCGATGGGCTGGCCTCAACAGAAGAGGGCACTGGGTATGGGAGATAACCCAGGAGGGCCAACCCAGAAGTAACTCAGACAGCGGATCATCATCACTCTGTTACCTGACACTTCAGTTCAAAGTTGAGCTCTAGGCCTACCAGTTCTGTGACCCTAAGCAAGATACTTAACCACTCTGAGCCTCAGCTGCAAAATGGGATAATGCTGACTACTTTTGACAGTTATTGTAAATATAAATTGAGATAATGCCCTTAAAATGTTTACCATAGTGCATGAAACTTAATTAGCAATCAATAAATGGAAACTGCCAGTATTGTCTTTAGTTAATAGTAACAGAAATAATCACAGCACGTAGCCCTAGGCACCACCATTCTCCAAGTTTTCTCTCTCTGTTCCTGAGAAAACAGCACTTCTATGACCAGCAGACTCTGAAAATGGAAACAAATTAAACACTCAATTTCCTGTCTGAAACCTTCCAGGCATTACTGCCACTCAAAGCCGTCTTGCTCTCTTTTTAAAATTCTCTTCTATGCTGGATTGTTTTTAAAGGCTTGACTAAGGAATTTCAGAATTTCTTTCAAATCAGTTTCCAAAACGTATTACTATTGCTTGAAAATTCTTAACACCTCACTATCAGAACCAATACTTATGTCCACGAGTCAAACCTCCAAAAGAAGAAGAAAAGAGAACAACTTTACCTGAGGGGAATCTCTCTTCCTGTGACTGCTTTAGTCGCCTCCTCTCTCTTGCTGATAATGGCCGGTCCTTTTAAAGAAAGTCAGAATTATGTCCATTTCTACTCAATACTCTTACAATACCTACGATGCATGAAGTGTCATGCAGCCCTATAGGAAAGCCCTTGCCAGGCCTTAAAAGAATGTCCATTGAAACCAGTCTGCATCGGTTACAGCTACCAGCTAGGACCGATCACAATAGCCCCATTCCTAGGAAGTACTGTACTGGGTTTTGGAAGGACAATTGGGGAATTTTGCATTTCCTCCATTCAGAATCTACTTGGTCTCCTAGTAAACCATAAGTGACCTTCTCTGGAACTTTAGAATCTGTCCACTTCAATCAGAGCTTCTACTAAGAATCACATATCTATTCCTCACAGTGCTTAAAGTAGGGCTAAGATATTTTAATACAAACTTCACAATATATGCAGGATTTCATAGCAAAAAAGCTTTATACTTTTTTTTTTTTTTAATCCAACATATACCCCCCAGAAACCTTTGATGATGACATCTCACTGCTCCTGGAACTGCTCACAGACTCAGGGGTCACTCTGTTTTGGTTTTCAGCATCCTTTGGGGTTGATGTGGCTTCCACTTTTCCAACAGCAAGAAGAGGAGGCAAAAGTTGAGGCAGAGCCTCCCGGAACTTAAATATTTTTAAAAGAGGGGGAAATTATCAGTTTCATATGATAATGACAACCCACCTTCAAAGTACCCCTATTAGTTTCTTACATATTCAGCAGTAATTTGCTCTCAAAAACTATAAAACACTGAATTTTCAGGGAAAGAAATTTTGCCTAAAGTGAAGTATTATTAGAGCATGCCTATGAAAGTTACTTCAAGGAATGGTGTAATATCTCAATTAAAGAAAAAAAAAAATGAGATGTCAACCTGATTTTATACAGAAGATGAGGGAGAAAATACCCATTAATATAGCAGGGAGTATCAGAGGTACTCATTAGCCTGTTTAACTCTCAATCTGTCCATCTTTGCTGGAAAAGACAAAATCCTTATTCTGCTTCCAAATTATTGACATTTGAAAAACTACTATCTTGACCTTGTAACACCCACCCCCACCAATGTTCCTTGCATCTCTTGTGTATCTACTGGCATCTGCTAATCATCCTAAGTAGAACCTGAGCGTCCTAAAATATATTTCCCCAGCAGCAGCACAATGACTTAGTCAAGAGATCTCGTCCAACCTGTCTTTTCTCCCCTCTGTGTCCCATCTGCTCTCTTTTCTTCTGCCGTCGCTGTCGAGACAGGGAAGGCTCAGACCCACAGCTGTGTGGCTGCAAACCTGCGTGGATTCTGTCCTGCTCTTCTATACTCCGCTCACCAGCAACTTGATCCTTAAAAAATACACACACAAATACATACAAAATAATACAATAGTCTTTTGAATTTCCAACCAGCCAAACCCTCTATACCTACTTTTGAAATTATAAATGAAAACGAAAAGAAGTTGTTTTTCTCAAAATAAATGCTTACTTCAGTGTTTATAGACTAGAAAAAATGCTAACATCAGTTATCTATATTTTCTAGCTTTTTTCTCTTTTCCCAAATTATAAATATAATTTTCATTATTCATATTGTTATTAACCTAAAACTGCTAATATTCAGAAAACTAAGAAATATTTTAAATGAAATCCAATTCAATATATACATAATTCCCAAGTAAACATGAGTAATTTAGATGCACCATGAAAAATGCCTTTAAGCGCCGGGACCGGTTTGGCTCAGTGGATAGAGCGTCGGCCTGCGGACTGAAAGGTCCCGGGTTCGATTCCGGTCAAAGGCATGTACCTTGGTTGCGGGCACATCCCCAGTAGGGGGTGTGCAAGAGGCAGCTGGTCGATGTTTCTCTCTCATCGATGTTTCTAACTCTCTGTCCCTCTCAATTCCTCTCTGTGTAAAAATCAATAAAATATATTTAAAAAAAAAAAAAGAAAAAAAAAGAGAAAAAAAAAGAAAAGAAAAATGCCTTTAAATCACCATGAAAAGAGCATTGAATTTGGAGTTAGATGGAGTCATATCTGAGAAATCTAATCTTTCTGAACCTCAGTTTCTTCATCCATATATAATTGGATAAAATACTTCACTCACATTTGTATGACTGTTGGAGAATTAGGAAATACAGTGCACTAAAGTACTTAGAACTAAAGTACTTAGCACATTAAATACTCAAAAAAAAAATCGGAGCTACTATGAGCAGTAGTAATGGTAAAATAAATTGCCTTTTAAGTTATATAAAGTTCACCAAAGGCTTAGTCTTTTTTTATTTATTTGTTTTTTAAAATCCTCACCTGAGGACATATTTATTTTTATTGATTTTAGAGAGAAGAGGAGGGAGGGAAGAAAGGAGAAAACATCTGTCTACCTGAAACCTGAGATTGTGCCCTGCCAGGAATCAAACCCACCATCTTTCAGTGTATAGATAATGTTCAACGAGCTGAGCCACCCTGGCCAGGGTAAGGACTTAGCATTTTATTGGGTAGCTATTTTAGAAACAAATTTCATACCAAACATTAAAATAGATATTTAAGCCCTAGCTGGTTTGGCTTAGTGGACAGTGTCAGCCTGCAGACCAAAGGGTCCCAGGTTCAATTCTGGTCAAGGGCTCGTACCTTGGTCCTGGTCAGGGCATGTGCAAGAGGCAACCAATCAGTGTGTTTCTCTCCCATTGATGTTTCTCTTTCTCTTTTCCTCTCTTCTACTCTCCCTAATTGGGGGGGGGGGGGGGGGGGGGGGGGCGCAGGGGGGGAAGGAGGAGAAGAAAAAATATCCTAGGGTGAGGATTAAAAATAAAATAGATACTTAAATTTTTCAAACAAGTTTTAAATATAAAAATATCTAGGTTTTCAAATAATTGAATATGATTCAATCAACATTTTTTTTTCAACAATTTTTATCAAGAGCCTATTTAGTACATTTTTAGGAAGAAAAATTAACATAGTATTAATACAAGGTGAAACTGCTTCTAAGAGTCATTATCATTAAGATATCATCTAAAATTCATATCCTCTAACAAATACAAAATAATGACTCCTGTAGATAATAATTTGTTAAATTTATTCTTTCAAGAGTACATCTAACATTATGTATAAAATTTAGTAAATGATTAGATTTTACAATATTATTACATAATATATAAGCTGAACAAAATGACCAAGATAATAAATGATTGATATAATTCTGAAGCATATTTCATGGTAAATGTTTCTCTGCTGGTAGTAAGCATAGGCTGTTCAAAATAAAGCTTATACCAGTATAAGAGTGACAGAATAAATGACTTAGGTCATTTCTCCATGAAATCCAATTGGTCTTGGAAAAAAAAAGTTCTACTTTTAAAAATAGTAACACAAAAAAAGGAAATGCTAGACATAAAATTCTCTCAAACAAAAAATCTGCTCTAAAACCCTGATGTAAGCCCGGCTGGTGTGGGTCAGTGGTTGAGGGATTCGATTCCCAGGTAGGGCACATGCCTAGATGGTGGGCTCAATCCCCAACAGGAGGCAGCCAATCAATTATGTTTCTCTCCCATCAATGTTTCTCTCTATATATCCCTCTCCCTTCCTCTCACACTAAAAATCTATACAAACATACTTAAGATATGCTTTTTTAAAAAGCCTTATATAACAAATTAATTTGATCAGGAATAAAACAAGGATGTTCCCGCTCAACACTTCTATTTACACACTGTAGTAGAGGTTCCAGCCAGAGCAATTAGGCAAGAAAAAGAAATAAAAACAATCCAGATTGGAAAGGAAGAAGTAAAACTACTCTGCTCACAGACAACATGATGATCTTATATTCAGAAAATCGTAAGGCATCCATTATAAAATAATTATTAGAACCAATAAAAGGGTTCAGTAAGGCTGCATGGTATAACATTAATATACAAAAATCTGTATTTCTATACACAAGCAATGAACACTATGAAAATGAAATTAAGAAAACAATTCCATTTACAATGGTATCAAATGGATGGTTCATAGGTCCACTTTTTTTTTTAACATATATATTTTTATTTTACTTATTTATTTATTTTTTAAATATATTTTATTGATTTTTTACAGAGAAGAAGAGAGAAGGATAGAGAGTCAGATACATCGATCAGCTGCTTCTTGCACACACCCCACTGGGGATGTGCCCACAACCAAGGTACATGCCCTTGACCGGAATCGAACCTGGGACCCTTCAGTCTGCAGACCGATGCTCGTCCACTGAGCCAAACCAGTTTTGGCAATAGGTCCACTCTTTAAGATTTTTTATAAAAGCCTGGCCGGCGTGGCTCAGTGGTTGAGAGTGGACCTATGAACCAGGAGGTCATGGTTTGATTCCCAGTCAGGACACATGCCCGGGTTGCAGGCTCAATTCCCAGTGGGGGCATGTAGGAGGTACCGATCGATTATTCTTTCACATCATTTATGTTTCTATCTCTCTCCCCCTCTCCCTTCCTCTCTAAAATCAATAAAAAAATAATTTTTAATAAAGTGAACTTGAATTTAATTTGACAGCCAAGCAGAACAAGTAAGACACACACAACTTTATCTATAAGGATTCCAGTGTCCAGAGAAAGCTTAAGACTATATTTTGGTTTAATCCAATGCCTTTAAATGATAAAAGCATTATACTTGTTCTTTTCCATAAAAACAAAACTTTATTAAAATCATCTGAATATAAATGTATAAAAGTTTTGTTTATATAAATGTTAAGTAAAATATATAATGTATCAAATTAAAATATATATAGCATAGATTATAAAAATAGTCAATATACCTATTAAATCTATTTATGAAATATTTTATACAAAAAGAGTAAAGTTAATTAAATGTTCTAGTTTTCTTTCTAATCCTCAGCTATAACTATGCTTCATCTAATTTAGGTTTCTTTCCAAGTTCAAGTAGATGACCACTAAATGTACTTAGAATAGTCTCTCAGTATCAAATCCTCTGTTCCTTTTCTTTTTTGTTCCTTTTATTTTTTTTTCTTATCTTCTCTTCTTCCTTTTCCTTTGGTTTCAACATATAAAGAAGCATCCTTAAGAAATCAGAAACTTCCTCCCTCCCTCCCTCCCTCCCTCCCTCCCTCCCTCCCTCCCTCCCTCCCTCCCTCCCTCCCTCCCTTCCTTCCTTCCTTCCTTCCATTTCACTAACTTTTCAAAAGCAAGAATAAATGTAATATTAACTAAGTGTTGGAACTACCTATCATCCACTTGGAGGACTAAGGAAGAATGATGATACTGAAATAGGAAAAAACACATATATATATAGCATGCTTCCACCAAGTACCTTATGCCAGGGCACCTAAGGCACCTAAGAATCCCTTGGGTCTCATCCTTTGGTTTCCATTATGTTTAAACTGGAACACTGAAGAGCTGATCTTCCTAAAACCACAACTAGAATACAACCAAACACAACCACACCTTTGTAACCGCACTTTCCAGTCTTCTCTCTGAGATGAACACCATGCATACCGCTCACCTGGGCCTCTGGCTTTCGGTCTTTGTTTAGGGGCTGCAGAGGCTTCTCTTTCCTTTCCCCAGTGACACTGTTAGCGGAGCACGGAGAAATTAGGTTTCCAGGTCGAGTGCTGGACTTAGTGTTATCCTGCAGCTTCTCCTTCACTTGAGAAATATTACCTTTACCTTCTAGCTCATTAGAGGCATTTCTGCATCTTGGCTGATTCTCTTGAACTAACCCGTCGCTCAAGTTCCTCTCTGCAGGTAAGATGTCAATGTTCACTCTGCTGATGGTAGCTGGTGATTCTGTGGTACTGCTCATGTCTGCTTTGCAGGTGTGGTCTTTCAGACTTGCAGGTGTCTTCAGGGGGTCAATGACTATGTGTTTCCCCTGGGATAAACCTTTGTCTTCATCCTAAGTGAAATGCTTCCAAGTTATTACAGCACTCTTCGCACCATATAAACAAATTAACTCAAAATGGAACAACAGGTTCCTTACAAGTTAAATGTAGGATTACTTGATGACCCACCAATCCCACTCCTAGGTATATATCCCAAAGTTCTGAAAGTAGGAACAGGTATTTGTGCACCAATGTTTATAGCACCATTAGTCACGGTGACCAAAAGGTGGGAAAGACCCAAATGTCTACTAGCAGATGAATGGATAAACAAAATGTGGTATACATACAGTGGAACATTATAAAGCCATAGAAAGGAATGAAGTTCTGATACATGTTACAACGTGTATAGTCCTTGAAAACATGCTAAGTGAAATAAGTCAGACACAAAAGAATTAATATGGCAGGGTTCTACTTATATAAGATATTTAGAACAGGCAAGTTCATAGAGGTTAACAAGGCCTGGGAGTGGGGGAAAATGTAGTTAGTGCTTAATGGTTACAGTTTCTGTTTGGAATGATGAAAGTGTTTTGGGAGATAGTGGTGATGGTTGCACAACACTGAGAATATAATTAAAGCTACTAAATGGTACACTTAAAAACGGCTCTCCCAGCCGAAACCAGTTTGGCTCAGTGGTAGAGCATCGGTCTGCGGACTGAAAGGTCCCAGGTTCGATTCCGGTCAGGGGCATATACGTTGGTTGCGGGCACATCCCTGCAAGGGGGTGTGCAAGAGGCAGCTGGTCGATGTTTCTCTCTCATCGACGTTTCTAGCTCTCTATCTCTCTCCCTTCCTCTCTGTAAAAAAATCAATAAAATATATTTTTAAAAAAATGGCTCTCCCAGTCAGTGTGGTTCAGTGGTTGAAGATCAACCCATGAACCAGGAGGTCTTGGTTTGATTCCCAGTCAGGGCACATGCCTGGGTTGCGGGCTTAACCCCTAGTGGGGGACCTGGAAGAGTCAGCCAATCAATGATTCTTTCTCATCATTGATGTTTCTATCTCTTTCTCCTTCTCCCTTCTGCTCTGAAATCAATAAAAACATATATATGTATATTTTAAAAGTTAAAGATAGAATTACCAAATTTCCAGTCCTAGGCATATACTCAAAAGAACTGAAAACAGGCCCTGGCCAGGTAGCTCAATTAGTTAGAGCATCGTCCCACTACATCAAAGTTTCAGGTTTGATCCCCAGGTAGGGCACATACAAGAACCAACCAAGAATGCTTAAATAAATAGAACAACAAATTGATGTTCTCTCTCTCCTAAATCAATAAAATTTAAGAATTAATCACTAAGAAAAAATAAAGAATTGTACACAAATGTTCATAACAATAGCCAAAAGGTGAAAACCACCCAATGTCTTATCAATGAATAATTGGATAAACAAATTGTGGTACATACATACAATGGGATATTATTCACACACATATATAAATGAAATATTGATACATGCTATATGGATGTATCTCTAAAACATTGTTAAGTGAAAGAAGCTAAGACACAAAAGGTCACATATTGTATGATTCCATTTATATGAAATATCTAGAATAGGCAAACCCATAAGAGACAGAAATCACATGAGTGGTGGTTTTCAGGGGCTGGAGAGGAATGGAAACAACTATTTAATAAGTATGGGGTTTCCTCTGGAGTGACGTGAAGACGTTTTGGAACTAGATAGAGGTGATGGTTTCACAATACTGTGAATGTACTGAATGCAATTAATTGTTCACTTTAAAATGGTTAACTTTGCTATAAGGGGTTAATGGGGAGAAAAGAGGGACACATGTAATAGTTTGAATAAATATTTTTTTAAAAAATGGTTAACCTTGTTATATAAATTTCACCTCAATAAAATAAATTCTTAGAATAAAGTTATTATAGCACTGACTTCATGAAGTTTGACAGCCCACTTTGAATAAAGTGAGCTTAAACGAAATCACCTTCACCAGCATTCTTTCTCTATAATACACAATTAATTACACAACAGAATCTCCAGTAAAGCCTAATCACTTAACACAAAGTAACTTATTTATATAATCTATCATTTTAATACAGTTTCTAAAGCATGTATCCTTTTAAAAAGAAACATACCATTACATATGTCTTGGAGCCCTCAGCAGGCTGTGGTTGGGGAGGAACTACTTCATGATTGGATTCAGGCTTTCCAGAAACCACTGAAGAAACAGGCTTGGATTTAGAGTCACCATTTTTAATATTATTTTTGGAGGTTTTTCTTTATGAGGAAGAAAAGAAAAAGTTATCGATATAATGAAGATGAAGTTTTCTTCATTATATTATCAATATATTGAAGATGACAAATATATGAGAAAATGTGTGTATGTTTAATATTCCCTTGCAGAATTGCTTAATTTATAGAGAACAGTCTTTTTAAAACCAGGGGTAATTCTACAAACCACTTGACCAGTACTCCTCTAAAACAATCAAGGTCATGAAAAACAAGGAAAATGAAAATTGTCCCAGACCCAACCTAACTAAGGAGACATGAGGACTACATGTAATATGACATCCTGGATTGGATCCTGAAACAGAAAAAGGGCATTAGTGGAAAAACGGGGGAAAGCTGACGCAAGTCTGGAGTTTGTTTAGGTGACAGTAAGGTACTGATGGGGGTTCTTAGTACTAACAAATGTTCCATGGTAATGTTAAGAAGAGAAACTGGATGGCAGGCATACAGAAAGTCTCTGTACTATCTCCAACTTTTCTGTAAATACAAACATTTTCCAAAATAAAAATCTTTGAGAAATTGCCCTGGCTGCCTGGCTCAGTTGGTTGGAGCATTGTCTGTGTTCTAAAAGATTGTGGGTTCAATTTCCAATCAGGGCACATACCTAGGTTGCAGGTTCAACCCCTGGTCAAGGTGCATATGGGAGGCAACTGGTCCATGTCTGTCTCTGTCTCTCTGTCTCTCTCTCTGTCTCTCTGTCTGTCTGTCTCTCTCTCTCTCTCTCTCTGTCTCCTCCTTCCCCCACTTCCTCTAAAATCGATAAACATACTCTTGGATAGGATTAAAAACAAAATCTGAGAAATTGCCTCACATATATAAGTATCGGGATAATTTTCATCTTCAAGTTTCATATGTTTGAAATACTACCACAACTCCTTTGCCAAGTTTGAGAGTAAAAATGATTGATAATACTCAGCCTTGACTTGCAGAATAAATATATATAGAAATAATATCCCACTGTTCTAGTGTGATGTTTCTACAATGGGGATAAGTCTCTGGAAAATTCAAGAGAAGCATGAAGACCAGCACTGGAGATTGAAGGTCAAAGTTCTGTTTGGTGGAAAATTAGAGACAAAGTAAACAAAAAGGTAGTCCTTTATCCCTGGGGACTGGTCTCCCAAATTTAACCCGTCATAAAGCAAAGGTCATGAAGGCCTTGCTTAGCATCAAGGTTTAGATTCTGGAATACCTGCTCAGTGAAGGTAGGACCTGCAAGTCATAAAAAATATTTCTTTTTATCTTGAGAAGTCATGAGTGGAGAGGGAAGCTTATGAAGGTCTCAGAAATCTGAGCACTATATTTTAGATGTGACTATTATATTATACTAGGGACCGGATGCACAAAGATTCATGCACAGGGATGGGTCCCTCAGCCTGACCTGTACCCTCTCCAATCTGGGAGCTCTCAGGGAAGCCCTCTCCAATCCGGGAGTTTCTTCTGTCTTTGCAATCATATGAACAAATTATCTGAGACCCCAACCCAGTTTGGTTTGTTGCTCACAGAATAATAGAGGCTTTTTTTTGTTTTGTTTTGCTTCAGTGGTGATTTCCTGGAAGTTTTAGGATACCTTCCCTTTAATTTTTCATAGATACTCTGATTTTACTTATGTCTCTCACCTTTGCTTTCCCTCCATCCCCCACCCGCAATAGTAACTTGCTCCCGGCTCACTTTGTTCTAGTGTCTAGGAGATCTATCTGCCAGCAGAACGATTCTCAGCATTCCTAGTGCTCCCTGCGCTCTGGGCTTCCACTTCCAGTGCCGGGGCTGCCACCAGAATGACTATTCCCAGAATTCCTGGTGCTCCCCACGCTCTTTGTTTTCCCTTCCTGTTCTGTCTCCGTTCCATGGCCTCTAGTTCTGCCAAGTCCTCCAAACTGCCAGCTCGCCCTCTCTGCTCTTCATCTGGTGGCTTGGGGAGCCAAGTTCCCCAAGCCACTCCACTCTCCACCAGCTCTCCTGCTCTGCTCTCTACCTAGTGCCTATGTATGTAAATTAACCTGCCATCTTGGTTGGGTTAATTTGCATACACACTCCTGATTGGCTGGAGAGCGTAACAGAGGTACAGTCAATTTACATTTTTCTCTTTTATTATATAGGATAGTAAATAATGTAATAGGTTTCTTAGATAATCTCTCATTTTAATATGGTTTCTAAAATACATGTCTTTTTAAAAGAATCATACTCAATATGTGTTGGAATCCTCTGAGGAATGTTAAAGTGATTCTCTAAATGGTTCTCTCAATTTCTGATTTTAGCAATTACACAAACTCAACATATGTTCTAATTATGCAATTTCACTTCAGTTTAAAAGGAACTCACCATAAATTCTTGCACATTAAAATTATAGAAGCCACCCTCTTCTATTCAATCTATATAGCCCAGTTACTTGCAAGGGAATTATCTTACGCCTTTGTGGCCTCCAAAAAGAAGTGGATTTGACGCTTTATGTAAGGCTGCCTCAGGATGCTTCTTACAGAGGGTCTTTCTTCAGGCCTTTTGCTCAGCATTGTCCTTATCAGTTCTGCCAGCTCTGGGCTATAATCTTTCGGCATTGGTGGCAGCTACAAAAAGAAATAATACTACAATTATGACTAATCATCTTGTGAAGCAAAGTAAATGAAGGGAGAGTTTTCCAATATTTATTTTAAGCCATTATCCACATAAGCATAAAATAACCAGTATTAGTCTATAGGAAGCATACTGATGTCCTTCTTATAACAGCAAGTTATAAGGTTGTAAAAGTACATTCTTCCACCGGGACCGGTTTGGCTCAGTGGATAGAGCGTCGGCCAGCGGACTGAAAGGTCCCGGGTTCGATTCCGGGCAAGGGCATGTACCTTGGTTGCGGGCACATCCCCAGTGGGGGGTGTGCAAGAGGCAGCTGATCAATGATTCTCTCTCATCGATGTTTCTAACTCTCTATCCCTCTCTTTTCCTCTCTGTGAAAAATCAATAAAATATATTTAAAAAAAAAAAAAAAGTACATTCTTCCAAACCAGCATTCATATTTAATTTCTCAATCCTTCAGAAATAAGGGCATGAGACATCCTGTCAAGATGGCAGCAGAGGTAAACATGGTACTCACATCCTGGCACAGCCACAGTAAAATTACAACCAACCTACAGAACCACCAGTATTCAGAACCACCTAAAATCTGGCTGAATAAAAGTCCTACAACTAGGAAATTAAGAAGAAGCCACACAGCCGGCACCGGTTGGCTCAGTGGTAGAGCGTCGGTCTGCGGACTGAAAGGTCCCAGGTTCGATTCCGGTCAAGGGCATGTACCTTGGTTGCGGGCACATCCCCAGTAGGGGGTGTGCAAGAGGCAGCTGGTCGATGACTCTCTCTCATCGATGTTTCTAACTCTCTATCCCTCTCTCTTCCTCTCTGTGAAAAATCAATAAAATATATTAAAAAAAAAAAAAAAAAGAAGAAGAAGCCACACAGAGACTGGTATGAGGGGAGGAGATGTGGAACTAGCTGGTCCCATTCCAATGTGTGGCGGTTAAAAATCTGGAGGGATAGTTCGGCTGCAGAGTTCTTCCTGAGGAGCAATAGATTCCAGACACAGACCAGGCCCCCAGCCCAGGGTTCCAGTGCCAGGAAGAGAGTCGCCATAGCCTCTGGCTATAAAAATCAGTAGGGATTGAGGCCTGGCTGGAGTCCCACTTAAAGGGCACACACAGAGACTTTACTCAGACTCACTGTCTGAGCTCCAGCACTGGGGCAGCAGCTTGAAAGGCACCAGGGACATACAGGGAGAAACTGAATGGTTGGCATCAGGGTGACAGCTGGGGAGGGGCAGTTTCTAGACAAAAGTCCTGGCAAAGGCCACTGTTCCTTTGATGAGCCATCCTCCCACAAAGTTGGCAGGTGGGCCTCATATCTGAGTTTCCATCAACCTCACTCACACTGTTTGCTTTACCCTGGTGACTCCCTGAGGCCCTGACCCACCCAACTTTTGAGCCCACTCAAGCTGTTTCCATTGGTTTTTACGTAAGAACAGCTATCTTGGCTCTTGCTTCAGATTTTCCTAAAACCTCTCAAAAAAAGCAGCATCTGGCCTCAGTAACCACTTAACTGCCTGCCTGATCCCCCTAATTGCTCAACTGCCTGCCTGATTGCCCCTAACCACTTGCCTGCCTGTCTGATCAACCCTAACTATTTGCCTGCCTGGCTTATTGCCCCTAACTGCCTCTGCCTTATCTCTCCCCCTCCCACCCCACAGCTTCATCTGGAAGGTTGTTTGGTTTAATTAGCATATTATGCTTTTATTATTATAGATGTGTGTATATGTGCATATATATATATATATATATATATATATATATATATATATAGTTATAGCTATATAAGACAAGACAAAGCCAGGAAGGCCATGTGCCAAATTGTTGGCAATGGTTATCTATAGGGGATTAAAATGGATAGGAGAGGGGAATTTCATTCCTTTCTTGTTTGATTCTTTAAATAGTGTAATTATGGAAAATTTTTATTTCTTTTGTATTTTTAAATATCTAATTTTTAAAAACTAAACAACTTAATATTTCTCAAATTTAAAAATTAATTTTAATTTGATTAAATTAAATCAGTAGGTCACTTATCGCCTTAAACTTGTTGGTATATGGATGCCTAACACTACAGAGGGCAACTAACCTCATGGAACTAACATATAAAGTTGGTCACTGTAGTAGTATCAAAGGAACAAGCTCAAACAGAATGGACTCATTTTAATTAATTAATTATTTATAATATGTTTTTATTGATTTGAGAGAGAGAGATAGATATAGAAACATTGGAAAGAGAAACATCGATCAGTTGTCTCCTGCATAACACCTACTGGGGATAGAGCCTGCAACCTGGGCATGTGCCCTGATTAGGCATCAAACCAGGAAACTCTTGGTTCAAGGATCAATGCTAACCACTGAGCTTACCAGCCAGGCAAAAATGGACTCATTTTAAACGGGACTCATCCATATATATGTATATGTATATGTATATATGTGTGTGTGTATATATATATATATATATATATATATATATATATATATATATATGTATATGTATATATACACACACACACACACACCCCTAAGTGACTGTCCAACCGGTAGCTAAGAAGTACACTAACCACCAGGGGGTAGACGCTCAACACAGGAGCTGCTCAGCTGCTGTGACTTGGCAGTTGCAGTTCTCAGGTGATTCACCCGGAACCAGAGAGAAGGGAGCTCTATTCCAGGGTGTGTCACCCAAGAAGCGCCTTCTCACAATCCGGGACCCCTCAGGGGATGTTGGAGTGTCGGTTACAGCCCAATCCCCACAGGCCAGGCCCAGGGACCTCACTGGTGCATGAATCCATGACCAGGCCTCTAGTTTAACCATATGCTGTTTAGGAGAAGCTACCAATAGTCCCTTAGGGCACCTGCACATCCTGTGGCTATATGTAGTGGTTTTCAAAAAGCCAATTCCTTGGAGCCATTAAGCCACTTTTACAAATTATTAAGAAATGATCAATTCCTTCTCCTTCAGTTCAACCTTCTCCACAGAAGAGACCCTGGTTCTTAATTATCCACCCAACAATACCGATTACTCACATTTGTCAGTAGCAACTTACAATGCTGCAATAAATTAACATTGCTTTTTAAAACAATTAGTTCCAGAATGTTCTTTACCTTTCCTTCAATAATCCGATAAACTAAAGAATTCATGTCTTTTGCATTGAAAGCATGTTTGAGGGTGGCCATTTCATAAGCACAGCATCCCAGAGCCCAAACATCAGACTAGAAAAGAAAAACAGTAAATGGTTATATATCAGAATGCCTCATTTACATTTTCCTCCTAAAAAAGAAATGACATTTTCCTTACACCAATTCACAGAGAATTCTTTGACATAACTATTCTGATGAGCTTTGAAATTATGAATACTGTCCTAGAGACAAGGTGAGCTGGCATACGGTCCTACCTTATAGTTGTAGGGTTTGTTTGAGAACAATTCAGGGCTCATGTAGTAGGGTGTGCCGATGAGGGTGCTAGCCATGTCACAGTGGTTCTCTAACACTCGGGCAATTCCGAGGTCACCCACTTTGATGATGTTTGTTCTCGTTAGGAAGACATTTTGAGTTTTCAGATCTCGGTGAAGGATGTGTTTTTCATGTAAATACTGAAAAGAGAAATAAAATGTCACTAAGTATAAATATACCTACCTACTTATTTTCTCCTGACTTCTTATATTAATAATTACATGAGTTAAAGCGCCATAGTTATCTACATATCAAAACACTATTGTTTTATAGTCTCTAAATAAAAAGTAAAAAAATTGTAAAAAAAAAAAAAAAAAAAAAAGTAAAAAAATTGCCCCAACCAGGTTGCTCATTTGGTTAGAACATTGTCCCTAATGCCAAGGTTACATGTTCGATCCCTGGTCAGAGTACATACAAGAATCGACCAATGAATGCATAAATAAGTGGAACAAAAAGGCAGTGTTTCTCTCTCTCTTTCTCTCTCAATTTCTTCTCTCTCTAAAATAAATCAGAAAATTAAAAAATATTATACATTAAAATAAAATAAAATGGGTGAGCTCAGCAATAGCAAATGTGCTGGCAACAATGGCAGTGGAGTGGGCAGTGCTGGGCAGAGTGGGTTGGGGCAAGTACATGATGGTGAATACACTGGTCAAGTCCAACGTGTGGAAATCCACTCCACCGGGCCTGGGCAGGGGCCCACGCCCCAGACTGTAGCTGCACTAGGAAACCCATGTTCCCACCTACAAGACCTGAACCACATCACCCACAATGTCCACTGCAAGAACTACCGTGTCTGCAGACTCAACAAAAGCCACATGCTCCTCAATGGTCCCCGGCTGAGTGAACCTGGCCCTGACCCCTGGGCCACCTCGGGGGCCTCAAAAGTTCACCGATGGGCTCAAGAGAATTTCACAGGAGTACCTAGCACAGGCAAATCCTGGGCACCTGGGGTTCCCCAAATGCTCAGCAGCCCCCACCACACACCTGTGTCGACAGCATATATTAAAGGTGGACAACTGTTTTTTAAAAAGGTAAAAACATTAAATTCCAGTACCCTGCACAATTGTTCATTAACCATTATACCATTTAGTGCTTACAAACTCCCACTGAGGAGAAAAAACAACTTTACAAGGTCAGAGGCACTTTCCTCTCAAATTCATAGAATCTTCAGCTTAATAATAATATTTTCAAATACAACAAGTTCATGTTTATTTAGAGAGTATTCTAGAATTTAAACCACAAGGTCAATTAATGCTGGGTAAGTCTGCCCATATCCAGAGTATTTCAGAAACAGTCTAGCTACTCTGAATGTGTGTATATTCAACCACAAACATGTTTTACATTTCCACTCACTTTGTCACAGGGTTAAAGCCTCAAACCCAACAGCTTAGGCATGTCCATTAGCCCAACCACCTCTCAGGATGACACAGCTGACCAGCTGGTAACGCAAGGTCATTCTTTGCTGTCAACTCAGGGTCCTTAAAATAGACTTTGGTATAAATATTAAATGAATGGAGAATTGGCTTTTCCCCCAATTAGACATGAAATCCATGTCCACTTCAAAATGGATATCACTCATTCAGAAACATTCCAATGCTACAACATGAGCAACTGGATCCACTTCACAAATGGATTTTTTAAAAAATACATTTTTTTCATGTACACATTTTGGGAAGAATCTCCCTAAAATCCACCCTGGCCCCTTTGGGGCAACCGTGAGTCTGGACAGTACCTGCAGGGCCATGGCGATCTGGACAAACCACTCCACCACCCGACTCTCAGGCAGAAGCTGCCCTTTCTGCTCCTTGAGCTTCCGGTACAGGTCACCTCCCTCGCAGAAGCCCATGACGATGTACAGCAGACCGTCCCCGCCCTCCCAGGACTCCTTGTAGGTGACGATGTTGGGATGCTTCAGCTGGGACAGGAGCTGGGCTTCTTGTTCGGCAGCTCGCCGCTCTCGGCTGGAGGCATTTCGCAGGTTCAGCTTTTTGATGACATACTACAAAGAAAACGTGTTTTTACAATGCACGAATAAACATACAGCTTTATAGGTTCAGAAGTATTTAACGCTCTCCTGAATGTCCTCAAAATTAATCTTCTAGAGCAGTGTTTCCCAAACTTTTGACATACGTGTACCCCTTCTATAATTTTCATAACGCTGAGTATCCCTCGTACTCATGAGAACATAGAATTAGGCGCAGCTAAGCACGGTGCAGTGCATACCCCCACCAAACTCCGGTGCAATGTACCACCCCTGGGGGTACGCGTTCCACACTTTGGGAAACACTGTTCTAGAACCTGTCCAATCACCTAATCGTTTTATTATTCAAAAAGCACAAAATTGAGGGGGGAAAAAAACCATGCTCTCACTAATAGTACTTTTTATAGGTCAAACTAATAGCAGGGTAGTCACCAAAAAAAATTCTTCAGACAGAATGGATCCATGGGTTGTATTAAGTTTTCAAAGGGATCCATAGCCCAATAAGGTTAAAAATCATTGACCCTCAACATACAAAATTATTCCCACTTAAAAAAAAAAATCAATATCCTCTCACACCTGATATACTACCGTCAATCAATCAAAAGACCACACAGTTATTATTCAACAAACACATATTTAATTGTGCTTTGTAAAATGTAATCTGCCCAAATGTGAGGGGCTATCCTCAACTCAAAAAAAAAAAACAATGACTCCTTCGCTCACACACACACCTTTGCCTACTGAATAACTGTCTTATGCCTGAGCTTTTGTTCCAGGCATAGTAACCAGCACCTGAGCCAAGAAAGAGTAGGTGAGAGAGCCTTCTTATACTTAGGTGGGCATCTGTAAGCTTGCTTGGGGCAGCCCCATGGTGCACCTCCTTTCAGTTTCAAACTTGTCCCAGCCTGTACAATATATTTATTCTATGGTCAACTTGTTTATAAACCACATTCAAGAACTGGCTCCTTACCCTGAAGCTGAGATAAAGTGCTTTAAGGAAAGGAGTAACACTACACCTGAGTTTTAGAGCAACCGCTAAGATTGCAATGAAAGGGATGGATTGGAGAAGGGCAAGTCGTGTGGCAGAGGACGGACCAGTGGGAGGCCTGGACAATAGTTTCCCTGGAGATAAAGATGTCCTGGCTTGGGGTGGTCCCAGTGGAGATGGAGAAGAGCTTGCCAAATGAATGGGGGTGAGGGGAAGAGGAGAATCAATGATGAGGGGAAGAGGGGGAACCAATGACTCCCAGGTGCCCAGCATGGCAACTGGCTGGCTGGTGGTGCTACTCACTGCAATAGGGACCATGGGAGAAGTTTGGCAGGAAGGTGATGAGATGCGGTCATATGCATGGGGCCCGTCTTCAAGGAGAAATATTTGCCAGGCGCTGTGTTAGGTCCTGAGAACGTTTGCTCCGGGAAAGTGTACCTCAAGCACACCAATGAATTCACAAGAGAAGTACGGGGTGTTCGGGGTGCATAGTACAGGAAGGTATGGCCTAGTCTCAGTGGACTGGGACACTGGCCCTGAGGGCGTCCCCTGCAGACCACCCCGGGATCTAACGTTTGGACAGAGCAGGCGAACCCCTGCGTGTTCCCCGCCCCCTGCTGGGCCCCAGCTCTGCCGACCTGCCTGCCGTCCCGCCGGTGCCTCACGAGCGTCACCTCCCCGTAGCTGCCCCTACCAACGACCCGCAGGTAGCAGTAGGCGGCCAGGGGCATGTTCCCGGGTGCGGCGCGGCAGCGGGCCACAGCGAAGGGCCCAGCTCATGCCCGAGAAGCTGCCGGGCCGGAGGCTGCCGAGAGGGCCCGGCTGGGCCGCGAGCGCGAAGGCCAGGCCCACGGAGACGCCGCTGCCATAGCGATCCCCGCCGGCGCCGCTCTGCGCATGCTCCGGCGGCCCGCGGGGCTCCGCCGAGCTTCCGCCGCCCCCGGAGGACCCGCCATAGAGCCGAGGCGCCGGGCGGCCAGAGCGTCTCCGCCGGGCCGGCGCTCGCTCTCCGCTCCACCGCCCAGAACTCTCGGGTTGCCGGCCAAAATGCAGTCATGGGAGCTGCCCGCTTGTGGAGCATTTGTTCTAAGTGCCTGGCGAATATTGATCATTCATTTTAGGAGTATTTATTGCCCACCTACCAAATTCCCTCCTGGAGCTCCCATTCTAATGGGAGTAGGTGACAGACTGTACTCTTGTCACTTTCCCCCTCCATCCCCCTTCAGCAGTCCATCTTATCTTTTAATCATTGCCATGTAAATTGGATATATCAATACGCTTAACTCCTAAACATTTTAGCTGTATTGAGAAGTGCAAAGAAATCCAGTAGGATCCCAGCCAGCCCCCTGCAATAAGTGACCTGACCAAACTCTGGCTTGGCTTCCAACAGCTTTAGGCAGTAGCCCTGGGAGGACCCACCCTGGCCCGTATTAAGGTCTGCCTATGAAAACTCAAAGCTACCGAAAAAATGTATTGATTGTTCCAGGCAACACCTCCCCTCCTAGAGCATTTTACTAAACAAACAAACAAACAAACAAATAAATAAATAAATATTTTTAAAAAGCTTGCAATTGTTAAATCTTCCTGTGTCCCTTTGAGGAGATAGCTATGTTAATAATTTACAGCCCACGAGTGTCTTTCTCAAGGACCTGAATTCATCTCTTTGAAATAAAAGATTTCTTCTGTCTATCAATTTTTGTCCAGTTGAAGCAATAACGCCCCTGTTGGAAATACAATAAAAGGCTAATATGCTAAGTGTGTAGTCATCCAGTCAGCCGTTCAACCAATCAAAGTGTAATATGCTAATGATATGCTAAGGCCACTCAACTGTTTACTATGAGATGCACTGACCAGCAGGGAACATATGTTTTGACCGGTAGGTTAGCTTGCTGCTGGAGTTCAGTGAATGGAGATGGAGTGAGATGGGCCAGACATGTCCTGGAGCCCTCCTGCAGTCCCTTCCTGGCTGGCCAACCTCCTAAATCCCTCCCCGGCCAGATTGTGCACTGGTGGGCTTCACACTCACCCACCTGCTTTTCTCTCCCTCCCCTTCGCTCCGGTCCCTTCCTGCTCAGCTCTGTTTCCCAGGCACCTCCTCCAGGAGCCTTCTTCTCAGCCCTGTGGGAATGAGCTCCACCCCTTCGAGATTTTTATTGCTCTTTCATTCTTACATGCTCCTCTTTAGCTTCTGACCACTGGGCTTTGGCTCACTGGGCTTCCTTTGACTTGCATCAGCTCCTTTTCCCAAGCATCAGCTCACAGAACACAGCAAAGCACTCATGTTTCATCACTGTGGTGCACTAGTGCTTGGCACTGTGCCCAACCTACCACAGGGTGATCCATACTATGTAGGAAAACTTCAAGGGTACATTTTAATGTTGATTCAGCTCATCTTTTACAGAGGCCAGAAAACAGGCCAAAAGGTCTTTATGGCCTGGGGACAATAACCCTTTCCCAGAAGCTGCTTTGTGAGACAAAGTCCAGGACAAGCAAATAGAGATCAAAGAGGTCCCTGGGTCCCCTCACCATATCGGGGTCACAGCAACCAGTTCATTTCACCCAGGGCCCTGGAGTGGGTTCACCCAGGGCCATGACTGTCCAGTGTGCTGTGGTTTGTAGGAGACAGCGAGGGTTTGGGCCTAAAAATTAAGAAATTGCAGGTAAAAGAAGGGTCTTTGACTCAGCTTCTCCCTCCTTCCTAATAACGCAGAGGGCCTTTCTGCCTTTACATGATAAGCTTGGGCTTTGGAGACTAAAAGATCTTGGATACCTGTCCCTTGCTGACTCCTTGCATCAGAGCTCAGTGCTGAGCCCCAATGCAACACGGGAGTCCCTCACAGGCTCAGAGGTGCACCAGGAGGCTAAATCAGACAATAAAGGGATCAGAGCAATGCATGACACACAGCCAGCCCTCCGTTATGAAGAGGGGCATTCATTGTCGTCTCCTTCCCTGGTGAGAGAATGCTGGGCTACTTCTGTTCTTTCCAACTCTGGGCGAGAGAGAGATGAGGCAACTGTCCTGAAGGAGGGGTCACCCATTACCCATCCCTAAGACTGCCTAGGCCGCCTCTGGGAGAACTGCTAGGGTAAACTCCTGACCAGACTCAGAGCGTGCCTCCACAGAGAACTGCCATGAGAAACGGGCACGGGCAGGCCCTTCGCAAGCCACGGGCCTCCCTGGCCAAAGCGGGACTTGCTGACAAGTTTGCTGATACTTAGAGAATTTTGAAAGGACACTTAACAAAGTTTAGAAATCCACTTTTAGCTGTGGCTTCATGACACATGTCATCGTGTCACCAGTGCTGCCCTGTCCCAGACCCAGAGTTAGACAAGCAGCCGGGGTCTCCCCAGCTCACCTTGTGTGAGTGCAGTTCTGTACAGAGGGGTAAGCTCTGAGTCTGGCCAGTTTACTCAGTTTAGGAAACCGCCCCCCTCCCAGGAGAAACCTTTCACTGTCAGTTTTTTACTCCCCCCTGCTCCCTAATTGTAATATTTGTCTTCATCCTGTCTAATGTTTAATCCATGTTTATCTAGCACTTTATTGACCGATGCTCTGAGTGAAGCGACAAGGCAGCGGGAGCCCTGAGACCAGGGTTGGCGCCATGGGGCTGCGGGTGCTGCTGTGTGTGTCCCTGATGGCCCTCCTCACCCTGCAGGCCCTGCCCGCTCAGGCTTCACCCCAAAGGCCCAAAAGCAGCGAGGTATGTGGGTAAACCCTCGGGTCAGAAACAGGCAGCTGGGTCTGAAGGGAGCCTGGGAGGGACACACAGGGACTGGGGCTTCCCCTACCCACAGTAACCACCTCTGACTGGAGCATGAGGCCAAGGAGCAGAGCATGCAAGCTGCACACCTTAAAGAAGCCTGAGCAGTCACACTCACACTGACCCCGGTTTGTTTTACAGAAGCGACAGGCTGTGGACACAGTGAGTGAGTCTCCGCAAAGGAGTCTGTGGTGGGGCCACTATGACAGCCGCGATTTCCCCGTCCCCAGGGGGGTGTCCCTCTGTTAGTGCTCTGGGTCGAGGGACTCTTGTCTCCTGGAAATGGGGGCTCCCCACCCCACCTCATCCCCAGGTGCTGGGTCTGAGGCAGAGAGAACGGATGAGTCTCCCTGGGAGGTCTGGTTTGTGCTGCAGTCACCTTGTGTCCATCAGGCACCTTGTGTGCTGACCCCAACACAACACAAGGTCTCTCACTGGCCCAGAGGCCCCCATCCCAGGCCACCGTGCCCTCACGTCTCACTTTAGAGTGTCGACGGCGTGATCATCCAGAGTTTGAAAGTCAACTGCAAAGTCACCTCTCGCTTCGCCCACACTGTCATCACCAGCCAAATGGTCAACAGCGCCGACCAGCCGAAGGAGGTGGCCTTCGACGTGGAGATCCCCAAGACGGCCTTCATCAGTGACTTTGCCATGTGCGTGCCCTGCCTGACTCCCCCACCCAGAACTGTCCCCTCACTGGGCTCAGCCCAGGACCATGGCCCAACGTGGCCAGACAGTGCCCCATCTCCTCCTCTCTTAAAGGGCCGCAGGCCAGTCCCAGCTGGGAGGGGAGAACAGTCCTGCAGGAGGTCTGTTTTGGGCTCCCAGGGAGGACAGCACACTGGGGTCTTTGACCATGTTTCCAGCTCTAGGGCCCGAAGAGCAAAAGCTACTCTCTGGGCTCTGGCTGTGGCTGCCCACCGCACTGCCAAGGGGCCTGCGAGCAGAGGGAGGCCAGCAGGAGAAGCACCCCCACCCCCCCAGGAGTGCTCACCTGCACAGGGCTTTCTGGGGTCTGGGCTGAAAGTACCTCCAATATGGGTGGTCAGGGAAGGGCCCCTCCCCTGAGGGCTTCCTCCTCCCTGCAGCACAGCGAGTGGGAAAGCATTCATCGGGGACATTAAGGAAAAAGCGATCGCGTGGAAGCAGTACCGGAAAGCGGCCGTCTCAGGGGAGAATGCCGGTCTCGTCAGGTGAGTTCCGAGCCCTGCTGCCAGGGTGTTTGAGGCAGCCTTTCCCTCGGGATAGACCTGGGGGCTCCAGGCTGGTGGAGGTAAGCACCCTGCCCACAGGCAAATGCCAGCGCAGGTGCCCTGGGCAAGGCTGGTGCTGACTTGCCCATCCCCTAGACCAGCCTGCAGGAGAAGGGGGCCCTGACCTTGGGCCCTGACTGTGACCAGCCAGCTAAGACAAGGGGGAGGGCCAAGGATACCCGGAGCAGCACTAGGATAAGCGAACTTGATTCGGAGGCCCGTGTTTTAGGTGGCAAGAACCACATGTCACTTAACTTACCATCTGCCTGTGTTGCTGCCTCTGGCGGCACGAACAGGGCCTCGGGAAGAACGATGGAGCAGTTCACCATCCACCTCACCATCGGTCCCCGCAGCAAGGCCATGTTCCAGCTGACCTACGAGGATGTGCTGAAGCGAAAGCTCATGCAGTACGACATTGACATCAAAGTTAAGCCCAAGCAGCTGGTGCATCATTTCGAGGTAGATTGCAGGTGACCGCAGGCTCAGGGGGACGGTCTCAGGAGCAGGGCTCCTGCCTCTCCCTCACTGTGGCTCTAAGCGTTGGCCTGGCACTCCTCATGTGCCATCCCACACCTGAGCACACAAGGGAGGGGACTAACGCCTCAGGGTGGGCTCTGATGGGCAGGAACCTTTCAACCTCCTCTCTGAGCCTCAGCTTTCTCATCTATTAAATGGGGATTCCTGTCTGTCCCAGGACTTCCACAAGGATTACAGGAGATAATAAATGTCCAGGTAGTTTGTAAACAGAAAGTCCCGGGAAGCATGAGGACTGTGGTTGTCTCTGGCAACTCCATGTGGCCGAGTTGAGGGGTGCAGGCAAGCATACCTTCATTTGGCCAATATTTTTGGAGTGCCTACCAGGCCCTTTGCTGGGGGCCAGGTGGGCACTGCACACAGTAGGTGGCCAGGGCACATGCTGGCTCTTGGCTGAGACTGGATGATGGCCCAAATGGGAGCCTTGGTTCAGGAATTGCTTCAATGATGCAGATCGACGTGGACATCTTTGAGCCCCAGGGGATCCGCAAGCTGGATGTCCAGACCTCCTTCCTCCCCAAGGATCTGGCAACTCAGCTCATCAAGAAGTCCTTCTCAGGCAAAGAGGTATCTGGCATGGCTTTGGGGCTGGGGGATAGCGTTGGTGGCCCTCTGGGAATTCTCCTTCTGGAGGGTCCAAGCTTGTCCTGGGAAGCTTGTCAGGCTTCCACTGGGATGAGAGAGGCAGGTGTTTTCCGGCTGGTATCCCAGGGGAATTAGCACTCCTGGCTCTCAGAGCCACTTAGCAAAAGCCTGCGTGCTGAGGCTGGGGAAGGCATCCACAGTGGCTGTAGGTCTGGGGTGAGTAGCTGGCTTTTTGGAGCCTCAGTCTCCTCTTTGCTTGTCTCATGCCCTAGGAAAGCATTCAGGGCACATGAGCAAACGTCAGATACTGTTGAGGTTAGGATTCCAAGCTCTAGTGTTCTTGGAAACATAACCAAGTTCAGACAGGCCTTTGGCCTACCCAGCCACTTGCCACTCACCACCCACTTGCAGGAATCCCAGAGCCCCCTGCCGGTGCCTCCCCAGTCCTGGAGGAATATGGCATATGGCGGGTGCTACCTCGCTAGTGCCCTCAACTGGAGCCAGGAGCAAACCCTTCAGTTATTATGTAGCGTTAGTAACGACTCAGACATCATTTAAAATAAATAATTTTTACAGCTTTTTGTTTGTTTGTTTTTGTTTTGGGTTGGGGAGTCCTTTTAAACAAAATGTGATACCCTTGAGTGTTAGCAAACATGCCTATTTTTAGCAGGGGACCAAAGGGAGGGGTCTTTGTCTTCCTAACAATTCTTGCCAAGTTTTTTTTTTTTTTTTAATGAGCATATCTTATTTTTATAACAAATTAAAAAAAATAAAGAAGTCTTAAAGAAAATGTGGAGAGTACAGAAATATAGAAAAGAAATGGGTACAAACCATCCCCCATTTCCCTGAGCACCAAGACCAAGCCAGTCCAGATCGAAGCTCCCACCTGGGCCCTTCCTTCCAGCTTCTACTCCCTGCTTCCAGGAGCTTCTGTTTCCCAGCATGGGGCTGTAGCCCGGCTTTTCTACTCCATAGATTGAATTGACTGATGTTCTCCTGCTCCCATACTGCTGTCATTCTGCTTTTATTTGTACCCTAAGTGGTGATGCTTATTAAAGAACATACCAAAGGTTTAGAAGAAGCATCTAAGCAAAGGAACAGGCTTTCTTTCCTACTACCTACAGCGGCTGGGTGAGGGCCACACCTGACTCATTTCTATGCCCCCAACACACCCACACACTTGATATTGTTGTCTTTGCAAACATCCTATTTGCAACTGCACACGCCGGTAATGCCTGGCGCCCTTGCTGGTTCCAGGGTCATGTGCTTTTCCGCCCCACCGTGAGCCAGCAGCAGTCCTGCCCCACGTGCTCCTCCACCTTGCTGAATGGGGAATTCAAGGTGACCTACGATGTCCATCGAGACCAGATCTGCGACCTCCTGGTGAGCCCGAAGCTTCTGGCCCACGACTCAGAAGGTGGGCGTAGGTGCTTGTGCAGAGGCCTCACTCATTCCTTTGTGTTTCAGGTCGCCAATAACTACTTTGCCCACTTCTTTGCCCCCCAAAACTTGACGAGCCTGAACAAGAACCTGGTTTTTGTGATTGACATCAGCAACTCCATGGAAGGCCAGAAAGTGAGGCAGGTAAATGGTGCCTTTACATCTCACCCAACGGGAGCGTTCTCAGCCCTATCCCCACACCACACTCGTTCTGCTGCCGGAGTCTGGGTTTGGGATTTCTGCTCCTGCTCAGAGGCAGGGTGACTGGAAGGGAAATGCCAGTGGTTAGGGGTTCTGGAATCACCTGCTCCCTCCCAGTGCAACTGTGGGCAAGTGCATTCACTTCTCAGTGGCAAAATGGCAATGATAATTGTGCCCACAGGGCCATGGGTTATTGATGAGGGAATGCTTGGAAGATGAAACCTGGGGATAAATATGGGGGCTCAAGGGGAGGCATCTTGCAGCAGGTGGCTCACAGTACTCTTAAGTGTCTTGTCCATGGTTCAGTGGAACCACAGCTGGACAAGCAGAGTTGTTTTGTGAGTGGTTGTTTTTTTTTTTTGTGTGTGTGTGTGTGTGTGTGTGTGTCTTTTTTTTTTTTTAATTGATTTTTAGAGAGGGAGAGAGAAAGGTGAGAGAAAGAGAGAGGCAGACAGACAGAGACAGAGACAGACAGAGAGAAACATGGATTTATGTATTCATTGGTTGCTTCTTCTGCGTGCTCTGACCAGAGATCAAACCCACAACCTTGGCCTATTGAGACAATACTCTAACCAGGGCAGGACAAGCAGTTTTAGCAACTCGGCCTCCTGGGGTCCTCTTTCTGAATCCCACGCACCTCGAACTCCAATTATTTCTTCTCCTCACACGGGGTACCTTTGACTTCTCCCTTCCCGTCACCAGCCCCAGGGCCCTGCAGGATGCTCTTCTCCTCGAGCCACCTGGCCATCCCCTCCTACTGGCCCACCATATACCTCTGCCCTGGGGGAACTCTGAAATGCATGTCCGGAGCCAACAGAAGCCACTCTCCTGGGGCTCTGTCCCTCCTCTGACTGTCCTGTACTTGCAGACGAAGGAAGCACTCTTTAAGATCCTGGAGGACATACGGCCTGGGGACTACTTCGACCTGGTCCTCTTTGGGTCTCAAGTGCAGTCGTGGAGGGGCTTCCTGGTGCCAGCATCCACTGCCAACCTGCAAGCAGCTCAGGACTTCGTGCGGCGCTTCTCCCTGGCCGGCTGTAAGGCAGGCGTCTCGGGCCACCGTGGTGCTGTGTCTGTGCCCTAAGAGTGAGAGCACAGGCTGGTCTCTCTCTCTCCTTTGCAGCCACAAACCTGAATGGAGGTTTGCTCCGGGGAATTGAGATCTTGAACAAAGGTCAGAGAGGCATCTCAGAATTCAGCAACCATGCCCCGATTCTTATCATGTTGACAGATGGCGAGCCCACAGAGGGTAAGCGCCTGGAGGGCGGCCTTGGGAGGTATGACCTCTTCATTCCTGAAGGCATTCGAGCTTCACTTGGAAGCCAAGCACTGGGGACACTGTTGGGGGTCAGAAAGGTTCAGGGCAAAGGCAAATACTGATCTAAAGTCTGCGGGAGCTCCAAGGCACACTCTGTCCTCAGCTGGGAGACTGGGGATGTTCCTGCAGACACAGCATTGCACAGGGCCGAGGAGGCGGGGCAGGATGCCGAGGGTGAATTTAATGAGCTGCATATTCAGCACCAACTGGGACCAAGCACAGGACAAGGGACCAAGGCGACATGCCAAGGGAACAGACATGTCTGTCCTTGAGGATCCCAGGGTGCTTGGGGGAGGCAGACCCAGGAACAGAAGCTCTGTCGAGGGTCCTGAAAGAACATGGTACCAGAGGCTGTGGGACCACAGACAAGGGGTACTTGGCCCAGAAAAGGTCCCAGAAGGACTTGTGGAGGAGGTGACCTCTGAGGTCAGACTGCTGGGAGTTAAGGAGAAGCAGGAAGGGATCCCTGGCCGAGGGGGCAGCTTAAGGAAAAAAAAAAAAAAAAAAAAAAAAAAAAGGGAAAAAAGGTGTGTGCACTGCCAGGGCCTGCCCAGGAACTGCAGGAAAATGCAAAATAGGTGAAACAAGGGTGGAAAGGTCAGCCGAGCTTCACAGGCCACAGAAGGAGCATGGGAAAGTTTGGAGTAGAATCTGATCTGCTGTGATAAACGCGTGCAGATGGGCAGGAGCTCTTAGCAGCTGTTGCAGTTACACAGTTAGCCAGCAGAGGCGATGCTTGTGGGAAGTGGAGAAGCCTAAGATGGGGAGGCTTGGGCCCCAGGGAGTTTCCCTCCAAGCGCCCCTGTGCTCCACGTGCCTATGAGTGGACCCAGTCATGCCTGGGTATGTGGCTGCAGGAGTGACCGACCGTACCCAAATCCTCAAGAATATCCGCAGCGCCATTGGGGGCAAGTTCCCGCTCTACAACTTGGGCTTCGGCCAGGATGTGGACTTCAGCTTCCTGGAGGTCATGTCCATGGAGAACAATGGACGGGCCCAGAGGATCTATGAGGACCACGACGCCTCCCAGCAGCTTCAGGTCTCCTCCTTCCCCCACCCGGCCCCGGCCCCCAGTGCACCACCAATGGCAGCCCATGGGGAGCCCCGCCTCGGCAGTCACTTACCTATCAGCTTAGAGGGGCAGATAAAGCTTTGGCATGGATCCAAATGAGCTGTGCGCCTCAAGCCAGTTACATAACCCTTCTGAGCCTATGCTTCCTTCTATGAAATGTGGGTCCCAACACCCCACTTTGTGAGTGGGTTTCCCATTGGGTGCCCAGGGGAATCCATCAGTTCTGAAGCTGCCTTTCCCATCCCTGCAGGGCTTCTACAACCAGGTAGCCACCCCCTTGCTGGTGGATGTGGAATTGCAATACCCCAAGGACGCTGTATCGGAGCTGACCCAGCACAGCCACAAGCAGTACTACGAGGGTTCGGAGATCGTGGTGGCTGGGCGCATCGCTGACCAGAAGCTGAGCAGCTTCAAGGCGGATGTGCGGGCCCTTGCGGTAAATAGCGGGCCACGGAGGGTGGAGAAGCCCGGCAGTGCCCAGGGGCTGCAAACCTACACTGTTCCCCACTCCTACATCATGCAACACCTCTCCCCTCCGCCCCCCGAGGCCTGAACATTCCTCCATGAAGGTGTCTTGGGGACAGGATGGTATGAGGCCAATACGGCCTTGATTAGTTGAAGTCCCTTGACCCGAAATGGACCACCTGTAACTCCTCACACCATTCCCCGCAAGGCACGAGAGAGCAAGAGGCCAGCCTCTTCCTTCCCACTTGAACAGCATTTCCTGAATACCTACTGTGTACCCGGCTTTATGCCAAGTTGCAGAGCGTGTCTCCTTGTGCACGTTGAGGGTCAGGATGTGTGAGACCTAGACCCTGCCCTTCGTGCGGTTGAGGGTGCAGGACCCAGGCTTTGAGTGAGGAGAGCTGACCTGGTCCCTAATTCCACCCCGAGCAGCTTGGTGACCTTGAGCCAACGAACCCAGCTCTCTAGGTCTCTGTTTCCTTTCTGTACCACGTGGGGGAAACACTACCCGGAGAGCTGTGGGGAGTAAGTGGAATAATCCACACACTGTGCCTGCCCCATTGTGGTAGCGGGGAGAGAAGGGACATCTATGTGCTGTGGCAGCTCGAACGGTGCCGCCCACCAGCAGCCGGGCAGGTGTTCGGAGTAGCAGGGCATGGTGGAGACAGCCACATGGTGGGAGTAGCCTGGAAAGACAGTCATTCCATGGGGTCAGGGCCTGGTTCTCCTAGCCCTGCGATGCCCAGACCTAGGTTCATAGAGAATGCTCAGTAAGCTTTTGTGGGAAGAATGAGTGGATGGGGATGAGGAGAACAGGCTTACGAAAGGGGGCTGCTGAGAAGGAAGCCACTGAGATCAGGCTAGAGTGGGGCCCCTCAGAGCTCACAGCCTGTCTCCCCATCACAACCCTCAGGATGGCCGAGAATTCAAGACAACCTGCCTGGTGGACGAGGAAGAGATGAAGAGACTCCTCCAACAGCGGGGCCACATCCTGGAGAACCACATCGAACGCCTCTGGGCCTACCTCACCATCCAGGAGCTGCTGGCCAAGCGGTATGACCCTGCGGCTGCCGGGCAGGCACTGTCCACCCCAGAGTACCCCTCACCCTCGGATGTACCGTTCTGCTATGCTCACTAAGTTAATATCAACCAGTCAGTCAACAGTGTGGGCAGAGCCCACTGGGGTCACAAGACAGCCTGTTCTTAGCCCCAACCGAGCTACTGCGGGGGAGGCTACCCTTCACCCTGTCCAGGCTCACTCACTCCTCACAAAGCATAGGAGAATGTCGTTATCATCCCCATTTCACAGATAAGCAAACTGAGGCTCAAGGAGGTGAACCCACTTGCCCAGAATCTCACAGCTATTCAATTCTCAGAGTATTTCTGAGGCACATCCCCGAACCCTGCCAAATCTCCACGCTTTCTGTGTGGGAGGTCTAGAAGTCATGAGGTCCATGATGATAGCCACTGACCAAGAACACCGTAGGTGCTCAGCTCATGTTTGGTGAATGAGGGGGCAAGCACATGAGTGAAAGGACCAGGGAGAGCAAGTCCATTGCCATCCAAGCTGCGGGGGGCCTGGAGCAGGTGTCTGATCCGCAGGATGAAGTTGGAGGGGGAGGAGAAGACCAAGCTGGCGGCCAAGGCCCTGCAGATGTCGCTAGCCTATCAGTTTGTGACTCCGCTGACCTCCATGACCATGAGGGGGTTGGCTGATGAGGATGGCCTGGAGCCCATCATCGACAAGCCAACAGAGGGTATGATCTCTGCAGTAGGGGAGGCTGTGGGCCTCGGGGAGGCTTCTGGGGGCTTTAATTCTCCTCCCTTTCTCTCCCTTCCAGGTTCTCCCTTGGGTGAGTTCTTAAATCACGTTGGTTTTATCAAGGGGTTTCCAGTGGCTGGGCAAGTGGCACGTGCCCCCGGGCTCAGGCAGGCAGCTCCCACCCCATCTCCCTGCCTCCAGCCCTTCGTAGTCTCTTCTTCCCCATGTCGCCACACACTAGTTGCTGCCTCCTGGCACAGCCTGAACCCCCGCTGGCCTCCTGTGGGGCCTCGTGTGAGTGCCTGCTGTGGAGGGCTGGGACCCCAGGAGGAGGGTGGGCCCGGGCCTGAGTGGCCTCTGGGCTCAGGGTGCTCTTGGACAATAAGGTGCACATGCCTTCTGTGGGGGGCGGCAAGGCTGACACTGTCGTTGTCCTCCACAGAGATGCTGGGACCCAAAAGGAGTAAGTGGCAGCCTTCTTGATGACACACAACTCTACCTCTCTCCCTGTTACTGTCCCTCAGCTGTGCCTTCGGTCCCGAGCAAAGCCTAGGTGTTTCCTGGTGAGGACACCCAGCCCAGGCTTCCTTCCTCTGCTCCAGCTCTCCTCCTGCCTCTCCCTGCGAGTCCTCAGACAATACCCTGAGGAGGACCTGGCCTCCCCGCCCTTTTGCCACCAGCCCCGCCAGGTCCCCAAGGCAGGAGACAGAACAGGTGGGCCCACTGCCCTGGGCCAAATTTCTCTTCCTGCCTCCAGAGAGGCTCTGGGTCCCCTCCTGCTCCGGGGCCCTCAGGGGCGGGAGGGGCCTCGGAAAAGGAGCCAGCAGCTCCAGGGGAGCCCCGCGGCCTTCCTTCTAAATGCCGTACACTCTTGCCGGTCAGCGTTCGTGCTGCCGGCCTGGCAGGAGCCTTCTCAGACTCAACCCAGCATCCCGAAGAAGCCAATCACAACTGGTGAGTCCTTGGGAGAGCCCAGGGGACACCCTGCCTGATTGAACCCTGGCCCCGCCGGCACCATCTGTCCGCTGCCCAACCTAATGGACTCCATGCTGTTCCCAGTGGACACTGACCCCCACTTCACCATCCACGTGCCCCAGAAAGAGGACGCACTGTGCTTCAACATCAACGAAGAGCCTGGTGTGGTCCTGAATCTGGTGCAGGACCCCAACACAGGTACGGTGACATCACACCCTCTGCCAAGCAGGGCAGGGCCTGTGCTCCTCTGCCCTTGACATTCAGCCACAGACAGGACAACGGCTGGGGCCTCTGCTTCTTCCAGCCTGTGCATCTGTCTGTCACTTGGCCTCAAGTTGCCTTTTTCTCACCCCATCCACCTTCTCGCTTCACGTGTGGGTGACCCGTGAGGGTGCTCAGGACCCCACATTTAGAAGGGCCCCGGGCTCAGTTTCATAGTTCCCGGTTGCTATCTTAAAATTCTTAAACAATTTTTAAACAAGGAGACCCTCATTTTCATTTTGTACTGAGACCTGCAGATTATGTGGCTACCCTGCCCTGCCTTTCTCCCCGGCCTGACTCCTCAGCATCCGTCTCCCCAGCAGCGCTCAGGGGGTGGGGATGACTTCCTCTCCACCTCTCAGTCACGTCTGTCCTCCCGGTCCAGTCAGTCCATCTGCACACGTTTGTTGAGCAGGTGCTCGGGGCCACAGATGCAGCGGGGACCGAGACTAAGTCCCTGCTCTCATGGAGTTTCGAGGAGACAGGTGAACACATTCGTAGATGGCAATTTAGGAACATGAGACCTGCCGTGTTAGGACAGAGATGGCAGGAAGGGCCTTTTGGCTGCTCAGGTCAGGGGAGGCCTCTGGGAAGAGGCCCCACAAATGTGTCTACAGAACCTACTGCAACCTGCCCCTGTGTCAGGGACTGGGGTCAGAGGGAAGGAGCAGGCCAGGCTCTGCAGGACCTCTTCCAGGGCCCAGCCCCGAGGGCTCCATGCTGGAGAGGCAGTGCGGTGGCCGGGACGAGGAGGGAGGCAGTGCCGTGTGTAGCCTGGACCAGTCCCGAAGCCTCCCCTCGGGAGATGAGGCCCTTAAAGATGGCATGGCGTGGGTGGAGTGGTGATCTCCCCGACAGGAGGCAGGAGCAAAGGCAGGCCAGTGCGTGCCTAGTGAGAGCTGGCCCGCCCCCCAACCTGGATGGGCCCTTACCCCACTGCAGGCTTCTCAGTGAATGGGCAGCTCATTGGCGATAAGGCCAGGAGCCCTGGGCAGCATGAGCCCACATACTTCGGACGGCTGGGCATCACAAACCCGGCCACGGACTTTCAACTGGAAGTGACTCCTCAGAACATCACCCTGAACCCTCGCTCCCATGGGCCCGTGTTTTCCTGGAGGGACCAGGCTTCGCTGCGGCAGGATGGGTAACTGGGCTGGGACTGAGCCTGGGCAGGGAGGCAGGGGCAAGGTCGGGGAGCAGGAAAGGTGGGAGATGGGGGTTTGGGGTGGGGGGAGGCAGAAGCCCCAGAGCCAGCTCTGCTGTGAGAGCCTGCTGGGCCCTGGAATGACCTTCATGTGGCCTCCGTGTGGGCTGTGCAGACATGTAGGGCTCTGTGAACCACTCCATTTCCCTCGATCTCTGGACATGTGTTCTGGACCAGCTGCCTGGATGCCTGTGTTCCCTGACCCCCAGTCCCCCATCTCCACCAAACAAAGCTGACCACCTCTTCCCAGGAGCCCTCTGAGTCTCTTCCTCTATTGAACTTTAGAGTTCTCTTTCAGCACCTGCTTAGTATGCCTTATCTCGAGTTTTTCCTTCACTCACATCTTCATTCAACAAACTCCTTTGAGAATACTAACGCTGGGCAGCAGAGCTATAGGAAGAGGTGATATGTCAGAGTCAAAGAATGCAGACTCTGACATTTGATAGGCTGGAGTCCAAGTCCTGGCTCTGCTGCTTATAGCTGTGTGACCTTGGGCAAGTTACTTAACCTCTCTGAGCCTCCGTCCTCACAGGATCAGAGTGAGAACTGAATGGTGCAGTTTGCTTTGGAAGGCTAGGCCCAGGTCCTAGCACATTGCAAGGGCCCTATATTTAATAGCAGCATGTGGGAAGAAGCATAGAGCAGACAACACCCAACCATTTGGGAGTGAGAGTATGGGGGGGAGGGGGTCATAAGAGCTGGACCCCAGAGGACAAGGCAGCTAAATGGGGAGGGATGCAGTACAGTCACCTATGTCCCCATGGCCACCTGCCCCTGCAGGGTGGTGGTGACCATCAACAGGAAGAGGAACCTGGTGGTGTCTGTGGAGGACGGAGGCACCTTTGAGGTTGTCCTGCACCGGGTGTGGAAGGGAAGTGCCATCCGCCAGGACTTCCTGGGCTTCTACGTGCTAGACAGTCACCGGATGTCGGCGCGGACACACGGGCTGCTGGGTACGGCTCACCAGGCGGGCAGAGCTGTGGGGGTGGGGCGTTGAAGCCAGTGGACCGGTCAGCTGTGCAGTTGGGCATCTGGTCAGGGTCATCTCCAACATGACTTCCAAGGCTTAAAGACCCAAAGAGGGCTTGTCCTGGTGAGGGTCTTGACCCTCAAAAAGGCTGTGATGAAACAAACGCACAGTGAGACCAAAGTGTGAGCAGGCGGGGGAGCAAATGGAGAGAGCAGGCAGGAAGGTCCAGTGGGCCCGGAGGCCCTGGTGGGATGGCCCTCAGCCACAGTGCTTCTCCTGTGGCTTCCTGCAGAAAGAGTTCTCTGGGGGCCCCCACCCACCAAACCCCTCTCCCAGCCAGATTCCTTGGAATTGGCCTAAAAAGACAGGAAGTGTCACCAGCTGACAATACAGCTGCTTCTCTAGAGCAGGTGAACTAAATGAGCGGCTTTGATGCCAAAATTTATGAGAAACAGTCAAGCTTTTGGGGGGGAAAAAAAATCCAAGCAACTCTTAAACCTCCGGTGAGCACCTCCTAAGTGCAAAGCATGAACAAAGCTCTCCGCCGGTGACAGCTGCCTCCAATGTGCCTTTCCAGGACAATTCTTTCACCCCTTTGATTACGAAGTGTCCGACCTGCACCCAGGCTCCGACCCCGCAAAGACAGACGCCACGATGGTGGTGAAGAACCAGCGGCTTACCGTTACCAGGTGGGTGGGCTGCTCTGCCCTTGACGTTACCCATCATTGGTCCAAGCCTTCCTCCTGGTGTCAGGTGGGTGGGCGGGCTTCCTAGGAGGTGAAGCCCTGCTGGGTCCTAAAGGTGACCCCACTGACTTGTCTCTCCCCAGGGGCTCGCAGAAAGACTACAGCAAGGACCCCCGGCATGGGGTGGAGGTGACCTGCTGGTTCGTCCACAACAATGGGGCCGGACTGATCGATGGTGTTCACACTGACTACATCGTCTCCGATATCTTCTGAGCCCCTTAGCCAGCACGCCTGCCCTGCCTTGGAGGAGGATGGCATCCTGACCTGTTGTCCAGGCCACACCTCTCTGTTCAAGGGGGTCCCCTGTGTCAAAGCATCCATGACCTCCATTAAAGATAGACTGCCTCTTCCAGGCTGCCTGCTCTTTGGAAGGGACGGTGGAAGGGAGGCAATTCAAGATGCTGCCCCTCAGAAGGGCTCGGGGGTCACAGCAGAACAAGAGGCTGGGAGGTCACCCACATCCTCCGCCTGCATCCCATCCTGTTCTCCCCTGCCGCCTGCCCCCTGCCCTCAGCCCTCTGAATGCCCCGAGAGTACCCCACAGCTCCTGCTACAGGGTTCAGGGACCAAAGGACACTCTGGCAGCATGCACAGGAATGACCAGCCACAGCCACTCCTGACTCAGTGCTTCCTGTAGCCTGGCACTGTTCTAAGTGCCTTCGTTGAACGGGCTCAATGCATGCTCCCAGCAGCACAAGGGGGGACTTTTCTCAGGCTCCTTAATAGCTAAGGAAACTGAGGTGAGGCAATTTGTCCAAAATCACACATCTTCTAAGTGGCAGAGCTGGGATTCGAACCGTGCTGCCTGGCATCAGCATCTGAGTGCTTTACTACTCGCATATCAACACTCCAGTCTGGTGGGAGATTGGTAGCCACAGCCTTGTGGGATTTGACTCTAGAAATTCCAAGGCATCACTTAAAATGAACGTATGAAAGAAATCAACCAGTAGTCTCCTCAGGGTCTCAGGAGACAGTTCCTGCCCCCACCCTTCGCTCCATTCCTTCGTGGGGGGTTTGCAACCTCTGACAGCGAGACAGTATTTCCCAAAGGCAGAGGCGGCCACTGCTCAGAAGCTGGGGTTTCAGGGGCCAGGAACAGCAGCTCTCTGGCTCCTAGACTCCTGAATATTCCACCAGGGTTCTTCCTTCCCATGACATTGCCTTGGGCCCAGCTAAAGCCCAATGTCCAAGGGTGCAGGTGCAGGGATCAAGGTGAACCTACACCTCAGGATGCTGCCGGCCCTTCAGGTGAACGAGGGCAGGCCCCCACTCACTCCTTTCCAAAGGGTTTCTGCTCTTTCTCTGTTCAGTTCCCACTCCAACTGAGGCCCACGGGGGCCCACATCAACAACACCAACGCCGAGTTCCACGGCTGCTCCAGCCCAGGGAACACAGAGCCCTCCATGGCAGGTGGCGGGGCGGCCGATGGAGTTTCAGAGACCAATCAGTTGTCTGGAGTGTCCTGGGCTTCTCCAGGGAGAGCCATGAGCTGCCAGCTGGGGTCACTCTGAGCAAGGCTCTGCCCAATTGGGGCCTCATTTGCCCGTCCTGTAGAAAGGAAATGGGTGAGTCTCAGGGTCTCTTAGGTTCTATCTGAATCTAAATTCTGCATGATTAATTTTTAGGTCCCTCCAAGTCCCCAGCTGTCCCTCAGGAGCCTCTTGAGCAACCTCAAATTGCTATTTCAAGTTGTCCCTCCCACAAAACGCAAAGTATTTGGGGATGAGGTGGTTTCTCGCTCTGTTTCTCTGTTCCTAGAAGTCACCTCTCTCTGCACATCTCACAGTCAGGGGCAGAAACTTCAGCCAAGGCCATGGTACAATCCATAAATAAGCTGCCCTGTACCCAGGCATCCTTGTCAACTCCATTAAGAGTGGATAGAGCCAAACCGGTTTGGCTCAATAGATAGAGTGTTGGCTTGGGGATTGAAGGGTCCCAGGTTTGATTCCGGTCAAGGGCATGTACCTTGGTTGCAGGCATATCCCCAGTAGAGGGTGTGCAAGAGGCAGCTGATCGATGACTCTCTCTCATCGATGTTTCTAACTCTCTATCTCTCTCCCTTCCTCTCTGTACAAAATCAATAAAATATATTTAAAAAAAAATAGTGGATAGAGCGTCGACCTCTGGATTGAAGGGTCCCAGGTTCAATTCCAGTCAAGGGCATGTACCTTGGTTGTGGGGTGTGCAGGAGGGAGCTGATCGATGATTCTCTCTCATCGATGTTTCTAACTCTCTGTCCCTCTCTCTTCCTCTCTGTAAAAAAAAAATCAATAAAAAAAAGAGTGGCTGAGTGGGCTCGGCCAGTGTGGCTTAATGGTTGAGCTTTGACCAATGAATCAGGAGGTCATGGTTCAATTCCCGGTTTGGGCACATGCCAGGGTTGCAGGCTCAATCCCCAGTAGGGAGCATGTAGGAGGCAGTCGATTAATGATTCTCTCACTCATCATTGATGTTTCTATCTTTCCCTTCCTCTCTAAATCAATAAAAATATATTGAAGGAAAAAGAAAATAGAGAGAGTGGTTAAGTGGGAGGGTTTCCTGGGTCACTTTGTTCATAGCTGCCACTCCGGAAGGTCCAGGGGCTGCCAGGGCCCAGGTGAGGCCTAGGAGTCTCCTTGACCACTAGAAGGGGACCAGACCCTGCCTCCAAAGCCTCCAGCCCCAATGGACACTGTTGGAAAATGACTCTCTTTTTTTAATCATTACCTGAGGGCATGTTTTCAGTGATCTTCAGAGAGAGAAAAAGAGAGAGCAGGATACATTGATCTGTTCTCTCCTGCACGTGCCCCAACTGATCAAATCCAAAACACAGGTATGTGCCCTGACCAGGAGCGAACCTACAATCTTTCGGTGTATGGATGATGCTCCAATCAACTGAGCCCCCCTGCTAGGGGTGAGGGTAAGAAGCCACAAGGCTGAGAGATTTAGGACTCCACACCTTGTCACCATTGTCCCCACCCAGGGAGGCCCAGGGCTACTCTGCCAGCACAGGCTTCCGCTTACATCAGGACTCCATGTCCCCCAGCCCTGGGAGTGAAGTTCACATGCTGTTGACAATACCCATGGGGCCCCTCTGGCTCAGGCAAATACAAGCCCTGTTACTCCATCCACACGCTGGCTTCCTGGACAGACTCCGCCTCCCGCTCTTCCCGCACCGCTGGAGGCCACTGACCCCACTGGTCAGCTGGCTCATATAAAGACCATGGGCCAGGCCTGTGAGCTCAGCGATGGCGTCTGCTCGGTGGCCCTGCCTCCTTGTGGCCCTGCTCTCCAGCTCCGTGGCCTTTGGCTTCCCAAGAAGCCCCTCCCGGCCACTTGAAGTAAGTCTGTCCTCTTCTCACAATCTGGGTCCATCACAGGGCAGAGGTCCCAGCCCGGGTGGTCCTCCATATGGGAAGGGGGAGGTAGAAGGCGGGTCATGAGCTGCAGGGGACAGGGCTGGGATTTGGGAGGACTGGGCTTGGCTCTGAAATCTCCCAGGGCCTGTTTCCCCACCTGTCAAATGGGTGATACACCACGAACTGCTCACCTCACTGAGCAGCTGTTCAGGTCCACCTCTGAGAAAAGGGCAGAGGCGCCTAGGGAGGGCTGGGCTGGGGCTGTTCTGTGCAGTGGTGTGAGTGCTCTGACAGGACGCCTCAAGGACCCAGGTGCAGGGACAGTCAGTGAGCTGAGGTCTGTGCAGCAGGGAAAAAGCCCTGTCCTCTCCATTTGGAAGCCTGAGACCTGCTCTCTCCAGACCTCAGTTTCCCCATCTATTCAGAGCCCTTCCTCCTCTGAGCAGTGGCTCCAGGTGGGCCCTACATCCAGAGGCCCATCAAGGGGTATGTGGGGATCACCAATGAACCCTGGCGTCTGCCAACATCCTGCCCCCCATTCACAGTGGCCTTGGCCTTGCCCTGACAGTATGTTTCTCTTTGCTTTCCCAGAAACGCAGCGTTGTGGAAGAGGTGAGGACTTTCCCCAGGGAGGGGGCATGGTGCAGGGGGCAGGTGGAGCTGGTTGCCCAACAGCTAAAGAGTTGGGCCATAGCACAACCCTGTACAGCTGACACACAGCTCACAGCCCCTACCCTGGCAGACCCCCCAAGAAAGAGTGCCACAGAACCATGCCCCCTGACATCTCCAGATGCAGCCCAGGATGGCCAGTGCACCGTCCTTCCTTCCACAAACACCAAGCAGCTGCTGGAACTGGGCTGGGCAGTGAAAGGCCCTGTCACGCCTTCAGGGAGCATCTTCATATCCACATTTACCCAGACGTCTCCCTAGAGTGGCGGTTCTCAACCTCTGGGTCTGACCCCTTTGGGGATCGAATGACCCTTTCTCAGGGGTCGCCTAAGACCATCGGAAAACACAGATATTTACACTAGGATCATAACAGTAGCACAATTAGATTTATGAAGCAGCAATGAAAATAGTTTTATGGTTGGGGGTCACCACAACATGAGGAATTGTATTAAAAGGTTGCAGCGTTAGGAAGGTTGAGAACCACTGCCCTAGAGACCTCGCTCAGTTCACCCTCTACCCCCAGGAGAAAGAGAATACTGGGGCATGAAGTCCTGCCCCACACTCTCTTGTCAGCACAAGAAATAAATGCCCATTTGGGAGGTAGAATCACCCAATTACCAAAAGGCACAGTAGGGGGTAGAGGGCGAGCTTTCTCAATAGCAGTGTGAAAGGTGAGCAGGAAGAACTGGGACAGGTCTCTGACCGCCGGGGTCAGAGGGGCAGAGACCTGGCGTGGCTGGAGCCCCAGAGTGGAGGTGACAGGATCCACCTGGAGGACCTCAGAGCAGGGGGAACACTGTCCTGAGGGCAAAGGGGAGCACTGGGGGGAGGAGGGGTGGTTTAAGGAACAGGGTCAGATTTGTTTTTTACAAGATCTTACTGGCTACAGGCTGCATGGAAACAGATTACAGGGTTAAGGAGGCCATGTGTAACCCAGACATCGCCATAGAGCTGCCCTCAGTTCACCCTCCCTGCTTCCTGGTTTGCTCACTCCCCTCACCCTCTCTTTTTGGCATAATGTGAAGTTCCTCTCATGGTGCAAAATTCCCCTTCCTAAGTGACTTCTTGCTGCTGAGCAATGAGTAGGCTGAGCTAAGGAACCTGTGGGGCCCAGTGAACAGGGCAGACAAGGCCTCTGCCCTCCAAGAAGGCCCTGATCCTCGAGGGGAGAAAGTGCTAGGGAGGCCAGCCCATGTCCGGGCCACCGGGACTGCCCAGGTGCCCGTCATCAGGACAGTGGTGGCCAGCTGGACAGGGGGATGGAGGAGGTCACGGGGCTTCCATCATGATTGACTGGGAAGCTTTGCAGGCAGGGCCTTTGGAATCTGTAAAGGGACTTTGGAAGGGGAGTGGCCAGGTTGAGGACCTCCTTTCCAGTGCCCTGGTTGGCAGGTCACCACTGATCACCATCCCCTCTCCCACAGAAGTCTGGCGACATTGAAGTCTACAGTACCAAGGTCAGCTGCAAGGTGACCTCCCGCTTTGCTCACAATGTTGTCACCACGAGGGCCATCAACCGGGCAGATGCCGCCAAGGAGGTTTTCTTTGACGTGGAGCTGCCCAAGACGGCTTTCATCACCAACTTCACGCTGTGGGTGTCCCCATGGCTGCTGGCTCTGGGCTCTGGATGGGGATTCTGGCCCAGCATGAACCCCCCAACTCTTTCCCTGCAGGACCATCGACGGTGTTACCTACCCTGGTAATGTCAAGGAGAAGGAAGTCGCAAAGAAGCAGTATGAAAAGGCTGTGTCCCAGGGCAAGACAGCTGGTTTGGTCAAGTAAGTTTGGAGCCCCAGGCCTTGGGGAGAATGTCTGGTCTGTAAGGGATGCAAACAACAACAGTAGCAGTTCTTCCTTCTCCTCTTCCTCCTCTTCCTCCTCCTCCTCCTTCAACTTCTCCTCCTCCTCCTCCTTCTTCTTTTCTTCTTTTTCTTCTTATTGCAAAACATGTCCATAATTCTTACAACGTTATCCCATTATGATGTTGAGGCTTAGAGTGAGTAGTGTCTCCCTCAAGGGGCTGACTTGAACCCAAGGCTCAGGATGGGTGGGGTTGTGCAGTCTGTGGGGCAGTTGCTGTCTTGCACCCCATTCAGGGCCTCTGGGCGGAAGTTGGAGAAATTCACGGTGTCAGTCAATGTGGCTGCGGGCAGCAATGTCACGTTTGAGCTAACCTACGAAGAGCTGCTGAAGAGGAACAAGGGCAAGTACGAGATGTATCTTAAGGTCAAGCCCAAACAACTGGTCAAGGACTTTGAGGTAATCAAACACCTCTGCAGGCAAGGCTGGAACTGTGGGCACAGGATGGGAGGATGGGAAAGGGCGCCTGGGGCGGACCTCGGAGCAAGGTCAAAGTCACAGAAGTCCAGGTCTCACCACTTGGTTGAGGAAGCTTGGGGGAATTACAATGGCTCTGGCCATAGCAACTGGGCCAAGGGGAGGAGGGCACTGGGCTGGACTGGACTGGGCTGGACTCACCCAGATCTTTGGATGCTGAGCCCTTGGGCAACATCACAAAATGCCTCTGTATAGCTGGTAACTGGTTATAATGGTGCTCTACCTACATGAGATCTGAAATGATTTCATGGTGGAAATTGGACACCATCTGGCAGGCCATTGGTGAGCTTTGGGGTTAGAGTACCATTCACAGGCTTTTTGGGTCATTTTCTTGGTGGGAGACGTCAGTTATGGCTGTCACAGAGTTGTGCTAGAAGCTGGTCCCTGCACCATCCCTGATCCATCTCTGTGGGCCCTGTCCTAGAGGTTGGCGTCTGTACTGTCACTGCGTAACATCACCTTACCTTTGCACATTACAGATCCTGGTAGACATCTTTGAGCCCCAGGGCATTAGCCTGCTGGATGCTGAGGCCTCATTCATCACTAATGACCTCCTGGAAAGCGCCCTCACCAAGTCCTTCTCAGGGAAAAAGGTGGTATAGATGTTTCTCAGGCCTGGGGGGCAGGGGCAGGAACTCAGACCCTACCAGGACCAGTCTGAGCCCCAGGGCTTGGCTGGTGCTAGTGAGTGTGTGTCTATCTGCTGCCTCACTGTCTCCCTGGCCACCTGGGTCAGGAGTGGGTATGCTGGAAGTGGGGGGGGGGGGCGAAAGGGGGGGAGGCTTTTTGCTGAAGACCACCTGTTGGGGAAACTAACATGCCCCAGCAGCCCTTCCCGAACCTCTCATCCTGTCCCCTAGTTTCAGAGGGCCAGTAGGAGTGCTTGATTACCTCAAAGTGTTTGTGCTGGAACTGGTATTTGTGTGTGGGGGCGGGACCACTTATAAAGTCCAGTCTCATTCTCCCTTGGGAGGTAAGCAGGAGAGGTTACTGCCCCAGTTTTACAGATAAGGAGACTGAGGCCAGAGGCAGTCAGTTAGATCTGCTGACTCCACGCTGACTCCTCGAGGGGAGTGGAAGTTGAAAGGGAACTTTATTCTCGGTGCTACTGGTTGACCCTAATCCCCAAGGCTCCTACTATTCCAGGGTCTTGCTGACCATGGGCTGTGGATACATGTATGGAGCACACACTCAGAGGGCTGCTGGCTTCTTCAGGGATGTGCCCTCTCCCACCTCCCTGCTTTGCTTACTTCCCCCGCCCCCCCTCCTCTTGACACCAACCCATACCACTCAACATGAAGTTCCTTTCCACGTTGCAAAGCTACCCTCCGTAAGGGGCTTCTCAGTGCTGATGGCCAAGTAGGCTGAACACAGTGACTTAGTTGCACGGGGAAAGACAAAGGCTGAGTCAGATAAGCGGGCCACTGTTCTCCAAGTTGCCCCTGCTCTCCGAAGAGAGAGAAGTGCTCAGGAAGTCCAGTGTATGCTGTGTGGTGGCAGGACTCCCGGGTGCCCACCCCTGGGCTTCTCCCTGTGAAGGCTATGCCTCGGCCCCCAAGGCACCCATGGGCCGAGGGCTGCAGTGGGCAGTGCCTGGACAAGTTGAGCAAGATCCTCCATCTCCCTCCTTCAGGGCCATGTGTCCTTCAAGCCCAGCTTGGACCAACAGCGCTCATGTCCAACCTGTGGAGAAACCCTCCTCAACGGAGACTTCATCATAACCTACGATGTGAACAGAGAGTCTCCGGCCAACGTGCAGGTACCTCCCTACAGGCTTCATCAGGCTGGTGGATTGCGCGTCACAATGGAGTGAGGGCTGGTGCGGGAGGGGCCGTGGCTGCACCCACCTGGATACTTGGTCCAAGGCCAAGAATCCTGCAGGGCATGGGGAAGGCAGGCGGCCCAGAACCTGTGTGGCAGACTTACCCAAAACGGACACCTTCTTCTTGCCCTGCTAAATGTCAGCTTTTATTTGCAAGAGAAGCCACCGTGTACTTGCTTCATGGACATGACCACCAGTCTCTCTCCCCTTTGCAGATAGTCAATGGCTACTTTGTGCACTTCTTTGCACCTCAAGGCCTTCCTGTGGTGCCTAAGAATCTGGTCTTCGTGATTGATGTCAGCGGCTCCATGGAAGGCCGGAAAATAAAGCAGGTACACTCTTCTGTGCAAGTGGGGGTGAGGGGGAGGGTATATATTAATAATAATAAAAAAACATCTTACCTGAGGATATGTTTCCAGATGAATAGAGAGAGGGGAAGTCAGGGGGAGAGAAACATGGATGTGAGAGAGAAACATAAATCGGTAGCTTCCTGTAGGTTGAACCTTCAACCTTGGTATGTGCCCTCACCATAAATAAAACCTACAACCTCTTTGGAATACGGAGCACCACTCCAAGCAATGAAGCCAGCCAATCTGGGCGACAGTTTTCTTCTTCCTTTTTTTAAGAATTGGACAAAGCTGATGTTTCCAATGAAAGAGGGGAAAGGAGAATAGGATAAAAAAAGGCAGAAATGCCTACCCCATTGTGGCAGGCCGCAGGGGCCCCACTGCCAACCCCGGCTGTGAAGACATCAGGCTGTCTGTGGCTCTCTCTCCCAGCTTCTTGTCTGCCTGTCTTTCTCTTTCCCAGACCAAGGATGCCCTCCTCAAAATCCTGGAGGATATAAAAGAGGAGGACTACCTGAACTTCATCCTGTTTGCTTCTGCTGTGACCACTTGGAAAGACACTTTAGTTCAAGCCTCTCCTGAGAACATCCAGGAGGCCAGGGAGTTTGTGAAGAACATTGGAGCTAACGGAGGTAAGAACAGAGGAGAGAGCAATGTTCTCACTGCCCCTCCCTCTGCCTGTTCCCTCCTCCCTGGGGCACAGATTTGCAGGTCAGGACGGCAGACCCTGTTGGGGGTAGAGGTGGGCGTAGAGTAGGGTCCTCACACTTGATCTCAGGGTCTAAGAAAACCCATCTGTCTGTTTCTATCCCATGAAGCTGGTGAACACAACTCCCAGCAAGATAAGGCCACAGAGAATGTTCACTGTTGGTCGTTTCTTACGGAAAATCACAAGTGATGCATTTAGTGCTCCCCTCTCCTCCCAGTGCAAAGCCGGGAGTCCACCTGACTCTTTCCCAAATTGTTTCTACCATCACCATGTGCTTTGATCCCTACAGCAACCCTGAGAGGCAGGTTTTACCCACATCTGAAAGGGTAATCCATACATTTTTCACTCACGAAGCAGTACTTACTGAGTACAACCACGTACTGGCAGACAGAGTCCTTGGGCACAGGAGCAGGGCCAAAAGTTCCAACCCCCTCCTCTGTGGTGGTCCCCTGAGGGCCCATTCCCATGGTGCTCTCTGTGTGACAGGGACCAACATCAATGACGGGCTGATGACAGGCATCAGCATGCTGAACAAGGCCCGGGAGGAGCACACAGTGCCGGAGAGGAGCACTTCCACTGTCATCATGCTGACTGACGGGGAACCCAATGTTGGTGAGGCAGGCGGCCGTGGCTCTAAATCAGAATCACAGTACCTGGCTGCCATTCCTGGCTCTGTAGCCTGCTTGTTGCAAGACCTCGGGCAGCTCTCCCCAGGGCTCCTGCGGACTGTGAGCCCCCAGGGGCCAGGGAGCTGCCTTCCCTGGTCAGGGCTGCCCACCCTCTGGCCTGACAAAGTCTCCTGGCCATGACACCACCCGCACTGCATGGGCAGGAATCTATCTCTTCAGACAGAGCGGGTCCAGACAGTTGTCCGGGTGGTGGCTAGAGTGTGAACACCCCTTTATCCCGCAGGTGAGAGCAGACCCGATAAAATACAGGAGAACGTGCTGAGTGCCATTCAAGGCAAGTTCCCCTTATACACCCTGGGCTTTGGCAGAGATGTGAATTATAACTTCCTGGAAAGCTTGGCCCTGGAGAATGATGGTTTTGCCCGGCGCATTTATGAGGATTCTGATGCCACCTTGCAGCTTCAGGTATGCCTTGTCTTGCACCACTCCAGGAATGAAGAGCTCACTCCTTCCTCAGGGAGCAATGCCCTCAGGTATCATTTTAATAATTAGAAAGCACTTCCTCTTAAGTTGAAATCTACCTCTGGTTCTTACCCGTCATTAATGGTTCTAGCGTGGTCCTCGGGCTGCAGAGAAGATGTTCCTCCATAGGATTTCCAGAGCAACTATAGGACATCAGTTAAATATGAATTTCTGGGAGAAAAAAAAAAAAGAATTTTGTAGTGTAAGTGTGCCCTGAAGATTGCATTGGACACTGCATTAGTTTGGGGGCTGCCAGGACAATGTGCTACAAACAGAGAGGCTTACAGCAGGAATGTGCTGTCCCACAGTTTTGGAGGCTAGGATTTCAAGATGAAGGTGTCGGCAGGGTTGGTTCCTCTGAGGGCCCCGAGGGGGGATCTGCCAGGCCTCTCTCGGGCTTCTCCCTGTCTCCTCACATCCTCTCCCATGTGTGTCTGTCCCCTTTTCAATAAGGACACCAGTCACATTGGATTGGGGTCCATCCCAAAGTCCTCATTTTGAATTAGTTATCTCTGTAATGACCCTGTCGCCAAACAAGGCCACTTCTTGAGGGACTGAGGGTAAGGAATTTAACTACATATTTTGGGTATTTTGGAGGTACACAATTGAGCCCACAACAGACATACTTATAACAAAAATTAACGTCTTGTTTATCTGACATTCCAATTTAACTGTATTTCATTCACTAAACCTGGCAATCCCCACTCTTCCTGGCCCAGGTGCTGGCCCACCTCCTCTGTGGACCCCTGAGCCTCCATCCCACCTGCGCCCCCTCACACCTTCTCTATCCAGCCTCTCTTCCTGTCCTTCTCTCTTCCTTCCCTTCATGCCAACAAACATTTCTTGAGTGCTTCCTAAGAGCAAGAACGCTTGTATGTTTGTGGGCGCGAGGGGTGGGGTGGGCTGAGGAGGGGGAGGCAGAGGGGCTCCCACACATTGAAGGGCACAGCCAGGGCCACGTAGAAGTGGAGATCAGGCCAGGCCTGGCCCAGCCTGTGGGACTCAACAGCCTTTGGAGGCGTCAGTGAGAACTTTCCCACACTCCTCGCCATGCCCGCCTGCCCTGGTGGCCTGAGGTGACCAGGTTCCCTCTCTGGACTCCAGGACTTCTATGAGGAGGTGGCCAACCCGCTGCTGACAGGAGTGGAGGTGGAGTACCCTGAGAACGCTATCCTGGACCTGACCCGCAACACTTACCAGCACTTCTACGATGGCTCTGAGATCGTGGTGGCTGGGCGCCTGATGGACAAGGACATGAACAACTTTAAGGCAGATGTGAAGGGCCACGGGGTAAGCTGGGCTGGGCCTGATATGGGCTGGGAATGGGGGAATCAAGCAACGATGGGCTGTGTCTATGGGCTGATGGTCCAGCAGTGGCCATCCCTGAACCGGGCCACCTGGCTTCAAACCTCCATTCCTTATGCCTCTCGCCTTCTCCCACCCCTGCCCCAGGCGCTCACTGACCTGACCTTCACAGAGGAGGTGGACTTGAAGGAGATGGAGAAGGCCCTGCAGGAGCAGGACTACATTTTCGGGAGCTACATTGAGCGGCTCTGGGCCTACCTCACCATTGAGCAGCTGTTGGACAAACGGTGACCCAGAACCATCCCTCGCAGAGCTGGGTCCCACACTAGGCCCTGGCACTGCCCCAGCATCTCCCTGTGCCTGACCCTGGCTGGCACTGCTCTGCGGGTTCCCAAGAGGAACATGACTGGCCCACACCTCAGGAGCTAAACCTCACGCACACGTCCAGCTGCCCTGCCCACATTTCTACCCAGTCCATCAGAATATTTTCCAAGGCAGAGCCCAGCCTGACATCTGGGGGCAGTGATGGAGGGGCCAAGGCCGGGGGCGAGCCCTCAGCGCCCAGAGGGCAGAGCCGGGGCCCATTGGAGAAGCATGTCATCTCCTTTCAGGAGGGACTGGCCTGGGAAGCCCCTGGTGCAGGGCCTGGCACCTGCTGAGCACTCCCCAGGAGTGACTGTGGCGGTGGCCATCGCAAGTCCCTTATACTTTATATCTGGGGAAACTGAGGCCCCCTCAGAGAGGAGGCACAGCCTGTCCATCTGCCCCAGGGAGCTGGTGAACCAGGTTTTTCTGAGTACTAACAGGCTCCGCCATGGGCAGAGGGGGTCCTGGGCTGTCGCTGGGGCTCCTGGCCTGGTAATGGTCGTCAGAGCAGGGAAGATGGGCAGGGAGCTGAGCTCTGAGCTGACCCTGTCTCCATGCCCCTCTCTGCAGCAAGAAAGCCCATGGAAGTGAGAAGGAGAACCTCACAGCCCAGGCCCTGGAACTGTCCCTCAAATACCACTTTGTGACCCCACTGACCTCCATGGTGGTGACCAAGCCTGAGGACAGTGACAACCAGATGGCTATTGCTGACAAGCCCGGGGAAGGTGGGCATGGGGAGTGAAGGCCAGAACTTGGAGGCCTTCCTCTAGGGCCGGGCCTTGGGTGTCCTGAGAGCAGTGGGCCAGGCTGGGGAGACCCAGCCCCACTGAAGAGGAGCAGGCCCTGGGGCACTGAAGGAAAGCTGGCCCAGCGCTAGGAAGTGTGTTTGGAGGGGGTGAAGCCATCAGCGGGGACCGTGGGGGGTGGGGTGATGACAAGCCTCTGAGTTTCTAAAGGGATATGAGTACAGGAGTGAGTCCCCTGCCCAGGGTCACTTCCGGGAGAGGGACTTAGGCTGCAACATGGAAGGGCTCAGTTAGACAGGAAAAAGCACTCCCAGCCTTAAAGCTAAGCCATGAGCATGCGATGAGAGTCAGAGGCTCTGAGTGCTGGAGGCTAGGACCAGGCCGGCTCACCATACCCAAAGAGGGCAGCCCTGAGTATCCCTACAATTGGACACACAGGCTGGGGGTATGGGTATTGGGGAACATGGGAGGCAAAGAGCTGGTCCAAGCCAGGGCAGGAGCTCCTGATTGCGGGAGCTCAGCTGGCTGCTGGGAGGCCCCCAGCCTGGGGCTGCTTGCATAGGCAGCATATTGATCACATTGGCCCAGACCCCAGGAGTCTGTGGCTGCTAACGCATTTCTCCCCTTCCCCCCTCACAGGGCCTCAGGAATCAGGTGAGTTTTAGCCAGCAGCTGGGTGGGGGTCCCAGAAGGGAGATAGGAGAGAACCCAGGAGGCCTTTCCAAGCAGGCCTGGGCTCAGGTCCCAGCTCCACTGCCCACTCATGAGCAACTTTGGGTCAAGGTCTGCCCACTCTGAACGCCAGGCCCTTGTTCGTTGAATGGAGGTGGCTTACAGCACCCAGTGTGTCTCTCATCATGAAATTGGAGCCTCACCCCTCACTAGCCCATCGCCACCAGGCAGAGCTACCCCAGCCCTGCCTGCCTCACCTCCATCAATATAGGTTGCTCTATCCAGATTTCCCCTTAGAACAGCCCTGTCAAATGTACATCACTGGTGTGTATGTGCCTATGGTGTGTGTGTGTGTGTGTGTGTTACTACCAAGGACAACTGTAAGACTCATCCCACCCCAACAAGGGATGGGGCAGGAGTTGAAGAGTGGCAGACAGGATGTGCTGTGAGCTTTACTCAGGACAGAGAAGCTGACCTTCTGAAGGCTTGCATTTTAGCCATATCAACGTGCCACGCCCTTGGCCTTAAAATCACATCCATATCGGCACCAGTCCTAGAAAAAAGTTCCTGGGCATGCCCCCATTTCTATAGCCTAAGCTAAGGCTCACATCCCCGCCCACTCACTGTCAGTGCTGGGGTTTCATTGCGCACCTGTAGCCCCAAGACAGGCGAAAGGCACAGGTGTTGGGAACAGGGCACCCCAGGCACTCGCTCACGACTGTCCTTTGGCTTCTTTTTTCAGTGTCCCCCGCCACGGCTTACATGAGTGAGTATAGGCCTCGGCCACAGTCCCCTGCCCCAGCACAGCCCTGTGCATGCCCCCTGAAATCTTCCTAAATCAGCTCCCTGGGGAGGCAGATGGTTGGATCCTGAGGAGATGGGGGTGGGTGGGTGTTGAGAGCATTAGGAAGCAGGAAGGGGTGGGGTATGAACCTAACTCGGGGGGGGGGGGGTTCTGGTGCCTCCCCAGGCCTGCTTGTTCAGTTCAGCCCTCTCTCCCTCTGTGTCCACAGCCAGCTACCAACCTCCTTCTAATCCCTACTATTATGGTGAGTTCCCAGGCTCCTCTGGGAGCAAGGCTCAGGGCCCAGGGCCCAGTGCCTCCTCCCTGCCTAGGATTGCATCCCACAGAGGCCAGAGGGTGAGGCCCAGCACCTAGCCCTCTCTCTGATGTGCCCTCAGTGGATGGAGACCCCCACTTCATCATCCAAGTCCGAGGGAATAAGGATGCCATCTGCTTCAACATTGATGAAGAACCAGGCACAGTGCTGCGCCTCATTCAAGACCCCATTACAGGTCGGAGCTGAAGGGTGGGGCTGGGGTCAGTGGTCTTCCTGGGAAGGCCTGGAGTCCCCTAAGTGGGCATATGGACTAGGTTCTCACTCTGCCCACATTGCTCCCATCTCTCTATGTAGATTACACACTGGAAAGAGCTGTCCAGAACCACAGGCTAGCTAGGTGCCCCAGGGGCCAGTGTGTTGGGGAGAGGTTAGAGTTAAGGACAGCATGGCCCTGCAGGCAGGACTCAACCTATAGCTGGGGAATAGTTTTTCTCTGAACAATAACAATTCCTGGGCTAGGCAAAAAGACAGGACTACATTGTGGGCCCTGAGCCACTAGCATGACCTAAGATTGTGTAGGAACAGATGAGGTTAACTGTGAAGTTCTGATCTCTTCGGGGGACCCCCACTCTACCTTGCAGCAAGTGTGGCTGAGGCAGAAGGCACATCCTTAACGGGCAACTGATCACAAGACCTCCCTGGTCTCTTTCTGCCCCTTGCCCCTGGCAGGCTTAACAGTAAATGGGCAGATCATTGGTGACAAGGGAAACGGCTCAAACTCTAAGAACAGAAAGACTTACCTTGGCAAAGTGGGCATTGTCAACTCTCAGATTGACTTCCGGATTGAGGTGACCACAGAGAAGATTACTCTGCAGAATGGGGCTGCACAGAGTACTTTCAGCTGGCTGGATACAGTCACGGTCACCTCAGAAAGGTAAGGCCCCATACGGGGACCCGATGGAAGGAGGCTTGAAGGATTTGTAGAAATCTGAGGACAGAAGATCCATACAGGGTTACTGGGAAGACTGGTGGCCTCAGAGTTCAGCCCCTGCCCTGGGGGAGGGTGACCATGGTAGAGCTGAACCAATGCCTAGGGCCCCTGTGAGAACCAGAATTGGTAGCTGGACAGTTCATAGGGTTGATCTTGAGGGAAAGGCTACATGGACCCAAGGATCAGGTAGATGTGGCAATATGGTAATAGCAAGAATCCCATTTGCATCTTCTCTGGCTGAATTTATTAGTTCACAAACTGCTCAGCCTCTACTAGGTCATTAGATTACCCAGAGCCTGGTAGGCAGGCAGGAGTGTAACTCCCACAGAGGCTCAGAGTCGGTGTAGAACCTGCCCACGAAGCTAGTGGGTCGTCTGGGACTGGATCCCAGGCCTCCAGATGCCCAGGAAACCCCTTTCCTGCTTCTGGAGGAGCAGGAATGGATCCAGTGGAGGCAGAGTCAGCACGCATGACCTGTCTTTCCTCCAGCAGCCCTGAGCTAGTGCCTGGCGTCAGTATGTTCTCAGATTCCATGCACAGAGCAGGCTCTGCCAGGATATCCTTGATTCAGATGCTGTGTGTCATGGTCTCTGTGCCCCTGCTGTCCTCATCTGTTCTTCTAGGTTCTCCTTGAAGATCAACAAGGAGGCTCTGGTGGTCTCCTTTGGAAAAGGGATCACTTTTAAGGTGGTTCTGCACCAGGTGTGGAAGAAACAGGCCGTCCACCTGAACTATCTGGGCTTCTACGTGCTGGACAGTGACAAGATGTCAACAAAGTCACATGGGCTGCTGGGTACGGAATGTTGAAGCTTCAGGTTGTGCAGGGCAGAGGGAAAAACCATGAGCAAGGCCCTCCATGCCCAAGACACAGTACCCCACACATCCCTTGCCTTAACCATGGAAGGCCAGTGGCCATGCTACCTGGGGCAATGGCAGGGGCTAACAGTGTAAATGTTTTTCTTCCCAGGACAATTCTTCCGCCCCCTTGCTTTTAAAGTGTCTGACTTCAACCCAGGCAATGACCACTCAAAGATACATGCCACCATGCTGGTGAAGAAACATCGGCTGGCAGTCACCAGGTGAGGGGCCCCATCTGACACCCTCACACTGCCCATTACCAATCCAGGAGGAAAGAGCCCTCTCTGCCCACACACATTGGTCCAACAGGCTTTGTCTTCTGTGGGGTGCCCGCATTTCCCTCTGGGATCTTGACCCCCATTTGTCCCTTTCTCATCAGGGAAAGGCCACACTCAGCCCCTAGAAGGAGTAACTATGCAACCTCATTCTTAGCTAAAGAATTATGTAGAGGGGAATGCCACACCCTTTTCCAACCTTGGTCCAAGGAGCATAGCAGCCATCTTGTCTACCCTGTGTATCACAGCATCTCTCTCCTTTCTCCAGGGGCTACCAGAAAGACTACAGGAAGGATGTCCATAATGGCACACATGTGGGCTGCTGGTTCGTCCACAACAACGGCCAAGGGGTGATTGACGGGGTCCACAGTGACTACATTGTCCCTGACCTATTCTGAGTAGCTGGCCCAGCTCGCCTGGCATCTGGAGCAAAGCGCAGAGCCAGGCCTGAGGGAGGGCTGTGACAATAGAGGACACAATGGAAACCAGACCGCTGCCAGCCTGTGCATGCCTCTCTCGGCCCCTACTCTGGGGAACACCAGCCAGGACCTGAGGCAGCTCAAAGCAAGGACTGGCTGCTAGGAAGGCAGCTTCCTGGGCCTCCCCAGCAATGCGTCTGAAGGACAGGGCTGGTTGGTGTCATACTTTGGCAAGTCAAATGTATGATGAAAATAAAAATAAAAAATGGACTCTGGAGCAAAGAGTCTCTGAGTAGTTGGGAAGGGCTGAGTGCATTTCAGAGGCTAAAAGGTTCATGAGGAACGTCTGGTCCTTGCTCAGAAGCTCCTGTTGGGTCCTTCAGGCCTGGAGGTCCTTCTGTGAAGGACTCAGAAGCAGAGTCCTCCAGGGCTGGCACAGATTGCAGCGGATTGTAGATGCCATCTACCCACCGACCCACCCACTGTCTGTCCATCCACCTATCTATCCATCCATCAATTCATCCATCCATCCATCCATCCATCCATCCATCCATCCATCCATGGATCTGCCCACTGTCCATCCATCCATCCATCCATCCATATATCCATCCATCCACCCACCTACCCACCCAGCCATCCATCAATTCACCCACCCACCCACGTGCACATTGTCCATCCTTCCATCCAGCCATCCATCCATCCATCCATCCATCCATGGATCTGCCCACTGTCCGTCCATCGATCCATCCATCCATCCATCCATCCATCCATCCATCCATCCATATATCCATCCATCCACCCAGCCACCCACCCAGCCATCCATCAATCCACCCACCCACCCATGTGCACATTGTCCATCCTTCCATCCATCCATCCATCCACCCATCCATCCACCCACCCATCCATCCATCCATCCAACCATCCATCCATGGCCCTGCCCATTGTCCATCCATCCACCCATCCATCCACCCATCCATCCATCCATGTACCACCCATCCATTTGTTCATAAGATAAAAGCAGCATTCTGGGCTAGAATCTGGGGGCACACAGATTCCTGTTCCTATGTACACAGATACCTCAAATTTGCCTTCAGCTGGGCTGGGGATCCTTGGGATTCTCAATCATACCCTACAAAGTCATGTGGGGGTCAGACAGTTCCTGGACCTAGGAGTTCTGAGAGCCTCTCCCACCTGAATAACTATAACTACCCCTTCCTGGGTCTCCCTGCTTCCAGAGGGAGCTTTCCAGAGCAGAACCAATCATTGCTCCCTGCCTACACCTTGTCAATGACATCTCCCACCCATTGCTCTTGACATAAAGACAAAAGTCCTTCCTCTGGCTTCTCAGATTCATCAACTCCATGAACCAGGCATCTCCCGTTAACTTTCTGTATTCCAGACACACAACTGCTTCTAATTCTGCAAACACAAGCCCTCCTGCTCCAAATCCTTTGCCTGTGCTGTTCTCTCTGCCTTTAGCTCTAAGAGCATGCTGGATTGAGAGTATCCCTTTGAAGGGAACAATGGGCAACTTTGCTTGATGGCACAGCAAGGGACACAATAAGGCCAGAGGAGGTTGGAATCTATTGGGAAGGATCATGAATGCCAGTGGGGGTGGGGATGGGATCTGGTCATGGGCCACACAGAGGTTTTCCTATTTCCCACTCCAGGGCCTGTCTGGATTTCCTAGAGACACCAGCCTGGGGTCCTGGAGAGGGTATTGGGGGGCAGTCAAGGAGGAAACATTTATCATCAGAAAAGTCTGCCTCCCCACAGGCATCTATGAGTGGTAATTTGTGGACTGGCGCTGCTGCTACTCTAGGGAGAGGGCACATGAGACACCACTCTAGAGTAAACATGGCAGGTGTCCAGGCTGGGCTGGCAAAAAGGGCCCAGCCTGGGAAAGTACATGTCTTCCATGTCCTGCCACTCCAGCTGGCAGCCTAGCCTGGCAGGTAGGCAGAAAGACAGAGGAGGCCCACAGCCCAAAACTGCCCCTTCCCCTCCTTCAACACAGTCAGGGAGGCCTCCTTACAGGCTAATTTCAGGCAGATTCTGTCCTCATCCCAGTCCCATGTCACTCTGGCTGTCCCTCTGATGGCTCCCTGGTTTTAAGGATGGAAATCATGCTTCATGGCAAGGTGCACCCAGCCAGTGCTGGCCTGGCCTTGCTTCTCTATCTTTCCACCATCCTCCTCACCCCATTCTTCTCTTCTCCTACCCTGAACTCAACCCACAATGTCCTGGCTCTTGGACCAGTGTCCTTGTCCTCCTTTTCTACTGGGCTGAGTTCTCTTCATTCATCAAAACTCAGCCCCAATCATACCACATTCCTGGAAGCTTCCCGGATCCTCCCCAGCTAGAACAAGAGGAGTCCCTCTGGGATCCTTGTAGCACCTGGTTGTTCTTGGGTGGCATCTGTCACACAGGCACTGTCTGTCATGGTGCCCCCAGCACTCTGCCCAGGGCCTGGCCCAAGGAGGTGCTGGAAAGCACTCAGTGAACAAAACAATGAAGGGCATGGACCTACTTCCAATTGTTCACAGAAGACACCTGCCCTGCTGCTGGGCCAGAAAGTCACTCTGACTCCTCTGTCGTACAACCCCCAAGCCCAGCCCATCCCAGCCCATCCCAGCCAAGCCCAGGCAGAGGTGTTTCAGAGGGTGAGCTTGCTGTCGGCCACGTCTCTCATCTTGGTAGGTGTGTCAGAGCTGGCCTCACAGCAAGTCCAACAGAGGCACCAAGGCAGCTCTCTCGTCTCACAGCAACAGCCTGAGACCCCTGCCAGCCAACCAGGCAGAGGGAGAGGCAGATGGAGTGTGGCTGTGCCTTTGGCAAACCTGCTGCTGGATCCCACCTATGGGCCTCTCTTCTGACCCCTCTAGAGAGACTCAATCAGTAAACACCCTATAATGCTCAAGAGCTGGGAAAAGGCTTTCCCTGATGATCTGCTTTGCTTCCTCTTAACAAGCAAATGAGCTCCTTTTCTGCTTTCCTCTGGCTGTGGGGAAGCTCAGAGCAAAGTTTTGTGCTACAGCTTCAACACTAGGGGTGTCCCCAACTGAAATCCCATCCCTACTCGGCTCTTCTCTTATTCCCATGGGCTTTGTTTTAAAAAAAAAAAGTGTGTGTGTTTTTAAAATCCTCACCCAAGAATATGTTTTATCAATCATTTATTTATTTACGTATTTATTTATTTTTAGACAGAGAGGAAGAGAGAGAGAAAGATCGATGTCAGAGAGAAACAACAATGGGTTGCCTCCTGCGAGCACTCCAACTGGAGATCAAAGCCATAATGCAGGTATGTGCTCTTGACTGGGGACTAAACCTGAAACCTTTGGTGTACAGGGTGATGCTCCAAACAACTGAGCTACCTGGGCTATAAATGATTTTTAAGTACGCTCTGACTGTGCAAGAATTGGGGCATGGATAGGAGAGGATTTGGAGTTGGGCACCTGGTCACCTCCATGGGACAGAGACGTCCCTCCTGGGATGAGGGCCTCAGGTCTGCTTCCTGTATTCCAGTGCTAGCTTCTTTCCAGGCGGGGAGCCCAGGTGTGAAAATCAAATTGCATCTGCAAACCCCGTTGGAAAGCTTGCTGAGAACTACCCAGTTCACTTTTATAAATAGAGATAGGAAGAGTCAAATCTGGTTTTCATGGTCCTGGCCGGTTTGACTCAGTGGACAGAGCATCAACCCAAGGACTAAAGGTCCTGGCTTCGGTTCCGGTCAAGGGTATGTATCTTGGTTGCAGGGTTGATCCCTGGCCTCAGTCAGGGCATGTGCAGGACACAACCAATTAATGTGTCTCTCTCACACCAATGTTTCTCTCGGTGTCTCTCCCCTTCCCTTCCACTTTCTCTAAAAATCAATGGAAACTTATCTTCGGGTGAGAATTAACAAATGAAATGACATGACATTTCATTTGTTTTCTGGTCCTGCAGTGACATACTACATGGGTGGTTCAATCTCTAAATCTTAGTTTCCACCCTATGAAATGAAGGGAGTGGACCAAAAGCTCCTCAGGGACCTATTGGCCACAGGCCTTTGTGGGCTGATCATGGGAAGATTCTAATGTCACATGATGCTAAGTGTTCAGGGGGAGGTTCTACAGCCTGGTGTTTGGCTGGATGGAATCAGAGATGCCCACTCCCTGATTTACACTGCCTTCCTTTATTTGTAATAAGTGGCACTCCCCTCCCCATCACGGCAAGACCCAACAGGCAGCTCTGGTCACAAGATGACAGCCATCTGCACACAGTGGAGTGGAAAGGGGGGCAGAGGGTGGATGGGTGGGTATAACTCCTGCCATCAGGACTATAGTTCGACACACCAGCAGGAAATCTCTGTTCCTGGGGTCCCCTCTTGGTAATCCACCTTGAGCTCTCTGGGATGGATAGAGAAGACAGACACATGGGTGGTTAGCAGGTGTGGTGGGAAGAGAGGGAGAGAGCTGGGGATGGGCAAGTGGAAGGTGGGGTTTCAGGGCCCCTTGGAATTCCCTCCAGCACAGGCTGACAAGGTCCTGTCACCCAATGGCACCTGGTTGTCCAGGGCCCAGGGCTCTGCGACTTCAGGGAGTTTGCTAATGCCCCCAACTCACCCTTAGTGATCTCTGGCTGCGGTGTTTTCTGTGGGTCTGAGTTGAACATTTTTGTAGGGTCATACTGAGGGCTGGGTCACACACGTCTAAAGCATCAACCTTTCACCTGACTATCTCTAGATCCCAGGTACGGACAGGGGAGTGGAGGTCCCCAGGGACCAGCTCTCAGCCTCCTAGTCCCAGCCCTGGCCTGTTTGCGTGGAGTCACCTGGTGGCACTGTAGTCAAACCCATGAGTCCTCAGTGTTCGCTTGCTGTCATCTGTGGCATCTGGCGGCCCCCAGAGCACGCCCTGGTAAAAGCGGCCTGAGAGACAAAGGGTGGTCAGTGAGGGATGAAGACACGGGGGCTGGGAGACACACGGCACTGCCTGTGCCCAGGCGGAGGTGGGTGGAGGATGCCCTGCGCCAGGGTCACGGGCAGCATACCAAGGATCCCGTCGACGCGGCTGGAGAAGCGGTCAGTGTCCCGCAGAAGCAGCCGAAGCCCCTGCCCAGGGCCGTCCCAGGACAGCAGGCCGATGGTCACTTTGTCTGGGCTGCTGAGCAGCAGGAGCCCTGCCTTGTCCATGGTCATCGTGAGGCTGTGGGGAAACCCAGGCTCCTGAGAGCAAGGTAGGCATGCCGACCCCCTCAGGGGACCCTGGCCGGTGGGGTGGGGTGGAGTGGGTGGGGCAATCCCTGTTGTGGCCTTGGGTGGGAAGTCCATTACATATTCTGAGCCTCAGTTTTCTCCTCAGCAACTGGGACCAACATTAATTTAATGACATCTGGTGATCCCAGCATTTCTACAACAAAATAACGGTTCCTTTCCCTCTGTTTTCTTAGATTTGGTTCCCCATAAATTCCTTTGATATGATTCCGGGGGTATCGGACATACTGTGCCTGAGCTACTTTCCCTTGATGATCAGTGTTTACTTGTATGTTTAACATGTACAAGGACAAGTCTCTTCTGATTCTATCCCCTTCTCCTTTACTTACAATAATCTCTGACAGGCTTACCTTTTTGGTTCTCTTAGGAATGTTAGGCTCCTTCGAGCAAGTTGAATAAGACCCAGCTGGTACTCTGAGGTTACCTTAAAGGGACCTGCACTAAGTTTCCACTGTCGCCTGGAGACTCACTACAAGGTGTGGTCTGATTTTCTGCACGGAGATCTTCTGTAGCTCATGAAAGTGTGTGGAGCCTGTCACTATGCTTAAGAGGAGTTCTTTATTTCATCTTCTGCTGTGTATGTATTTGTCAGATAACAGGAAACTTTCTTTCATGAAATGGGGAGATTTTCAGGTGAGCCCTCAGGTTGGCCAGGTGCTCACTCACTTGTCAGGGGGAAACCAGTCTCTGTACTCAGCACAGGCTGGGACCACGAGGGCAGTGCTCCCAGAGGGCCTGAGCATCGGCCTCACTCCAGTCCCCTCGTGACTTCTGCACCCAGACAGCTGCCTCTGAAAGGCTCGATGGTCAAGCAGCCCCGCCCAGGAAGGTTGCCATGCCCCTCCATGACTTGCCAGAAGTTGGGTGGACAGTCTCTCCTCCTCAGAGCGTCAGGAGGATGCTAAGAGACTTTCCTAACCTCCCCCTGGTGCAGTGCCTTCCAACTCCTCACTGTTGTCATCATTCCCTCACCATGTAGACAGCTGCCCTGTGGCAGGCCCCGTGGGCACCACCCCTTCTAATGAGCAAAGTGCTCCCTGTCATCTTCCCTCATTGGGTCTCTGCTTAGCCTCTAACTCAGGCTTGGGGTGATTCTCCCCAGGTATGAGTGAGGAAACTGAGGCTAAGAGGGTCTAAGCAGCCTTCCCAGGGTCATACACGAATAGCAACAGTGTGGCTCCAACCCACAATGCACCTGCGCAGGAGAGTGCCCTGGATTAGGTGTGAACATTCTGATGGAGAAGCCCACAGCTGGTCCCCCTCCATGTGCCAGGCCACCCAGACCTGCATGTGTGGTGGCCAATGAAAGGTCTGTGGGCTGGATTTATGAGTGTAGGGGTCAGTGCTCAGGGGCATGACCGTGGGTGCCCCCACAGAGAAAAAGAGGTATGGTTCTGCCCAACAGGTAGAGGCAGCCAATAGCAGAGGACTCATGCCCTGCCCAAGCACTTTATCCCCAAGCCTGTGGCCTCAGGCCACCGGTCAGCACTGTCACTAACGTAGCCTGAGACATCACTGCTGGTACCCAGGCTGCGGCTTACCCAGGCATCACCACAAACAGAGTCTCCTTCCATTTGTACTCAGAGCTTCTTCGGCCCCTAGTCACGACCACATGCTCAGGAGACACGCGGACCTGCAGCTGGGGATTCTTGAAAGTCACCTTGATCCAGGAGAACTGGGCCTTCTGCATCTGATACTTCCCAGTCACCTCGAGACCTGAGAGAGTCCAGAGCAGAGGTCAGAGGCATGGCCTGGCTGGGCACTGGCCTGCACAGGAGGCGCTCTCTGATTATGCCCCCCAGAACTGTCCTTCACCAGCCCCCTCCTCACTGCCCTGCCCCCAGCATTCCCTCACACTGGAGTCTGGTTTCCACAATTTTTTCTCTCGTCCCTTGGTTGCATTTGACTTTGGAAGGACCACAAATCCTCAGTGATGGACAGGTCCAGATGAGCCCTCTGAGAAGGGAGATCGTGTCTGAATCCAGGAACCGTTAGAAAGCGCTGTAGAGTGCCTGGCCCTGAGCTAGGTGCCATGGCCCAGACGGAGTTGGGAAATCAGTGGTCCCTGCCCTCAAGGAGCAAAGAGACTGTAGGCCTGGTGTGTGGAGGTGGGAGACTGTGTATGAGCATCCCTGAGTGCTGTATGTCCCCATGTCTGACGTGTTACCTCAGCTCAGCCAGTATGACCGTTCTTTCTGGTCAGCATTGCCCTCTTCTTGCCATTCCACTCCTCCATACTCTCTAAGGTCCCACTACTATCTTTCAGGGCTCTGGGCTTCTGCCAACCTCGGCCTCTCCCTAGAAAACCCCCGCTTGTCTGCCAAGGCGCAGTCACTGCTGTGTGACCCCGTGCAGCCCCATATGCCCCTCCCTCAGCCTGGCCTCCCCTTCTGGGCTTTGGCCTCTAGGTCGCTTTGGGCACTGCCTTCCTGCAGAGGGTTTCTCTGGAAGGTGACTGGTCAGGCCTCACCTTGGTCAGGGTCTGAGAGCAGGAGTAATAATGGCTCCGGGGTGCGCTTGATGTCCACGCAGACCTGGTCCACGCTCTGCCCCGGCAGAGGCAGGATGACGGTGGGAGCCTGGATGGGGGCTGGGGCAGCAGATGTGGTTGCTGGGGCAGGTAGAACATTCTGGAGTGCAGTGATGGGAAGGGGGGCAGAGGAGGACAGGCAACTTACCTGGTGGTGGGGCTGTAGGGCTTGTTTCTGAAAGAAAAAGTCTTTGTTTAGGCATGCCCTTTCTCAAACTTGGGGGCCAGGCCAACAGAAGGATGGGATAGTGTATGGGTGTGGCCAGGGTTCCTTCTCCACTTCAACATTGAGAAACCATGTAACAGGTTCCAAGAGATCCCCAGGGATCTCCCATCCCAGGGTCTCCCTGCTCTAGGGCCATAGTCAACTTCAGGGGATCGGCTCTGGGGGCCTACCTTTCATTGTATCATGCAGGTCATCATCCACTATAATAGGACCTTCAGTGGAGATAGATGCCAGTACAGGAATGGCCAGAAACAGAAAGGGAGAAGGCCGTCAGGATTCAGAGAAATCACCTTCCCCTCCTCCAGCCATCACTGCCACCTGCCACCCCACTAAGCTCCATCCTGGAACCCCTGCCCACATACACCGAACCCAGGAGAGCACACTTTAGGAAAACACTGAGGAGACAGGGTCCAGCTGGAATTGTGGCTGGGTCTCAATCCAGCCTGGAGATCAGAAACAGATCATCGGGCCACTCATGGCTTTGGGAATGGTGGGAGCCTTCCCTTTCTGGAAGGTTCCATGCTGAGCCAGCCTCCAGAGTGTATTGGGTCTGGTTCAGTAAAATACATGGCACACTACTTCATGTCAAGCCCCACAGCAACTGTCCTGGTCTGTGCCCAGCCCTGAGCAGGGTGCTGGCTCCCATCCAACTCTATAGGCAGGCTTACCTATCCCCTCAAGGAAATGAGTCAGAAAGTAGCTTACCTATCCCGCCTATTAGGGTCCTGTACCGATGAATATGATGGACTGGAATAGGATCACTAGAAGTAAAACGAATTTCAGGTGGTTCCGCTCTCTCGCTGGGAGAATCATAAACTTGAGCGTGCATGGAAACTCCTGCTTTAGAAACATTGACACCTGCAGTCTTTGCTCAAGCGGAGTCATGGGTCCCCATGGCCAGGGCCCTGGGACCCACCCCGGGAGATGGATGTAGAGAGGACAGATGGCTCCTTTCCCCACACCCACTACTCTGAGAGCCTCTCCCCCTTCAGCCCCGAGAAACTCAAAGCTGGGAAAAGGAACCCTTCTTGAACTCCTCCCCGCTGGGATATCAGTCACTTCAAACTACCTTGTCCCCAGAGGTTTCTTCTGACGCTAACAAAACGTCCTGCATGGCTGTCTCCTAATCACACACACTGAACTGAGACCCAGTCCAGCCACCAGCCCGGTGAGCCAAGCAAGCCACTCACCCAGACTCAGGGTAGAGCCCAGCCTGTGGCCAGGGTCCAGGTTCTGTCAATCTCCCCTCCCACTACCTCCCCTGCCTTGATACCTGGTAATTTGGGCCCCATGTGTCCCATGGCTCGATGTCTGAAGACAGTGCGACCTGGAAATCAGAGAGACCTGGGTGTGCATCCGGCTGGATGGGGACTGTGCCCCTGGCGCCCAGGACAGCCAATGTCTGAGCAAACAGGTGACTAAAGCACCAATGTGCTTGGGCAGACAAAGCCCCCTCCTGGCAGCAGGCTGGGCTGGAGAGGCCTTGGCCAGCAACTTTGTGGGACTGGGGTCCGAGGTCCTGATACAGCCACCCATCACCAATGCCAGCCTTTGAAGGTATTAGGCACTTACCTGAGGGAACCTTTTCTGGATAAAACAAAAAGAGGAGAGAGAGAAAGTGAGTGAGAGAGGGAGAGAGATACCATCAGGGTACTTTTCATACATTTGAAGTTCTTATTTAAACGTTGCTTCCCAACCCCAGCACTACACAGCTGCAGTGCATTTGGGAGGGTCAGGAGACCTGGCCTCAGTTTCCTCAACAATGAAATGGGATGCATTTCCTGGGATTCCTGGGAGTATGAGTGGCAGGGTTGGGGTCTTGTTCACGATGTGGGGGAGGGGTTGGGGAGAAGACTGGGTCCAAACTCTGCTGCCACAGAGGCTAGGAGCCCACTCTCACACCCACCACTTTCCACGGGCTTCTCAGCAACTTGAGACTGCTCTTGGCCTTCTGGTTTGGTCACCACCATGGACGTGAGGGGGGTGACAAAGCTATAGTTGAGCGACAAGCCCAGAGCTTGCTTCTCCAGGACGTTCTTATCAGCATCGGATGCGGAAACCCTGCAGGAAGAGAGAATCAGAGGCCCAGCTGGTCCCTGGGTGCCTAGCTCCATTCTCCCTCCCTTCCAGACCCTGGGGGATGGGGGTGGGATCCCTACTGGGAGAGTCTGGAGCTCAGACACCACACCATGAACCCCTTTCTGCATACATAGGAGATGCCCAGGCCACCTGTGCTGTCCCACCCATGAGGATCTTGGGAAGGCAATGAGGCCGTGTGTGGCCGCCCCAGCAGGCCCCTGGTGGTAGAGGCCACCCACATTCGCTCCAGCAGTTGATGGATGGTCAGGTACGCCCAGAGTCTCTCCATGAAGCCGTGGAAGATGTACTTGGGCCTTCGGAACTCCTCCTCCTGCTCTGCCACCTGGGACTCCACTTGGAAGGTGATGTTCTCCGTGGGCTGGAAAGAGGGGCCAAGCCAAGGGGCAGCAGTGAGGGCCTGAAGCCTGCACCTGGCCTGGTACATCTCAGCTTTCCATGAGAAGCCTAGTTGGGACTGGGCAGGTTTCACGAATAGGCTGTCACAACTGCATTCCCTTCGAATATGTGGGGAACAGGGAGGGAGTTTAGGGATGTAAGGGGCTCAGCCACAGAGCCTCCAAGGATGAGAAGGACGTGGATAGAAAGATAGAAACTATCACAGGTGCAAAGCCAGGAATCCAGATCACATGCAGCTTTTGGGAACAAGGAAAATGAGGATGGGATCTGGGTCCCAGGCCAGTGGAGAAGCAGCAGCAAATGCAGTTTAAATCAGAAAGGGTCCCAAGAGGGCTCACCCCAAAGATGGAGACTCTGAGGACAGAGAGTCAAGTGCCTTCCCCAGCAGTCATGGCAGAGTTGGAAAGAAAACTAAGGCTTTGATAGGGTTTGGACCCCATGTACTCCATTAAGCTGCCCCTTGACCAAGCTGGTGCCCTTTGCTGAGACCTGGCACTGTGTCCAAAGATGTGCCCAAGTGTCTGGTGGACTGCTGCTTCCTTTCTCGGGGTGGGGCCTTCTGGTCTCAGGCTGACCTGGACAGCAGCCTGGGACGTGGGGCCTGCGGGCAGAGGAACTCCAGCCTTTCTTGTCACAATTCCCCAGAGGCCAAAAGCCCTTGCAATGTGGATCAGACCCCAACCCCGATGCTGGAGATGCCCTCCTCTGTCTATCACCAGAGCCGGGCCACCCACACCTGCAGGCACCTGCCGGCCACCTGCACAATTGCCCTATCCACCTGCACAGCTATCTATTTGATGGTTTTCCTTAAGTGAACTTTAAATAGACTAACACTCTCCACTTGGCCTCATCCCAAGCAATACGACCAGGGAAATTGTACATCTGAGGCTGGAGTTGCATTTCTCAGGAGATACATTAGGATAAATAGGTAATTATTCAAACAAAGGCATGTGTGACTCCCCCTAGTCACCCTGGGTTCCGCACTTTGGGAACTCCCAGCCTCCAGGACAACACCAGCAGCTAACATGTGTGGATTGTTTACCCTGGGCCACATGTTAATCCCATGGCAGTCTCATAAGGTGTAAGATGACCGATTCTCCTTTTCACATGGTAGGAAACGGAGGCATGGGGAGATTCGGTGAAATCCCCAGGCCTCACCCCTCTGACGTGGCAAAGAGGGGTGGAAGCCAGGCTCTGGTCAGCTGAATGCACTGCTCATTGTGACACGTGCTACTTCTCTGAGACTCAGCCCTGGTTGCGGCGTGCCCGCCTGCCATGCCTGAAACATTCCTCCATCACTTCACCGTCTGGTTCTGCTGCCTCCTACTCATCCCACAGTAGCAGCTGAGTCCTGTCCAGGAAGCTCTCCCAGACCTCAGGTCAGGTTGGGGCTCCTGTGCTGCTCCCCAAGTCCCTGGGTTCATCCTCTCAGGGTCACCCCAGCCTCTGGGTCTTTCCTTCCTTGTGTGACGATTTACCCAATGCCTCTCCATGGGGGCAGTATCCCTAGGGCCCAGGTATGTCCTGGGTCACAGCAGGTGCTCAGACTCTCTTTGTGGAATGAGGGGTCCCCTGTGGCACAGAGGCAGGGGGAACTGGGCAAGGAGATGGCACCATGTGGTGAGCTGGGGTGAGTCTTGCTTGGGCTGCAATGCGCCCCAGGGCACGTTGGTCCTCAGTCTGTGAAGTGGGAGCATCCCTCCCTGCCTGAAAGCAATCTCAGAGGGCTAGTGGAGGACAGAGGGGATGTCAAACCCGGTGCCCAAGGGCACAGCAGCAGCAACACAGACTGACTACGGAGTGCCCTCCATGTGCAGGCAAGCTCAGGTGCTCTCAGGAGAATCAGGACCTTACTTCATTGACAAACACACACACACACACACACACACACACACACACACACACCCCGCCACACACACACCAGCTATGCAGTGGGGACTGAGGTCATCCACGGTAACAGGGGCACTTTGGAACTTGCCCAAGGCAGTCGGCTGGAGTCTGACATGGCTGGAGTTTGAACCTAGGCCCTCTGAATGCCTGCTGCAGCCACCCTTCCACTCCAGGAAGCAGTCCACTCTCACCAGCTTCCCGCTGACTTGGGCTGAGAGCACCTCAGGGCTCTGGGCCTGGAGCTTCCCGGCCACTACCATCTCGGAGCCCTTGAAGAACAGCCGGAAGTTGTCCTGCGTGACCTCCTCCACAGCATTGTTTGGGTACTCGAAGGTCACTGCGGTCAGCAGGGGGTTGGCCACCTCCTGGTAGAAGTCCTGCAGAGTGGGGGGTGTCACCAGGGCCGGGCAGGGTCATCCCAGACTCACCCAGCCCTCAGGGGGAGGCTGGCACCTGCAGCTGCAGGGCGGAATCCGAGTCCTCGTAGATGCGCCGAGCCAGGCCGCCATTGTCCAGCGCCAGCTTCTCCAGGAAGGCGTAGCTGACGTCGAAGCCAAAGCCCAGGCAGAAGAGGCTGTACTGACCGCCTATGGCCTCCTGCACATTCTTCTGGATCTTGCTGGGGTTGGTCACGCCTGGACCCAGCGTTTTGGGGCAGGGGTGAGAAAACAGGGATTTGCTCAGGGGATATTTGGAATCTCAGAGCCAGAGAGGCCTCAGGGACTCCTCACTTCCCTTGAACCACTTGCAGCCCCAGTGATGCCCCCTGGGCAGTGTGCCCTGGAGTTGCGCTGTGCCTCACCCACAGTGGGGTCGCCATCAGTGAGGAGAAGGAGAAGGGACACGCTCCCTGAGGGCAGCTGCTCCTCCCGGGTGGCTGTCTCCAGCAGCTGCACGGCCATCAGCATCGCATCGTTGATATTGGTTCCTGAGGGACACACACTCTCAGGATGTCTCTCAGGTGGGGTTCATGTCCGGGGGCCCCAATCCTGCAGGGCTGCCCTGGTGCTCACCTCCCTGGGCCTTGAGGGTTTTAGCATATTTCTTGGCCTCCTCCACGTTCTGGGTCGAAGCTGGCACCAGAGATGGCTTCCACTGGGTTGCCTCCCTGCTGAAGGTAATGAGGTTGAAGTGGTCTTCGGGCCTGAGGTCCTCTAGGATCTTGATGAGGGCTTCCCGAGTCTGGTCAGGGGAAGGGGAAACAAGTCAGGAGGTCCTCCTTAGGGTTCATGTGTCCTTGGGCGGCACCCCCAGGCCCACACCTGCAGCGGGAACATGGTGAAGGCCCCAGTGTCAGGAGCAGCTCTGACCTCGGTCTCTGGAAGCCTCCTTCCCGGGAAGATGGAGGGGGGAGGGTCTGCCTGCTAGACCAGAGCTGATGGTGTGAGGCAGCTGAGAGTTTTCAGGGCCCTGCCCTGGCCTATGGTACCCACCTGCCGGATTTTCCTGCCCATCATGGAGCCACTGGTGTCAATGACGAAGATCACATTCTTGGGTATCATGGACAGACTCTCCGGGGCAAAGTAGTGCACAAAGTAGCCATTCTCGATCTATGACCAGAGTGAGACACACCCCAGCTGATGAGAGCTACAGCCCTGCACTGCCCACCCCACCTCCTCACCCCAAATCCCCGGGTCCCATCCTCTTTTCATTTAAGCTCCTCAGTCACAGTCCCACTGCTAACCTCCTCTGGTCCATGACATCTTTTTTCCTTTAAGACTTTACAGGTGAAAGTATTACAGATGTCCTAGTTTTCCCCCATTGGCATCTTCCAGTCTGCCGTCCCCCTCCGGTCCTATACCACCCTATGGCCTGTGTCCATGGCTTATGCACATATGCATACAAGTCCTCTGGTTGGTCTCTTCCCACTCACACCCCCACCTCCTCATTCCTCACCATCTCTTAGGACTCAGTGGAGCTACTCTTTTGCTGAAAACTTCCGTGCTATGCACGACCCACTAGAACTCTACTCCACTTTGCCTCCTATTTGTTTGAATAGCTGAGGCAGTTTAGAGGTAAGAAACCTTCTTTAGCAGATGAAACTTTCTGCTTCCGAAAGGGAATTCTTTCAGGGACAGCAGAACTAAACTGCGTGTTTTCTGTCTGTTGCCCTTGGTGCACACTGACCAGCAGGAGCCATTTTTTTTTTTTTGGCTTTTCTTCTCCAACAGCCAGGCTCAGGCTCCAGAGGCTGGAGGGATTTCCTGGTTATTCTGCTCTCCCTGGAGCCCACGCACCTGAAGGGAGCCTCCCGAGAGGGTGCGGTTCACATCATAGCGGACGATGAAGTCGCCATCCACCACTGTGTCCTCTTGCTCTGCAGACTTCTGTTGCTGGGACAGCGTCGGCTTGAATCGGATGTGAGCCTGGAGGAACGACCGACTGGGCTGATGTTGGGGAGCAGCGAGGTCATGCTAACATCCCTCACCCCCCATCTGAGAATCGACCAGGATGAGAATTCCACCTTATGCCAAACGCCAGGGAACTTTCTCTCAGGCTGGGCTGTCAGGTGGGCGGCCTCAGTACAGACCATGGGTGTGAGCGAGGAGCCTCTGCTCTGGAGCCATGCCAGCAGAGCCTGGGCTCAGGATGTGTGTGATCCAGCCTCCAACCTTCCCCCTGGTCCTGGGACCCTCAGGTCAGTGTCCTCTCCCAGGAGCCCCCAACCTCAGGTGCAAACCAGTGCCCGCCCTTCTCCTCTAGGCCTTGCCCTCCTCATCTGCCACATGTCAGTGAGGACACAGACACCTCAGAAGCTCGCCAGCTGAGAGATTCTGCTCAATTGTCCCGCTCTCTGGAGATCCAGCTCACTGGGCTGGCCTGAAGACAGGCCCCTCGGTACCCACACTTCCCACCCACTGTGGCAGGCCCACCTTGGTCTGGTTCTGTGAGACGGTGAGGGCGTCTACAAGCTCATTGGTCATGAAGGTGCTCTCTGTCTCCAGAAAGCTGATGCCCTGAGGCTCGAAGATGTGAATGTCCATCTGGAAGAAGAAATGGGTCACGGGGTTAGCCAGGAGCCAGGCCTGGGCCTCTCAGGAGGCAGAGAGGGCCTGAGGGCCACCCTCGGCAGCACAGGGTCCTCTAGGAGGCTCCTGGGAGGAGGCAGCTCCGGGTACCTGCAGGTGCTTGACCAGCTGCCGGGGCTGGACTTTCAGCAGCAGCTCATACACTCCCAGACGCCGCTTGAGCAACTCCTCATACACCAGCTCAAAGGTGACCTTGCCAGCGGGAGCCACGCTGACCGATACCTGGAACTGCTCCATCTTTCTCCCAGTGGCCCTGGGGGAGGAGGGCATCAGGCCTGCCCCTCCAGACCAGGGAGGGTATGGACACTGGAGGCAGGAGCAGAACTAAAGGCAGGGACAACTTCTGCCCCACCCCACTGGGGTCTCCCACACCCCCTTGGGCTCACTTGACGAGGCCAGCGCTCTCCCCCCTGGCCACGGCTGCACTGTACTGCTCCTGGGCTGCATCCTTCTCCTTGATGTTCCCTGGGTAGGTCACACCGTCGATGATCCTGGGGCAGGAGAGTGGGTGCCGTGGAGAGTCTGGTGGTGGGGTGGGGGAACTCTCTCCAATCACCTACTCCTCCAGGGAACCTGTCTGTGACTTGCTGTGCCTCCTGGTAGAGTGACTCCTATCTTTACCAGATCTCACCCGTTTATTATGTGCCTACTGTGTACAAGACTGTGCAGGAGCCTGGGTATGGGCGGGCAGCCTCTGCAAGGTGTGCCAGGCCTCCATCTACCCTGAGGCACGCACAACGTAAGTGAACATTCGTTTTACTGAACGGACAGGAGAGGAGGGTTCCAGAGGAGGCAGGGCTGCACTAAGTCCTGGTCTCTCTTCTCCCTTCTGCTCTGGCCCCACATTCCAACTGCCCCTGCCCTTCACAGACTATCCCAGAGGAACCTGCCCACCACCAGCAAGTGTTTTCTGAGCTGTGTGTGCACCCAGTACTGTGGCCAGCTCTGTGGGGCAGGCTGAGGAAGAGGGAGATGCCAGGATCCCTGGCCAGTGGGAGGCACTGAGCTAAAAGGCTCGAAGCCTCTTCCCACCAGCACAGGGCAGGGAGGAATGCAGAGGTTGGTGGAGCGAGGGGTGAAAGGAGGAAGGGATGGAGGGACAAATGTGATATGGATGGAAACGGAAAAAGGGATGGGGATAGAGGAAGAGATTTGAGGAAGGGAGAGCTGGAAGGATGAAAAAAGGGAGTGGGGGATGGCTGGAACATCTCTGAGAATATGTTCCTGATAAAGCCTCTGGTTCCCTGTGCTGCCTGCAGATGCACACAACCTCATGTCAGGAGGAAGTCCTCTCTCCTGAGGGACATGATGGGAAGGGATGGCAGTGCTGGATGGGGAGGGGACGCAGAGGCCGGCGGGAAGGCACCTACATGGAGAAGTTGGTGATGAAGGCTTTCTTGGGCAGCTCTATCTGGAAGGTGGCCTCCTGCATGGAATCTGCTTTGTTGACCACCCTGCTGGTGATGACCGTGTGGGCAAACCGGGAGGAGACCTTGGAGTCCACAGTGAGGCTGTAGATGTCGATGGCATTCTGGAGCAGTGAAGGAGGAGGAGGGGAACTGTCTCAATGCCAGCTCTGCCGGTAGCAATGCTCTTCCAGAGACTGGCATTGACCTAGGTCCCAAACCAAGCCTGGCCCGACCCCCACTGACCATGGATGGCTCAGACAAAACCACGTGAGGTATTTCACATGTGGATCTTTCTCTCAAATAAGAGGCAGCTCTGTGCTCCATTCCCCAACCTACACTGCCAGGGGCAGGGACCAAAGAGGGGGTGGAAGGTGTAGCAAGAGCCCCAGTGTGTCTGGGAGCAGACTCTCACTTATCCTGGACCTTGTTGGGATCAGGAAGCTGACGGGCATGGCTCTGAACAGTGTAAGGGCAGCAAACAAGTCCTTTGAATTCTGGCGACCAGAAATGGAGAAACACAGCTCCTGCCACTCACCAACAGGGACCTCCAGAAGCTGGGAGAATCTGGAGGAACCAACATCCAGTCTCTAACAGCTGGGAATGTTCTTTGCCCCCTTTCCCTGCACCCAATCCCCATCCCCAGTTGCCTGCCCTGCAGCACAGGCTCTTTCCCTGTGAGACGGTCAGTCCCCACAGGTCATTGCCCCAGGCACTTGCTCTTCGATCCAGGTCTAAGGTTCACATATGCTCACATAAGAAGCCTTACACATCTCCTGCCAACCTGCATATGACACACTATGTAGGCTCCGTTCACCTGCACACACAGCCTAGCAGAGGTGGGTATCTGGCTGATTGGCTTGTTACACACATGAGTGTCTGCTCTGTGCCAGGCACTGTACTAAGCACTTCATAGTGTTACAGGTTCCATCTCCACAACAAACCTCCTAAAGGGGTCTATTATTATCCTGCTTCACAGATGAGTAAAGGGTGACAGGAAGCATCAATACCTTGAGGCCATTCAGCCAGGGAGTGGGCGAACTGGGCTCAACATCCTCACTCCTACCTCCCTCCACTGCCGGACTCCAGGGACAACTTGCTAACCTGCAGTTTCCCACCTGGAACATGGGAATAGGATCACCCCTTCTAGCAAGCAGGGAGAGAAGAGGGAGTGTCTATAAAGCCCTGGGGACATGCCTGGTGGAGGATCAGCACCATATTTTTGCATACACACAGATCTGTGCTCATTTGCACACTCACCCTCACACAAGCTCTCACTCATTCACCAGCTCATACCACTCACACTCTGGTGCGCATACAGGTGCCTGAGGCACCCGCTACCTTTTGGGCATGGGTGGTCTGGAGGACAGCCAGCAGCGGCAACAGGACCAGCAGGATGGCACTTTCACGGGCAGAGGCTGGAGGCTTCATTTTGGCTCCAGTGCCTGGCAGGCTGCTTCTGAATCTGAGAGAAAGAGGGGAATGAATTAGTAACCTTGCTGCTCCGCCCCTCCGGGGGCAGGTTCCGGTAAAATGGGATCTACAAGCCAAAACCTGCAGTGGACTCAGATAAGCAGGCCAACTGCAAATGTCCTGTGGACCTTGGATGGGGGTAGACACATGTACAATAAATCCTCAGTGTCATCAATAGAGAATTCTTGGAAACGGCAACTTTAAGTGAAATGAGCTCAGTTCCTGTGGCATATTTCTGGTTTCAAAAACATCACCAAACTTCTAAAAACAAAAACAAAAAAAACCCAAAAACTCAAAATGTTTAAGTCAGTGTGAGCCATATATATATATATATATATATATATATATATATATATATATATACATTTTTTTAAGAAAAATTCATAAAGATAGGTTAAGATCATGCTTTTCCAACATACTTATTCCAGTTTAGGGTTTCTGATGCCCAAAACCTCTACCAGCAGCTCCTGGTGTAAGACCCCATCCTGGATGGGACACCATCCATTGAAGATCAACCTTCCATACACCCACATTAGACTGGAATGATGGAGACACACAGGCTTATCTCACATGCACATCTTTAGGATGTGGGAGGAAACCATGCAGAAAACCCACAAAGACAAGGGGAGGACATGTGAACTCCACACAGTGGCCCCCTCTAGGAATCGAGTTTTTCTTCATCAACATTATAAACCAAAGAGATTGAATAAAACGACCTTAATCGAGGACCTGCTATAGTAGGAAAGGCAGGCTCAGGTCGGAGCTAGGTATGGGCATACCTTCTGAAAGGTCTAGAACCTTCCCAGGTCACCATTACTTTTTACACCAGTTGGTCCACCAACAAGTGTCCTGGGGCCTGGGGACACAACTGGAAGCCAGCCCACTCTCCATAAGCCCAGCCTGGAGGAGACAGAGGTATGGCTGGCAAGAGGAAGGTGGGGGCAGCTACTGGGAGAAAGGAGCCTGCAGGCCAGGTTGGTGTAACTGGGCAGTGGGGCCCTATAAGCCCTGAGCACTCCTTGGGGTGTCTGAGAGGATCAAGATCTGCTGGGGTCAAGGCAGGGTAGATCTGCCTTATTTCTAGGGTGGAGAGGCTTGGCCCAGGAGACCCCTTCTCTCTCCTGGGTTCCCAGACTGCTGGTTCAGGCCCCATTAATCTAGTCAGAACTCTGGCTTACACTCCAGCAAGGCCCCAACACAAGACCTGCCCTTTGGCAACACAAACCGAGAGCCAAAAAGGTGCCCAGCCTTGTGGCCCAGAGGCCTCCCTCAGGTGACTTTACTGAATGAGAGGAACAAACAAGAAGGGACAGAGCTCCTGAAGGGGGCTAGTCAGTGTGCTGGCCTGTACGCACGGGTGACCTACATGGAGGCAGTCATGCCAAGGGAGTCCATGAGTCATGGATTGAAGGAGAAAGGGCAGATGGCTTCTCTGTCAGCACACCAAGGCAGTGCCTTGCCTGGGATAGGATTACCAATGATTTTAGATTTTCCTTTAATACAGTTGAAATTGAGAGAAACCAAGATGGCAACATAGGTTAGCACATAAACTACAACTAAAACACAGAACGGACATCATCCAGAACACAGGAAAGCTGGCTGAATGAAAAATCTACTACTAGAAGGAAAGAGAAAAGCTCACGGAGAATCAAAGGAGCTGTAAAGGGCTGAGGTATGGAAACATGTGGGCAGAGAGGAAAGGCAGCTGAGTGCCTGCCTGGCTTTCTCTGACAGGAAGGAGAAGGATGCTCCCAACTGCACTGAACCCCAGTTCCAGTGGAGTCCCTGAGGATCCAGGCTCTTATGGGGGAGTCTGGACGGAAACTCAGGGGAGGTGCGAAAGGCAGAGATCTGGAGTTGTTCGAACAAGTGTGCGAAGATAGGACTGACTGCTGAGTGTGCTTCTGGCTTTCTCTAGCAGGTGGGCAACGGAAACTTCCCACCGCTGAACTCCAGTTCCAGGTGAGACTCTGGGAACACGATTCATGGGGGAGAAACTGGACTGTCTGGCAGCAGGCAAAACTCGAGGGCAGCTTACTTTTAGAGATGCTTGCAGCAATTACCGAGGGACACTAAAACCCAGGTGCCTCATAGGACAGGGCTGATGGGAAGCCAAGACTGTCTGTCAGCCCTGAGACTCCAACCCATCCAAGCTGAGCAAAGAGGCTTTTGCAATTTTGCAAGTCTTGTCTCATAAGGCTGTCTCCAGCACAAAACTTCTCCCCATGTAGACATAGCTGATCCTCACAGCCAACTGGCCTGTCAGTGATACCAACAACAATCAATACTAACTACAATAAGGTTGTACACACAGTCCACAAAGGGGTGCACTAAGAGTGTCCACATCAAGTAACTGGGGAGGCCGAACCCCTGAGCCATATAGGACACCTAGCGCACAAAGCTACCCTACCAATTCAGGGAAGCAGCAAAAATGCGGAGAAAAAGAACAGATCACAAAATGAAAGAAATGGAGAAAAACAAACAAATGGGTATAGAGTTCAAAACCATGGTTATAAGGTTTTTTAAGAATGTCCTGGAAAAGGCCGATAAATTTAGTGAGACCCTCGAGGATATGAAAAAAGACTAACTAGAAATTATACATACACTGGCTGAAATAAATAATATTATAAAGAGACCCAACCGCAGACTAGAGGAACCCAAGAATCAAGTCAAAGATTTGAAATACAAAGAAGCAAAGGACACTCAAATGGAAAAGCTAATAGAAAAAATAATCCAAAAAGTTGAAGATAGTGTAAGAAGACTCTGGGACAACTTCAAGCATATGAACTTCAGAATTATGGGGGCTCCAGAAGAAGAGAGAGAGCAAGATACTGAAAACCTATTTGAAGAAATAATGACTGAAAACTTCCCCCACCTGGTGAAAGTAATAGACTTACAAGTCCAGGAAGCGCACAGAACTCCAAACAAAAGGAACCCAAAGAGGACCACACCAAGACACATCATAATTAAAATGCCAAGAGCAAAAGACAAAGAGAATATTAAAAGCAGCAAGAGAAAAACAGTTAGTTACCTACAAGGGAGCACCCATACGATTGTCAGTTGATTTCTCAACAGAAACTATGCAGGCCAGAAGGGAATGGCAAGAAATATTCAAAGTGATGAATAGCAAAAACCTACAACCAAGATTACTGTACCCAGCAAAGTCATCATTCAGAATTGAAGGGCAGATAAACAGTTTCACAGACAAGAAAAAGCTAAAGGAGCTCATCACCACCAAACTAGTATTATATGAAATCTTGAAGAAGAAGAAGAAGAAGAAGAAGAAGAAGAAGAAGAAGAAGAAGAAGAAGGAGGAGGAGGAGGAGGAGGAGGAGGAGGAGGAGGAGGAGGAGGAGGAGGAGAAGAAGAAGAAGAAGAAGAAGAAGAAGAAGAAGGTAAAGATAAAAATTATGAACAACAAATATATATCTATCAACAAGTGAACCCAAAAATCAAGTGAATTAAAAATCTGAGGAACAGAATACACTAGTGAATATAATAGAATCAGGGGCATAGAAGGAAGTGGACTGATAACTCTCAGGGTAAAAGGGGTGTGAGGGTGTGGGAAGAGACTGCACAGAAATCATACACCTATGGATGAGGACAATGTGGGGAGGGGATATACGGGCAGAGGGTGGGATGGGAACAGGGTGGAGGGGAGCTAGGTGGGGAAAAAGGAGAAAAAATTGTAATAATCTGAACAATAAAGATTTATTAAATTAAAAAAAGTTGAAATGATTTTTATTAAAAAATTGGTTTTAGAGGAAGGGAGGCAGGGAGAGAGGGAGGGTAGGAGAGAGAGAGAGGAATAGGGAGAGAGAAAGAGACATCAATTTGAGAGAGAAACATGTACTGGCTGCCTCCTACAGTCTCCCACACCAGGGATCAAACCCACCAATTTTTGATAACTCTGTACCTCTTTTTTAACCCTCACCTGAGGACATGTTTTCAGTGATTTTCAGAGAGAGGAAGGGAGAGGGGGAGAGAGGGACACATTGATCTGCTGTCTCCTACACGTGCCCCAACTGGGGATCAAACCTGAAACCCAGGTATGTGCCCTGACCAGGAACCGAACCCACAATCTTTTGGTATATAGATGATGCTCCAACCAACTCAGCCTCCCTGCCAGGAGGGGAATTGACTCTCTAAGAGGCTGAAGGCAGCTGAGTCACTGGCCAGGCACTTGAAACTCAGGACTGAATATGATATGGCCTGGCCCTCCTGGAGTCCAGAGTCTAGAGGCCAGAATCAGTTCTCAACATGCAAACCTCAACACAGGGTAACGATGCAGCAAGCTGCCCGTGATCAGCCAGGAGATGAAAGAGGAAGGCTCCGGAGGAGGACACAGAGGGGACAGAGATGAGAGATGCATGTGCAGACTAGGGGAGGGCATGCCAGTGTGTGGAGAAAAAGTTCAGAGAAGCAAGTTGGAACCAGGTCACAGAGAGAGTTGGACCACAGGACTTGGGGTTCACCCTTTCCCTGGGGCCATGAGAACCAGAGAAAGATATGAGCAAGGGTTGCAGCCATGGAAATGGGAGCCTTAGAGTGATGGGTCTGGTTCTGCGGCCTGGCTGCCTTGAGCGGGGGAGGGGGCTGTGATCCAGGGGCCATGCCAGCGGTGTGGGTAAGAGGCAACGAGGGTGAGAGATTTAGGCTATTTGCTCTAAATGTGACTCCACACCTTGTCACCATTGTCCCCACCCAGGGAGGCCCAGGGCTCATCTGCCAGCACACGGCTTCCGCTTACACCAGGATTCGATGTCCCCCAGCCCTGGGAGTGAAGTTCACATGCTGTTGACAATACCCATGGGGCCCCTTTGGCTCAGGCAAATACAAGCCCTGTTACTCCATCCACACGCTGGCTTCCTGGACAGACTCCGCCTCCCGCTCTTCCCGCACTGCTGGAGGCCACTGACCCCACCGGTCAGCTGGCTCATATAAAGACCATGGGACAG